CAATTACACAAGCCCATGTTCCAGGAGGCAGACACCACTCATTGTCACCTAGAGTGTGCAGTGGCTGGGAGCTGGTTATTTCAGACTAGACTGATGTTTTAATCAGAAATTGTCCAATTATGATGATTAAGCTGTAAAAACGCAGACACAAAATATCCCATAACCTCTGAGACTTTGCTTTTAGCAGAATGTAATCGGTGCTGCAGAGCTTGAAAATGAAATGAAAACAGGCAAATTAGAAAATGGCCATTTGAAAAAGCATTTCCAGAAAGAATGTTTAAAACCAGACCTCCTCAAATTTCAGCAGAAATAATGTTATGGGTAGGTAGTGTCTATTAGGTGGAAGACCGTGAAAAACAAGGGCTGTGTTCTATCTCTTTCTGTGCATTAAGTGATCACTTCTGCGTCCACACTCAAAGTAAAAATGGCTTTAAAGGGTTTGTGCTCTCTGCAAAACACCAAAACACCTGTGTCTGCTTAGCAACAAGTGTGCACATGCAGGGCTGTGATGGTATACACACACAGCAAAACTCACAGGCATATGCAGATGGCATGAAAAGTTTATTTTCATGTCTGGCTGACTTGCTTTGTGAGACTCACCCTCGCTTTGAGGACAAGGGAAACAAATGTGCCACTTTCAGAACATAATCCATGGTATTAACTGAGTTAGCTAATGTTTAGAAGAGACAACCAGCCCCAGATGTTTTCCTATTCTTTTTTAAACAGATTCAGCAGGACAGAGGTTCTTTGCATGAGGCAACCCAATCGAATGTTACAGCCTGTGCGATCAGCCTGTGTGATGTTTGGATTAAATCTCCTCTTACATGCTGACTTTGTACAGTAGGCTTTGGCTCAGGCTATCATTGAGCTTTGCATGTATGTGAATATTTTTTGCTCTTGCATGTGGACTTCTCATGAAGCGCTACCAATATCGTTGTGTTGAACAACGTACGATTTAACATCACATCAAGTTTCACAATCAGAAAATGATGCTTCTTTCTTTTTTGAGGCCATACAGATTGCTCAGGACTGCAAGATTGCAGCTTTTAGAGAGAAATTGTGAGGTCGTGGCTCTAACCAACTGCCAACATGCCTGACAAGTAACACTCAGCCTTGAAATTCCTCCACTTTTGAAACACAGAAGCCTCAAGAATGGCTCGGTGTAACAATGTCAGGATTCTTGACAGATTCCCACTCTGGCTTTTCTCAAGAACTCTAGTTCTTCAATGCTTGATGAGTAAAACAACTTGAAACTAATGAATAACAGTCAAAAAATGTTGTCAGATCAGTTTAACTTGTGAAGTGCAATATACTTTAGCTAAGGTTGATGAAAAAAATCCAGCTGTTAGCTTTTCACATTTCTAACATAAAGCTTAGCTTACTTTGAAATCTTTATGAAATGCTCCTATAATTAGCAGACTTTAGCCATACATTATGTGTTCAATGATCCCAGCTTGTAGCTCAATGGCATTGAGTCAGTCTTTTATCGTCACCAAAAATGCAGAATTAATGATGCTGTTGACCACACATACATGGGTGTGTCTGGTGTCTTGTCACATTTGATAACACGTCTCAGCTTCCTTGGTTGGACAATACTTTATCAGCTTGTGCTGACAGGCGTGAAAGTCAGATATGTAAAAGATGTGAAAACATCAGCAGAATCGCATCTGTCTTGTTCAATTTAAAAAAAGGCAGTAACATTATCTAGGTTTTCTGTTTTCGTCCTTCTTATATAATGAAAATCATATGTTTCAGGAAAACTCAAATTGAACGACCTCTGGTGCTGGTCAGCCAGCATGGTCCCCTCCAAAGAGCACAATCTGTGTGAAACCTGGGCTGCATGTTCTGCTTGTCTGTACTTATACACACACTAACTCATTTGCCCAGACACACATCTCTGAGTTTCTGTGCAGTTGGCGTACAAAATTGGACATATATCCTGTTTGTCATTACTACTAGCGTCGTGGCTGCCTTTGGTTTTTTGCTGCTTGTTTTTGTGTGTCTCTTCCTTGTGTCTGCTTGCAGGTTACTCCCTTGGGTTTGCGCACAGTATTCTTTGCTGTTGGTTTCTGTTAGTTTGTGTGTCTCTCCTCGTAGTGTTTGTTTGCAGGTGCTCAAACGGGTTCTCCCTCGGGTTTGCCCATGGTGACTACAGGACATTTTTCTACAGATACAGCAGCAGATGGTTTTGTTGTCTTTTTTTCTCTCTTCCTGTTTTAAGTATTTCTCTTCTTTCTGGCGTGGGTTATTGTTACCTTTTCTCTATTCTCTCTTCCTTTTTTAAATATATTTCATTTATTTTATTTTTTTCCTTTTTTAAATTTTATTTTATTTTTTTATTTTTCTCTCTTTTCCTGTCCCTCTGTCAGGTTTGGAATTAACCATCTTACTTCTGTAACAAAAATAAATAATAAAACAATAATGGATGATCAAGGGAGGCTTCTCACCATGACAAGCCTCCCTTGGCAAAGCAAAAGTGTCGGGCAGAGCACGGCACTCAGATGACAGTTCTGTTGCCCTAATGCTGAACACAACAAGGGGTTAAAAAAATAGATAACTAAAACTTTAACTTTGACACAGTATATGATCGATTCATTTAAATATGTAATTGAATTGTATTTAGCAAAAAAAAACACAGTAAAATGAAGAACAATGATGAAAATACAATGTCAGAACAGTAAATTGAAAAATACAACGTCAGAGTTTACAATGATAACACAGAAGAAGACAAGTTTTAGAACTTCAGCCCTAGAGTTTTTTTCACCGGGACTAGCAGAAAATAGAAATACAGTTGCAGTCTACTTTTAATGAAACTGTCAAAAGAATGATCATGAGAGAATTCAGGTGGAAAAAAATTACATTTTGTTTTTTTTTGTTGCTCTAAAAGTTCCAAACAACTTTTAAAAATTGGACCTGAGTTTTTTAAGGCACTACCATTCTTCAGCGTCATATGTTTTATTAACCATAAAGAATTGTTTGGTTCAGAGCTAGATATCATTCGGGAGGAAATGCTCATCTTTAAATGAGAAATTCTCTGACACATACATTTTTTACTTTAAAAATACACAAAAAAAAAGATTTTTAATAATATTCAGTCTGTTCATTCAGACTCCAGGAAAATCGACCATCTCTGCCGTCACATTTGACTGAAAGCTGCAAGTTTGATCACAGCTAGATGTTAGCAGACTTCAGTTCAATGAACAATATCTGCCTTGTTGGCTGAATTGCACTGTCAGTAATACAGTCTCCAGATTCTGTGCAGAGAAAAAGATTGTGTGGAATGGAAATGTTGAAAGCCACGTTTTTCCAGATCTGAATGACTTTGACTTGTTAGATCTGGGTCAGATTTCTAAAAAAAACATGGAGAAGAATCCAGTTCCACATTTTTTAATATAACGCAACACAATTTAACAATAACATATACTATCATATGCTTTTTAAACTGCCCGATGCTTTGATTTAATCATTACACAACATTTCAGATTGAATTTGATGGCACCAGTCTTACACCTATGTCTCTGAACAATAGCACAATGTGAATCAGCTCTGCATTATGCTGGTTCCAGGTGTCTGGGAGTCACTGACCTCAGGTGTGGAACACGTCTCCCAGGGGGTTGGTATGCATTAGCAGTTTCCCATACAGCAGATGGCAAGTCGCAGACAATGAGTGGATGAGACAGACAAGCCAGGTAGGGGAGGGGGGGGGGGGCAAAAGGTGGGTTAATCTCCTTTAGGTTTTCTGCTGGAGGAGCTTCTTGAAGCCTAATAATACTCGTGCTGTCTGATTGTGGCATACAAATCATAATACAATATGGAGTCATCTGAGTGGCCAAATCTCAAGAGAAATTGAACGTTTTTTGTTAAACCCTAAGATTTGCCGTATTTTAGTGACTACCACTGAGCTCAGAATAAATATCTGTTTTATAAAGTCATACCTGAATACCTGATGTTTGATTTGGAGATGCTTGCAACTTCTGTCAACCGTTGACCGCCAATAACCCCTGTGTGCTTTCACTCAGGCAGTAGCTTAACAATTTAACTAAATAGGCTTACTTGTTTGACTCATCTGCTTTCCTCTGCTCACTTTAGTGCTTTCTCAGTTATGCAAACACTTAATGCTGCTTTGATTTGCTGTCATTCAGCTCAGTCATGTTTGCTGGACAGTGACACACCTAATTCAGCATGTGAATGCCCTTAACAACAAGCTGGGGTACTCTGCTATGTGTTTCTAATCAGTTTCAGCTGCTGCTTAGTCGCTTTGTGCCGTTGTTTGGCGACTACACAGGAACAGCCACAGGAAAAGGGAAAGTTAGCAGGAGTACCAGAAACGATGATAGCACAGCCCATCCTTCATGATAAAGATTTCTGTCTGATTGCATTTCAATGGTAAGGACGTTATCTCATCAGCAAAGCATGGTGGCGGTTGCATCATGACTGATTCCACATTTTACTGAGAGGTTCACAGGACAAACTGGCAGTTGTACATCTATCCAGGCGGTATTTTTCAGTAGAAATTAGGTCATGGAGCCAGATAACAAACTTAAGTACGTAAGTCGTTCTACCGAGGATGATTAAGATAGAATATAGTAAATGTTCTAAAATGGCCACAGGCCTGACCTTAATCCTGTTTAAATGTTGCAGAGGGAGAAGAAGCAAACAGTTTGTGTGAAGAAACTCACAAACATCCTGGAGTCTAATCTGTTCAATGTAGGTTAAGGGCAAGAACTCTTCAAAGCCTACGGAAAAGACTGATCAACAGTCATTCTCCACAGGAAAGGCATGCAAGATATTAAAAGCAAAGGTTGACATAGGTTTGCCATTTGCAGATTTTTAAAAATACATCATTCCTCTTAATGAATGATGGGTAAAGTTAATTTTGTCAAGAATTTTGCACAAATTTCAAAATATTCCAAAGACGTTTCCAAGTTACACAATCACCACACAGAAGAACTTAAATTCTTACTTTGCGTGGGGTTGTGAGACTGATAAAAAGTTCGTACCTCACCTGCAGCAGGTAGTAGGAAGAACTGTCTGGAGAAGGGAGGAGGAATTGTTATGAGGGAGCAAAACCAGCAGCTACTGAGAGCACAGGGAGAGGAGCTTTCATACCAACTCAAACCAAATGCATCCCAATTGTGTCAGACTGATGTTCAGCTGGTCACTGTTGTCTCAACTGAACAACATCCATGAGCAGATCTAACAACCTTTATGGCCAGTGAGGTTTGAAGATCAGTTATCAAAATGTTCGGCAAGTAAACAGCAGAAACACAGTCCTCTTGTTACAAAGTAATCCAACAGGAATGCACGTTTGCATGGGTGAGATCAACCAAAGCAGACAAATGGTGAATGCCGCTGCACCGCACTACGGACCTGCTGTTGTTCAGGGGTCGATTCATGCATCAGCACCCAGGATTGACTGAGGGGGTCTATTCAAACACATAAGCTGGCTACATATTTTTCTGAATTGCTGGAATTGCTTTCAAACCAACCAATAAGCTAACCGGTGTCAGAAAGCCTTTTGGTGCTGAGTGAAAATACAGAGATTGATTTATCACAATGAGTAAGTACTCCATCATCGCACATTTAATTAAACTCAACATTGTCTTTTGTTTGAATCATAGATCTCTTCTGGCAGCACCCAATGTGACTAACTGATAAATATTTGAAAGATACTGTCTTTGACATGATCATTTAATAACCACCGCAAAAGCCGTTGGTGGATGTAGGAAATTTATATGAGGTCAGAACTGTTGTGCATATCTCCAAAGTTTATTTAAGCACAATTTTCTAAATAAATTAAAAATGTTATGAATTTTGACATTTGTTGTTATTTTCTGCTCTGATCACAAATACCATATTACTTCCCCCCAAAAATTGCAAAGTTTGTAAATTTCTCAGTTTCATTTAGGAAGCTCCATTTCAGTCTATTTCTAACCCTTATAATCTACAATGACTATATCACACATTAATAACTGTAGGATAATAGTACATAATGACGCTGTATAATGGCAAAATAATGAGTGCTATAAAGATTGCTTGATCACCAGGCTTTTTCCTGCAGCACAGTCTAATATGAAAGTGTTTATGCTTATGCATTTAGCAGAGGCCTTAATCCAAAGCGACTTACTATGCAGGTACAACACTACAATTAGTATCAACCTCACAATAAGTTACCCAGAGGGAAATCACTAGTCAGACCCTGTTAGAGGCTACAGTGGTGACAGCGATAGCCGGAAGTACAGAAAGAGATGTAGAGGGGGTGGGGAGGTACAGGGTAAGAGTTAGGGGAATGAGATGCTCTCTGAAGAGCTGGGTCTACAAGAGTTTCTTGAAGATAGACAGGGACTCCCCTGTTCTTGTAGTGCTTGGTAAATCATTCCATCATCGTGGATCAACACACGAAAAGATTTTGGATGATATGAAATACATTCGCTGTGTCGGGGACCACACATTCTACACATCTTTTCATGTGCATCAAATATTTTCAACAGACCGTGTAAGGTACCTTCAATCTCAGTTTTCCAATCAGACAACCTTACAATGTGGTAAATCCAGAATGCAGTGGGCTGGTCAGCTTCTGTACACCCACTTTAGCTGAACCATATAAGCAGGCTGTGCCGGACTGCTACTGGTGCAGTCAATGTGAAATTTCAAACAGCACAATGATTTTGAAATCCCCGCACAATGGAAAGTTCAAACACAGGAACTAAATGTATTTCTGTCAATGTATAAATTATAGTCACACTGCAAAATAAAAATAAAAAAATAAAAAAAGGAAAGAACTCCCTAACCAATGAAAGGCTTGAGCCCCCTCACCAATAGTGACAGGGCCGGGGGGCTTCAGGGACTTATCAGGCTTGATTGGCTGCACCTGTGGAGGTGGAGGTGTTCAGAAATGCAGACGCACAAACCAAAGACGAAGGTGATCGTACACAGCAAATCCTACAGATGAAACTTCTTTGTGCAAACTCCGTAAAAATATTTAACAAGTGGAGCGGATTTTAATTTTTTTATTTTAATCGAAAATAAGACCGAACCTCAACTGTTTTAAGTGGTGCGGTTCAGGGCTCAGAGAGGCTTCAGAGCACGGTGCCATCGAGGCCCCGCCCACTGTGTGACGTAGCAGGGAGCGTACTGAGCTGGGAGGAAAGCAGCTTTAATTGTAGGACGGAGGGGAGAGCCAGCGATGGCTTCGCTCAGGCAGGAGCACCACTATGGGCTCTCCTGTGGAAAGACTAACAAAAACAGCCCCAACATCACGCTGTACCACGTCAAGCTGACGGACTCCGCTATCAGAGCGCTGGAGGCTTACCAGAATCTGAAGGTACCGCTCTCTCCTGGGTTTATTGCTGGAATTATCAGTCACACCTCCGAAAAGTTTTATGTTCGCGCTTGTGTTTGTGAAATTGTTTGCGCTTTCCAAAAAAACGAATGCCGCCCTGCTGCTCGTGTGGTCTCCTGTTGTCCCCTCAACCTGCGGCGGTCAGCTCCTGCCAGCTGCTCCCACAGCTGCTTCGGTCTATTCACCAGGAGCTTTGCCGCCCAGCCCAGTGGTTGTTGGGAAGGAGCTGCTCTTTAGCTGTTTTGCTCCCAAACCCTCCAACTCCTGGAAAGTAAAGCTTATGGAGCCCACAGTTTAGTACCAGTGAATATTCACTTTATTGACTAGTGGGCTAGTTTCTCCAACAGTTGGCTCTAGTGGAGACCACTGTAAGCACATGGGCATTATTGATTATGTAACTTCCACTTACATTTAAACAGATTACAGTGTAATTGTGTTTGCTGGACTAATTAAGGCTATACAGTTCTCCTTTGCCACAATGCTACCACAAATTTGTTTATTTTTTCTCTTTCCTTAGGGAGCCTTACCAAGTGAACCGTCAATCTGTTTCAAGGGAAACCAAGGGGTAAGTGTCCTTTTTCCTCTTTTGACAAGCTTTCTATGCACGTTACTGTCATGTAAAAATAATTTTCCTGAGGATGAGGACCGCCTCAGCTCATTTGCTTAAATGGATGAAACTGCATTATGGGATGAGTGTCTGTCTTAAGCAGGCACTGATCTCTCCGGGACTTCTCTTAAAACAATGTTAGATGGTTTTTACTCTTTCTTGCGTTCGTTTCCCTGGGCTGCCGCCTCGCACGTCCCACTCTGCCGCCACCCTCCCAAAGCTGGGGCTGGAGATTATGGCTGGCCGTTTCCAGCAGAGAGGAGGCATGCAGGTTACTGGGTCAGGCTGGTGACTGTGCAGAGGCTTTGTTGGGTCAGTGAGCGGCGCTGGGAAGAGGATGAAGAGTAAAGAGGGAAGAGGGGGGGGTGACATAGTCAGAGCCAGAGTCAACATAGAGAGATGAGTCAAGTGGTTGCAGCTTAGCCTTAACAATATCTTTGGGGAGAATGCTACTTTTATTATGCCGTGCCTGTGTTTTTTTTAGTGCTCACTTGTGTATATATGATACACAAGATGTAATATATTGGCAGGTTTTCCTTGGCTCTGGGATATAGAGCTGTGTTACGCAGTAAGTGGCCTGAATTATGTGTGTTTTGACTTTTGTCAGGAGCAGCTGTGTCCTTGGGGGAATACTTACTTTTCAGTCAATGCTAATTGCGCATGCTGCTTGGAAAGAGTTGCAACCCCCTTCCTGTCACGACAAGACCAGCAGAGTAGGTGTGAGTTTTGAAAAGGGGCTGTGTGGTTAACAAACTGGATGGAACCTGTATGGGTGCTTGGTGCTGAATGTTGCTCCGTGTGTTTGTGTGGCCTGTGCTTGTTTGAATTTTGTTATGATTGTTTCAATTCAAAGCAGACAGTATTTGCTTGTACCTTCTGACCATTTATAAGATTCTTTTTAATTTCATTTTTTTAATTAAACTAAGCTCTGGCATTGCTCAGTGGCATGTGGGATTTATTCAGGGTGCCATGTATTGAAGATGGAGGGATGGTCAGTCAGCTATTTTTTTGTTTGTTTGTTTTCTCAAGTGTTTGTTTTGGGGGAGTTTTAGCTTGAAAGACGGCTATAGCACACAGATCACTGATAAGAATACATGTAGCATTTCAAATAAGACCAATGCTGCAAATCAGGGTATTTGCTGTGAGTACTATTAGTAAGACATGACCTCATCAATATTTTGATTCAGGTCTTTTTTATAGTAGAAGTTTTTCTTATCGTAAAGTCAATCATTCTAATGACTTTGTCTTGTGATAAAATTAGGTGGGAAGTGTCAGGTTTTTCTCTACAAGGATCCAAGCGCTTATTCTGAAATATACCGGCACAGCAGTGCAAATGGATCTTGGCACTTCTGTGTACTGCGATTGGCCAATGGATTGCAGGGAATATCGCACCACTCCTAATGTATGGTGCAGAGAGCTAAGGTTATTAGCCAAATGAGTGTTTAGAGGTAATTACAGTGGTTCTAATGCTCTTGATTACAGAGTGAGACATTGTGACTTGAGTTTGCATTAGCTTTCGCTGTCTGCCTGACTCAGACATCTAATACTGTGTTTGCGTGTGTGGTGCTGAACTAATAATGAGACTGATGGCATAAACTCTGGCATGCTAATTTTTCCTTTCATGCCCAAGTTGGACTCCTTCTTTTTGTTAATCATTTTTGTTAATCATAAAGAGCGAATGCACCTTGTCTGCTGAGTTGGTATGAAGGGCTGAGCATAGACTTCTATAACCTCTACACCTCCTTCACAAACATGTTTGCATGCTCGAGTGTTTTTCTGCCACTTGGGGACTGTCTTAGAAATACATGGAATCAATCTGCTGTGAGCTGTTCATGGCTGTGTTGGTGCTGTTGGTTATTTAGCTTTAGTTTGTGTTTGAAAAGGCTGAATTTGTATTATGCAAAGACTTTGTTAAAACTAGGTGTTTAGGTAACCAATATTGCCCTAATGGTGCCATTGTTTGCGCTTTTCACATCAGCTTCCTCACGTTTTTTTAATCTTTAACTATTTTCTCGATTTTGTTGTTTGTTTAGCAAAGCTCACGCCAACAGTCAGTACAAATCGATCAGTTAAATAACCTTCCGTTTGGAAGTATCCATGTAAGTTGGACTTGCGCTGAGCACATACTTAAAGGGGTGGATTGACTGTGCATTACAGTCTGGGTGTGTGTTTGTCCAGTTTTTTATCTGATTTAAACGTGTGGTTTAGCTCAGACCTGGGTGTGGATTATGTGTGTTTTTAGTAATGCATTTTATTTATGTGGATGCATTTTGTTTTTGTTACTTTGTCTTGTGTGGTCTAAAGTCATGACTTATTCAAGTCCTGCGTCCCTGTGCCCATTGTGCTGCAGTTGCCAGTCTGGCAGGACCAGAGAGGATCCCTTGAGGACCCTCTTTAAGCTGTGTGTGCGTTAGTGTGTCTTCACTGCATGACTGAAAGTATTAATTTTTGATACTGAATTTACAGCAACTGCATGTTTAAATATAGGGACTTTTCCCCCTTTTTGCCTGTCTATGTGCATTTCGGTTGCCTAAGCCTGGGTCCTGGGAGTCCCCCTGGGGTATGTGTTGTCTCCTCTGATTTGAATAACAATGAGCTGGGGAATGCAGACTATGTGTTGTCACCCTTCCTGAATCACCCAAAAGGAATTGGATTTTTCAGTACAATACACTGCCATCAGTCCAGATGTGTTGTGGCCAGCCCTGAGGGTTTGTTTGTGCCCAGCATGATAGAAGTGTCCCTGCTGTGGATAATGGAGTGGAACTAAGACTGGGAACACTCCAAACATCCTCCATCACAGACACTTTTTAAGAAATGTTGTAATTAATATGTCAGCTTTTAGTTTGTTTTACATTTGTAATTCATGTCCTACTTTACTTTCCATCTGGAAAAACTGAAAAGTTGCAGTAAATGCTTTTATTACTGGGTATGTGGGAATGAATAACTGGTAGATTATATTAATGCGATGAAACGCATTGTAATGCAAATTAGCTTTCCCTTCTTATTTGTAATCTCTTTAGTGTATAATATGTAATCTGTATGTCACCAGTTGTAAACATGTTTTTGGCCAGACAACATTAATTAGCTCACAAAGGGAAAGTTGTTTCAGGATTATGTTTAAAAGGGCCTATTTATACTATTTCTTAAACACCAGGAACAGAACTCTTATGCTCCGACCAGATTACAACCCCCTGTAGCAAGACAATTATCCCTCTGAGTTCCAGCAGCAGCTCTTTGAAATGGATTCTCTGTCTGTTTAAACCAGGTTGAGATATGAAGCATATCTTGGCTTGCTCAGGGATGTCCTGTTTAATTGCCTCATGTGAAAACCACGACTTAATGAGGCATAGATAGGTTGTTTTTGTCCCACATGGCATACGTGTCATACATGGATTGGCTCAACATGTCTGGAAACAGTGTTTTGACAAGTAGAAGTATAGGCATTAGTCTGGCACCGTGACCCATAATTTGTTGAAGTGGGCAGTTTGACCCTCAGGCACCTGCTGGAGACATATCGTTGTTGGCAGTGGAGGGCTAAACCCCAGAGGATGCTTGTGGCACCGTCCCCCTGCCTGTCTGACTTCTTTTCAGCGACTGCTGGAGCTTGCATTTCTGGCAGCAGCTCTGCCCCTCTGTGAAATTGCAAATGAAAAGGAATGGAAGGTGATTACAGGCTGGGGCTTGATTACATGCACTGTCTCCCACTCAAAGCAGCCACATTAATCACCTAGCGTCGGCATGTGGAACGCAGTCAGGGAGAAGACTCTGCAGCTTCAGAGTTGACTGATTGACTGTGGATCATAAACACACCCCTGCATTAAAAACACACAAGAAATCCTAGTTTCTGTCTTTCCTCTTCAGCTCTGCTGCCCCCATCTTCTCTCTTCCATGCAGCCAGAAACACAGACGCACATTGTGTTTTGCATCTTTGTCCTCTGTTGTGGGAGGAGGGGGGCTTGTCTTTAGTGGCAAGTGTCAACTTGTGGTCCTGGGAACAATTCACTTCTTTTGTTTGCGATGGGATGATGAGAAGTAGTGTTTACTGAAGTGTGGTGAGGATGAGGGCAGTGGGTGGCTGTGGTCTGAGCTTCTGTATGTGTGTGTGTGTGTGTGTGTGTGTTTCTAAGCCAGCAGTGGAGATGTTTGCCTTATCACTCAACTTTGGCCACGCTTTCATGAGTGGCAGTAATGCTGATTATAGCCTGACGAGAGAAACAGAAACTGAGCTTCTTTTTGCTCATGCTAGATTAACACAGACTCACACTTGCACTGTTTGCCTTAACATCCACCCCAGAATGACTCGACTCCAGCTGATAACTAGCAGAGGTGGTGGCGACAGGTTTGACTCCCTCCTCCTTCTGCATGTCCTCCCTCTCCACCCTTTCTACCAGAAAGGGGAAGCAGTGCCATGGCATCTCACTCTGGAGCCGAGGAGGCCGGGACAAAAGACAGCCTGTTTTCAGACGGCCATTACTCAGGCTGCAGAGGATGTGGAAACAATAGCCTGCATGAGATCTACACCCAGACCTCACATTCACCCAAAAGCTCACAGGAAACATAAACCCCGTGCACCGACAGCAGTCTCTCACAGTTTTTGTTCCATCAACTTTATAGTTTGATAAAGCCAGGAAAATGAGCCTTTCCCCTTCTGTGCCTTCAGTATGTGGAGACATTTATGACGGCTCAGAGAGGACTGCAGCTCATTAAGATAATGTCGCCACACAGAATTGACAATCTTGACTTGAATTGTATCAAACCCTTTTCAATATATAATTTGTCCTGTGAAAATTTCTCTTTTTTTCCACCATTATCATTAAAGGTGGTATTTTGAAGCTGATGTTGGTTGAGCTCTGTATTGAATGCTGACTACTTAGTTATCTATTTCATATGCCATCTAAGCAGACACACAACAATATTGGTTAATAATAAGACAAGATGTAGACATGAGAGAGAAGGTAATTACATTGTTCAGGGGTTCGACAGTTTTGTAATTGTAGGCATAATAAAGTAGGTCCATACGAGCCAAGTCTGGGATAACTCTATTTGGATGTATTATGAAAAATGAGGTGCATACATGTCTATGTAGGGTAAATAACACTGTCTTACTCCACATTAATTATACCTTGCTCCGAATATGACCTTATGATAATCAGAAATTGCGGTTTGCACACACATTGTGGATTTCAGAATATGGCCATATGTATGTAAACGTAGCCAGTGCTAGAATTGGAGATGGTTCATTTCATGGTGTAACTGATGCTATGACCTTAATGTAAATAACCAGCCAAATAAATTCAGCATGAAATGAAATTCTAGGAGTACATAATTGGCAAACTGGAAAATAAAATCCAAACAAAACCAAACTGAAGAGATAAGGAAAGAAAAGGTTAGAAATGATATGTTTGGTATTCTAAGAAGGAAATCTCATCTATTGTAAGCCTACCGCTTGAGTAATTGTGCCAAGGAGTACATACGGGGAATGAAATGAAGAAACAGTCTCCAGCGATGCGAGTCCCATCAGTCTCCATCCATCTCTGTTGCAGCGCCAGTCTCACATAAAGTTTAAAATGATTAAGTCTTTGTAGATACCTGCTTCACTTCCACATGGAGTAGGTCAGCTAATCATATTGGTGACCTTGGGGATTGTTTTTTTTTTTATAATTTGATGACAGATGGATGGAGACAGGCTTATGCCAAGAATGACACCTTTTGAGAGGGATTAATGGAAACAAAGGATGGAGGGAGAGATGAGGGCAGACACTTGGGTACTGCACCACAGACACAAATTTGTCGTGTATATTATTCAATAATGAAAAAAATTGTGAAAATGTTTAGCACTCAGCTGAAGACGGTCTAGTTTAGGTTTTAAATTTAGAATATCTCAAAATACTTTCTACCTTTTGGCCTCTCGGGTTCACTAAGCTTTAGAAATGCTTTACATGACACCATCTTTTGTAACTTTAGCTTGATTTATTCTTCCATTTTTACCATGCTCAAGTATCAGTTTAGAAGCAACTTGCAGATTCTCCGAAAATCTTTCTTGAAAGGAAGCCTATGAATATTTAATTGGTTATATCAGTTGAATTCTTAAAGAGCCAAACCCTTTATAAAAGCTTCTCTCTGGATCTCTTGAATTGCACCGTGTACCTCTCGGGGGAGCATGCCAGGCTTTGGAACCTGAAGTGCTTGTTGTAGTTTTCACAGCAGGAGGCCGAACATCGGCCCCGGGAAGTCCCACTAGCAGTGGTCGAATGGTAAATGCGAGGGAATTCTCCTTGAAGCTCTGTATGGAATAACATCTGCCTCAGCTGGTGTTGTGGGACAGCAAAAGCACAATCCATTCAACAGTGTCTGAATTATTAATAGTTGTTGCTGTGGTGGAAGACCAGAGGAAGTGTCCCCTGGTCACCCCCTCATAGGTGGATGTTTTCTTTTTATGAGGATATCGTTTTGGTTTGAGATGTATTTGGACTGTTCAAGAAGAAAAGCTGTCTAACAACCCCATTTTAACGTTTGATCAATTTACATCTTTTACATTTTATTTGGTTTAAAGAACATTTTCAAATGTTGAGATATGAACTAAGTTAAACTGAGTGTAGGTTACATAGGATCAGCAATTAACTAGTCCCCTTTATTTTACAGTGTTGACAACATTTGTGACAGTGAATGTTTAAGTTTATTTGTTTGGGGGTAAAAAAGTTGATAAAAGCATTAGATGTATCTCACTGGAGAGCACTCAAAGAACTAACTGTCCTAAACTTCCACTTTTTTACTTATTTAGATGGTGGGAAATGCCCTTCTTTGCTGCTGGGAATGTCTGTGGGCCTCTCACACATTATGTGATGTGTATGATCAACACATTGGATATGCGAAGTGAATTTCAAACGCATGCCGAAAACAGATATTTCTGGCATGTATGCATGCACAGTCAGCTATGCACAGTAGCCTCAAGGGTTGTTATCATATTCTTCAAACCAAGATGTGGTGTTTAAAGAGAGTATTAAGATGACATTGTTTGTTTTATTGAAAGCCTACTTTATAACGGATTAATTAATGATTTGTTGGCAACTGTAAATGTCCCTACACAGTCTTTCCCCAAAAAACAAGGCAACAAGAAAACTCAGAGTTGGAGTCACCTATTGCTTTGGTGTCTCCTGCTGCCCCTCCTCTTCATTGTTACATCGGCAAAATGGTAGAGCTGTTTAGCATCTTAGGATGACTGTGTGGGTCTGTAGCTGGATGCTACTTGAAGCCATTTGAGAAACCCAGGAGTTTTTTCTTTTTTATTTAATGACTTCATTTATTTATTTCTTAGATTAAGATTTGTAATTGCCATCCTGTTAGATAAACTAAATATGTTTTTCTTTCTTTCTTCTTTGTTTGCAAATTACACTACTCCTTCAGACTATTTCTCAAGTTTGCAACTGAAACATGAGCTGTTCTTTACAGAGCTACCAGATGTTTTAGTCATTGTGCAACTTGTTCACATTTCAAAATCAGTTTTGTTAGAAAAAAAAAACTAAAAATAGGGCTAAATTGTGTTTTGTTTTTTGCTTTTGACTAACAGAGATATGTCAGTGTGAACTTTGTATCACTGAAAGGTTACCCTCAGGCAGACTCCAGCATGGCATCAAAACGCATGTTATGTAAGAAACTGAGGTTACTTACTGAGGTCTACCTGAGCTGCTGCATGGAAGATGCTACTCACAGTTCAGCCTTATTTAGTTTGTTTAAATTCCTGTGGTGAAAGGCTGCCAGGAAAAGACATGTGCAGCAGCATGATAAGAAAATAGGGGCCAACGTCCTAATGGCTTTGGTGCACACTCGTGTCAAAGACTTTGAGGTGACCTTTAGTGACAACTCAAAAAGTGAACTGAACATCATTCACTTTAGCTCAGATTAACTTCATAACCTCTTTAACCTTTAGTCTTTGTCTGTGTTTTATTTTTTATTTTTACAGAAATGGAATTTAAACAGAAGATCAACTAAAAATTCTCAAGGAAAAATGAAAGACCGAGTGACTAATGATTTATATGGCTGGCATCATGCTTGAGACTTCTGTTTATTTGAGCACGGATGAACACATTAGTACAAGAGGCTGTTTAAAGCTGTTTTTTTTTTTTTATGGCTATAGTTTACTATTGGGATTTCTTCATCCATGGATGATGGCTTCGTGTTGGAACAAGTGTATGTAGAGAAATACAAATGTTCATGTTTTGAAAAAGTGAATGGAAACAGCCAGGCCAGCTCTCTTATCACTGAGGCTGGGCAATGTATTTATTCAGCTGTTATGGTAAATGTTGTATATAAAGAACCGTATGTGTCCAGAAGGAACAATCTTCAATTGTATGGCATTTGACTTATTTAATACTACCATAAAATAGAATAACACACTTGTGAGCGGCACCTTTATCATCATGAAAGCTTCTGAAAAAGTTAATAAAAGAGCTTTGCTGGTGACATAAATACTTTGTCAAAATGTGGTATATTTATTTCAAAGTACGGTACTTAATCCACATATAAGTAAAATCATTTGTAACCTCCTAATCTGTGCAGTTTGGTCTCAAGCATATTTGTCACATTTACATGTGCAGGTAGAAACATCTGAACTCAGAGCAGCATGTACCACATCGGATGAGGGGTTATGAAATTCCACCATGAAACCACAGTAAACCCGTTTCCAATTCCTGAAAGTGTCACAGATTCACAGGTGCATGACAACTGTAGAAATCAGATTCTGGGGCAAACTGCTCATTTTTTGGCTACTTTCAGTCGATGGTAGAGAGAACATTGTGGACTCTTCACTCTGAAAGTTTGAAGTTGTTTATTACAGATAACTTTACAGATTACGTCATGTGTTTTATGTCACTGGACCAGCTGTAGCCCTTCTTTGGTGCAGGGATGCCAATTTCTTGTGAACTTTGAAGTGTCGGCTACATGAGAATGAATATGTCAACGTTGCACTTTCATGAATTTCAACGTCTTCCTCTTTGCCTCTTTTATTTATATTTTATTTATTATTTATATATAACTAGATTATTTTTTGTGCGTGTGTGTGTGTATGTGTGTGTGTGTGTGTGTGTGTCTGCCCTGGAGGTTGCAGCCTTGGCGCTGCTGTGCTCCACTGAGTCTGCCAAGAGATCTCAAGGACGCCTCAGTGGAGTAACCTCTTAAAAACACTGCTTACCCAAGGAGATTTATTTACAGTTACACAGCAGCGGAGAGTTGGAGTCTAAATACTCTGCGTGCATATTACACAATGCTTTTACTCATGCTGAACTTAGTTTAAAATACACAGAGTAAATAGTGGGCAGTTGTGATTATGACATTTAAAGTATTAGATAAACAATAAGTTGATCTCTTTTCTTATCCCACCATTAACCTAAGAGCTTACTAGTAATGTAATAACCTGGCAACCATTTGTTGGTATTATGTTCTGGAACGATGATGATGTTGTTGTCTGATTCCATAAATACAAATTGGTTTTAAATTTGAGATGCCACATTTATATTTGATTGACACAATCGGATAGCTAGTTGAAATTTAAATAAAGACATGATAATTCAGTTTTTTAGCATCCTATCTTTGTACAGATAAAATGATCTGTCATTTCCAATAGTTCCACTTTAATCAAATAATAATGATATCCTTTTTACTTTCTATTATTTTCTAACGTTTGTTTTTGTTATTTATTCTTCTACGTATTTTGGGTGATATGTTGTCAGTGTTCACAAAGTGAATTTGTTTTAATAACTGACAAAAAAAAAATATATTGATGGTATGGGGAAAAAAAGTTGTTTCCCTCAGGTTTGGAAAAAAAATCAGGTGTTTTTTTCCCTCATTGGTTATAATATCGCCTCATTTATTTTTAAAAGAGAATTCAATTTGGTTCAACTTTTCAACACTTGTATTTCCAAAGATGGCTGTGAGGTCCATGTCCAGGCACCTCAAACCACACAACTTTGTTCAGGACTACAAACAAAAACTAGTTCACTTTAATCCATCTGAACTGAAGTTTGTACTAGTTTTGGGTGGATTACTGATGTTTAGACTGAAGGTTAACCTGAATATGCTGTCTTCTGTTTGTACGGTGGCAGTACTAAGAAAACTGTACTGGGCACCACAGCAAGAACTTTTTTCATGCACTCCAAAAAAAAAAGAAGCTTTTCTGTACATGCCGGTCTGATATTTGCCGCAAGCTGTTTAGTGGTGAAAATGAGCAGTGATTTATGTTGATTGCAAAACCATTTCTTGGACGACCTTGTGTTTCTTTGCTTCAGTATATTTGGCAGTGTAGTTAGTGAGAATTTTGCTGAGTAGATGATTGCTTTTCCCAGCAATAAATTCACAGTGTAAAAGTTGATAAAAGATGCAGGATTGCTAAGGTGAAAAGTGTACAAGTTGAAAACAATTGGCTGACACCAGGCCTATAAACAAGAAGTTATGTACCTTTTTTTTTCTTTTGTTTACTTTTGTAATGAGGTCGGACGTTGAGAGATGCAGAAAATCCTAAAATGTGGTACATGTTAATGTGTGGTTTCATGCGTAGTTTTTGTTTTTTCCCGCTCATTCGTTTTTTTTTTTTTTTGCAACAAATCACCTTGATTTTTCTGTGGTTTGACTTTTAGTGCATCAAGATTCCAGCTCCAACGGCTGAGTCGGCTTCAGCTCTTCGCGTCTTCTCCTTCTATTTATCCAGTGACAACAAAGACCAGCCGCAAGCCAGTTTTGACTGCATCCATCAATATGTCTCAAGGTATGATTTTCATCTGTTGCAACCTGTAACGATGACAAAAGTCACATATACTACAGTTGTTGCGTCTTTAAAAAAAAAAGACATCCTTTGCCAGAAGAAAAGGTGAGCCTGTCGTACACAGCACAGAGATGTCATTTTATTAATGTTTCTAAGCCTCTGTTATGATCTAAAATACTCTTATTTATAAAGAAGATATGCTTGGAAAAGCTGTGTCCTGCCTCTGCATGCCAGGTAGCTAATTGTGGACAAACTTGACTGGTCCTGGCTCCAGTCTTTTGCTGCAGCCAGTAAAAACAAAGTAACCACATGGGCATGATCCTGCTCTCTGTGCCCCGACATGTATTTCCATATTTAAAGGATAAAGAGGAGAGATGGTCAGTGGTCATGGGTATATTTGAGCTCAAATTAAAATTAAATCAGGATTAAAGGTCCCCTATTTTTAAGGCAAAATGAATTTGGCAGCACAGTAAATTCCCTGTACAGTATTTATGCTTCCTTAGGTTCACATATCAAAGTATTTACTTTTGTCAGAGATTATCCTTATTTTGCCGACTTTCCGGCAGGAGCCAAGGTAATCCTGGTGGTTTTCCACATGCTGTGTCCTGCTTTGAACCTGCTTTGAACCAGACTACAGGTCTATATCTGGCGTGTGACAAAACATACAGTAACCATAGATCTGTCTTAACCGGCTCTCGCCACAAAACCGCATTTAGCTGCATGGACACTCTACTGCTCTGAGACAGCTTGTAGGAGTGTTTACAGAATTTAATGTGATTACTTATTTATTCATTTTTAACTTTTTTTTCTTTTTTTTCTTATCTTTGGATTGCAGTGATGGGCGTGAGCAACTTGAGGGTCAAGGGAGCATCCAGGACAAGATCACTGTGTGTGCCACCGACGACTCCTACCAGATGACCCGCGAGAGGATGTCCCAGGTGGAGAAGGACAGCTGGAGCCGCTCCGCCATTGAGATCAAACCTGGAGCCACACATCCAAGTAAGATTAGACTAGGCTTCTGTGGTGGAAAACACATTATGAATCAGAGGGTGAAACATCTGAACATTCTTTTTCTTCTTGCAAAAAGGCCAAGTAGTGTTATGCTTTGAGGCCTATATCAAAATTGGATGGCCACACTATTGTTTTATATAAAGAAAAAATATAAATGTGATTGCAGCAAAGATCTGATACATTTGGCTTACTGGGAAAAAAAACTTCTCAATTAGACACTTAAAGCTGAACACAAGATACTTTTGTAACCAGATGTTTTGCCAGTTTTCTAAATTAGATTTTTTTTCTCTCTGTCAGTATGAGATTTAAACTCAGGATCTTGTGTTTTGCTTCGAAAACCACAGTTTGGAGGGAAAAAAAAGTGGTGAATACGTGTCAGCCAAGCATGCTATTAATGCAAAATTAAATCCTCACCAGTTGTAAACAGTTTGATTTTTGTTCAAAACGCATCAAAGTTTTGCAGTGTGGTTCCAGTTGTTTATTTGGAAAAGACTTAACTTGCCATGAAACTTCTGATCTTAACAAAAGTTAATTGTTTGCCATAATACTGAAACTCAAAAGTATTTTTGTCTTTAGATTTTAAACTCAAAGGATATTTGAAAGCAGATTAATCATTGGAGAGTATGATCCGAGTATGGATGTCTTTGCTGTAATTGTGCAATATTTTTGTTGGCACAGTTCTCAACCCCCTTGTCAGGGCTACAATTCCAGGGACGCTGAAATTCTAGTTGATCTGGGCCAAATTTAGACTTTGTAGATTGTGTAACATCAGCTCTTAAATCAAAGATGGCAGAGTAACGTACAGTGTTAGAGGGAAATATTTGATAACTACATTCTAAATTCTCCTTATGTACTGTGCATTCAGTCTTAATATAAGTCAACAAATATGCTGAGGCAGAGGTCACATCGTATTTAAGGCTGGAAAAATGAATGAATGATGAAAATAAATGTATAGAAGTAAGAACAACTTCACTAAAATTATGAAGATAGAAGTAAATTAAAGAGATGTGTTGAGTTAAAATGGCATCCTCTCATTTTGCACGTTCTCTACTCATGCAACAGCATTTTGTGGCGCTTTCCACTCTAATAAGAAGAAAATCAACATCTTTAAAAAAATTATTTGGTTCAAGAAAGTTATATTTTCTGTGCTTCTATTCTGTTATGTTAGAACCCTTTTTTTTAACGCGATTTCCTTTGCAATCACTTGCAGTAACACTTTCGACAGCAGTTTTCCTTTTGAATTCATCAGATATTTTTCTTTTTTTTTATTGCTGTTGGATAATCTCAGCCTGGCAGTTAAAAGGAGGCAATGTCACTTTATTCACCATGATTTAATGTTTGCAAGGGCGGCATTCTGGCTAAGGAAAATAGTTGCTTGGTTGGGGAAAAAAAAATCTAAAAATGATTCCAAACATTTATAGTATACTAAAAATATGAGATATTGTAATATATCTTCATCATAATTTATGTCTGGGAGGGTACCAGTGACAGTGCAGGGTATTGTTATATCTTTACTAGACACAGTTTAGGTCGTGAAGAGAAATCTCTCTTTTCTTGTACCTCTCCCCCACTCTGACCTTCAAAGTACAGATTAACCTGTAATGGGATTAGCACAGGGAGGGATGGCTTTCACTGCTCTAACATGCCCCATGTGTTTTCAGCACAGATGGAAGCAATAATCAATCATATTTTAACAGTTGAGGAAATGTAGTCGGCAGCCTTAACTTCCTCAAGCATATATAACATACACTATATTGCCAAAAGTATTTGCTCACCTGCCTTGACTCACATATGATCTTAAGTGACATCCCGTTCCTAATCCATAGGGTTCAATATGACGTCGGTCCACCCTTTGCAGCTAGAACAGCTTCAACTCTTCTGGGAAGGCTGTCCACAAGGTTTAGGAGTGTGTTTATGGGAATTTTTGACCATTCTTCCAGAAGCGCATTTGTGAGGTCGCACACTGATGTTGGACGAGAAGGCCTGGCTCTCAGTCTCCGCTCTAATTCATCCCAAAGGTGTTCTATCGGGTTGAGGTCAGGACTCTGTGCAGGCCAGTCAAGTTCATCCACACCAGACTCTGTCATCCATGTCTTTATGGACCTTGCTTTGTGCACTGGTGCACAGTCATGTTGGAAGAGGAAGGGGCCAGCTCCAAACTGTTCCCACAAAGTTGGGAGCATGGAATTGTCCAAAATGTCTTGGTATGCTGAAGCATTCAGAGTTCCTTTCACTGGAACTAAGGGGCCAAGCCCAGCTCCTGAAAAACAACCCCACACCATAATCCCCCCTCCACCAAACTTTACACTTGGCACAATGCAGTCAGACAAGTACCGTTCTCCTGGCAACCGCCAAACCCAGACCCGTCCATCAGATTGCCAGATGGAGAAGCGCGATTCGTCACTCCAGAGAACGCGTCTCCACTGCTCTAGAGTCCAGTGGCGGCGTGCTTTACACCACCGCATCCGACGCTTTGCATTGCACTTGGTGATGTATGGCTTGGATGCAGCTGCTCGACCATGGAAACCCATTCCATGAAGCTCTCTGCGCACTGTTCTTGAGCTAATCTGAAGGCCACATGAAGTTTGGAGGTCTGTAGTGATTGACTCTGCAGAAAGTTGGCGACCTCTTCGCACTATGCGCGTCAGCATCCGCTGACCCCGCTCCGTCAGTTTACGTGGCCTACCACTTCGTGGCTGAGTTGCTGTCGTTCCCAAACACTTCCATTTTCTTATAATACAGCTGACAGTTGACTGTGGAATATTTAGGAGCGAGGAAATTTCACGACTGGATTTGTTGCACAGGTGGCATCCTATCACAGTTCCACGCTGGAATTCACTGAGCTCCTGAGAGCGACCCATTCTTTCACAAATGTTTGTAAAAACAGTCTGCATGCCTAGGTGCTTGAATTTATACACCTGTGGCCATGGAAGTGATTGGAACACCTGATTCCGATAATTTGGATGGGTGAGCAAATACTTTTGGCAATATAGTGTATATACATCATTTTTGGTGAATGTTTAGATGTAAGTTAACCTAGTTAAACAAGTGATATGTATTAATGTGCAGGTGGTAAAGGTATCAATGACAGTCAGTCACTTTTTCTCTCTCATAGCTTGCTGCTCATATTTGGCCTCTTACATGAAGACATATTGTTATAAAATTCCTAATATATATTCCTCCATGAGTATTTGAGACTAGGATAATTACTTTATTGGACAGGATTTTATTTTGATTTGTTTCTGTGTTCAGGCAAATGCATCAAGTACCAGAAGAGACCAGTTCCTCTGCCTGCTTCAGACAGCTTCTTGTCTAAGCTGTCATCTAACAACCGGAGGAGCGGCGTTATGGCCACTGCGACCCTGAAGCCCCTGAAGGACCGCATCATTCACTTGCTGGCCCTCAAACCATACCGGAAACCGGAGCTTCTACTGTGGCTAGAACGGGAACGAGCAGGACCGAAGGACAAGGCCGAGCTGAGTGCCGTACTTGAAGAGGTACTTAGAAGCACATCCTGCATATAAACACAGACATGCACCTTAAAAGCACATTTTCCCTTTAGTTCCATGAATGGGTTATATTGACATAATGTTTTTGTTTTGTTTGTTTTTTACGATGAAATTAATAGATCGATAGACACTTTAATAATCCTGAGTGAAAATCAGTACTTGTGTGTAAAGCTTGTGTGTTTATTTGCACACTTCTCACCTGAATGTGTTTCTATTTCCACACAAACCGTTGTTTCACTGTTGTTCAGTTTGGGTTTTAACTAACGCATATGGACAAAATGTTCCAACCATTAACGCGTTATAAAAACACATGACCCCATTTTTTAACAAACTGCTTTCAAGCACTTAGGCAGCTTGCAAACAGCTTTCATTCCTAGCAATTAGTACAATTGCAAAAACATCAGGCAATAGATGTCTACTCAAACATGCATGTAACCATGTTCATTGTAAAAATGATCTTAAAAACAAGAGACCAATATTTGGTCTAGCAAACATCATTCTGCTGTAAGAGAGGAGAACCAGCTGTGCTTTCACTGAAGTCGTGATCTAATTTGGAGAAGTTTACTTTCAGCGACTTTCCTGTATACATTTTTGAGTAATTCCTAAATGATGTATGTGTGTTTTTGATTGCAGAGCGAGTGTTTGTGTGCGTTCCAGACCTAATGTGTGTTGATGTGTGTGCATGCATGTGGTTTATGTGTCAGTGCATGTGAGTAATTAGGTCACTTCTGTAATTGTCTCTTCAGAGATTGTGTTTGCTGCTGGGCGGGCCGCCCTGTCAGCAGGCACCAGAAAGATAAATGTCCTCAGAGAAAGGCAATCAGACAAGATGGTGATACATTGTGAGAAAGAAGGCTCAGAGAGCTTTACTTAATATCAAACCACAAGCTGGTGGACTTCGGGAGCCTTTAGCAGCTGGAGCACCTTTTGCCTTTTGTCCCAGATCAATTATTTTTGGACATATTTTACGTTTTAGATACTTCTCATCCAAAGTGCATTTTTTTTGAGTGAATGTTCACTTCTATTCAATCATGATTACACAGCCCACAGCTCGGGATGGATAATTTCACTTTGCTTGCAGTCTACAACTTTACCCCAACATTTCATTTGCCTGACGTCTAAAAGTGTTTTCTGATGTTTCAGGTGGCCAAAGTGAATCCCAAAGACAGCAACTACTTGTTAAAGGATGATTTTTACAAGCTGGTGCAGAGAGACTGGCCGTGCTACAACGACGAAGAAAAACGGCTGATCGGCCGGTTGTTGGCCAGGTATGTTTGAGTGTCAGTGCTCGTAAAAGCAGACTATAATCATCTCAGTAAACACAACTCCTTACTTTATAAACGGCATCACCCTAAATTAACCAGTAATTAGAAATGGAAAGGTTCTTGTTCCCTTTTTGTTTTTTCTTTGCGGTTTGTGCCTCTGTCATCCTCTGTTTTCAGTCTCTCACATCTGTGCACACATGCCAATCAACACTCAGCAGCTGAGCTTGTCTGTACTTGCTTGTCAAACGCTCTGTTCACTTTAATGCTTGGCTCTAACAGGTCTCCTGTAAATTTTTGGAATGGTATTGATTCAGACTGAGTGTTTCTCAGGTTCAGAGACAGTATTGTTCGTTCTGTCCCTCACAGGAAGTTGCAGCCGCATATCAGCAACATTTCAAGAAGTCTTCAAGCACATTCCATTGTGCCGAAGCCCTCAGAGGATCAAGGCATAGCAAAAAGTTCTGCTGTGGTAATTGTCCTTTTTTTAATTATAATTGTGTTTGCACATTTTACTGACATGACCAGAAAGCCAGAAAGGCAATCAAGATGTTGATACACATTAAGAAATTCTGACAGTTTTAGCTGGCTTTTTCTATACCAGCTAGGGACTAATCTTCTTGTAAACTCAAACTTGTCTGTAATCATGTTGTCAGCACCTATCCGTGTAAATACAATTGCTTTGTATTTAAACTGTAGCCCTTTTGTCTTTAGGGAAGTCAGTTAACAGAGTTGGAACAGCATTTAGTGCAAGACCTTAACATAACGATTATCTAGTTTGTTTTTTGTTTTTTATTTTTATTTTTTATTTTTTTATGTGATCCATATGAAAATGTTTGAGAAATCGATGTCTGTTGTGGGATTCCTTCTATTTTCAGAAACGCCCTGTGCCTTTTGACTCACTTGAAATAACGGCTGTTAAGAGACAAAGGCCTGCAGATCAGAGGTTAAAACACCAGTCAACAGTAAACGGACTCTTGAACAATAAAGAAGCACATGATGATGCACCTCTGAACCTCGACCCCTGTTTCCACCCAAAGACTGAGTCTCAAAAGACAAGTAGCCAAACAGATAACCAAACTGGCCAACCCCGGGGCCACCACAGCCTGATGCACAAACTGTACAGCAACTCTGACAGACCTGTTTCTGAGACCAGAGAACAAGAGCCCAAAATAAACAGCCATCAGCCACCTCAGCATGACTCCGACTTCACAGGGCAGCAGCAGCTTGCTAACAACCAGCACCGAAAGAAGAAATCTAAAAAGCACAAGGACAAGGAGCGGGAGAGACTAAAAGACGACAAGGGAAGCGAATGGTTGAAGTCCAGTCCTGATCTGAAGCAGAATGCAGACAAACTGGACAGTAAGGAACATTTTATTCTTTTTAGTTGAGCTGCATTATCTCTTTTCTACTTTTTTATATCTGACATTGTTTGTTCAAATCGTAAAGCCCTATTTCACCAAATTCCTCCTTCTGTGGGTGTCTTTAACTTCTATGTGACATTCTTTATGATTCTTGTCTGAATGCTGGATCTGTCAGGCTTCAGTGGTCACACCCTTTTTTTGTTACGAGTCTGAACTGTTTGTGCATGTAAAATACCAGTTTAACCACAATTACTTAGAACAGGTGACCAGTGAGTGCAATAGGGTGGTCTGAGAGACCCTTTAGTTACATGACAGCCCCTTGTTGCATTTGTGTAGTATTATCTCATAAGCATGGGTGTGTTTTCTCCCATAAACTCACCCTCTTGAGTCCTCTCTATCTTATGTGGCTGAGTGACTCAACAACAACTTGAGCCGTGCACTGGCTCTCTAAGCTTAGAGGTCCCCTGACAGCTTCAAGCTCTTAGCCAGTCGGCACAGAGGCGGCAGGAACACGCGCTTCATGTGGCTTTTGTCCAAACAAAAACACATTGGTTAAAAACGCAGATGGTAGCAAGGCACCGTGTCACCAACTGCATCAACCCATGTTTTTTCTTCCTTTTGCTCCAGATGCTGACATCACAAATGCCATGACCTCTGAGGAGAAGCCGGATTATGTTCTGTGAGTGCAAATAAAATTAAATGAATAAATTAGATAACATCAAAATGAAATAGAATTGAAAAATATATACATATATTATTTCAAATAATATGTAACAGATTTTAGTCTTTTGCTGCCATCTAGTGTCCGAAAGAGGGGCTGCACAAAAGGAAAATAATATTTGGCATGGTTGGCAGTCTTTAGAAAACGTAAGCTATTGTCCATGGAGAAAAGGGTGCTAAAAGCTGAATTTATCTGTGTGCAGGATGAAATGTTGCTGGAAGACAGAGTCTGTGTTCTACTCGGTTGCATCTGACTTATTACGTTGCATGTTCATGGGTCTAAATGTGTTCTTGTTTGTGTCGCCCTGTAGCGCATACGGTACCATAACGAGTCTGGAGCAACGTCAGAGGTACCAGGAGGATTTCTGTGCAGAGTATGATGAGTACAAAGACCTTCATTCGCGGATTGCCACCATTACTCACATGTTTGTTCAGCTTGGATCTAAGATTAAGAGCCTCTCCCCAGGCACACGAGAATATAAGGTATCTGGAACTTTAGGAAGGAAAATGTATGTGCCGTTAAAACAATGATCATTTGGTGATGGCGCTTTCATTTTTTCCCCGTAGATAATGGAAGATCAAATACTAGAAAAGTACAACAAGTATCGAAAGGTAACTGCATATAATTGGCTTTGAGATATTATATGTTTTTAGATGTTTGTGTGTGTTTCTCCCCACAGTTGTAACGTACATGAACATGTGAGGTGGTTCATCTGCCTTTACTTGACTGGATGTTGTCTGTTACCTGGAGGCAGTTCACCAACACACTGTCTCTTCTCCCCACAGAAGTTTCCGGGCTATCGGGAAGAGAAGAAACACTGCGAGTATCTTCACGAGAAACTTTCCTACATCAAACAGCTCATCATAGACTATGATCTCTCTAAGGCTTCCTTATAGCGTTTACATATTTTTATACACAGAACCATCTACTTTGCATACATGAGTGTCAAAGCCTTTCCACATGAGTGATTTCAAAATTTTTAGTGAGACTGCAGTTGTGATCACTGACTGCTTCTGTTGAGACCACAGATAATGCTGTGATCACTAATAATGAGCTCATTTACAGATTTTTTGCTTTAGTTGCTCTGAGTTTGTCTGCTTGGGAAAACATTCAAAAGGAGAAGCTGAAAAGGTTACCCTGCTAAAAAGTGAAAGCCTGTGGAAGCCTGTGTCCATTTTAATGGAATGATTTTAGCTGTAGCAATGAGTTGAAGTTATACACTCGTTTTCCACACTTTTTAATCAGACATTCCCTCAGGCAGTTTGTCTCTTTCCTACTTTTCTTACTTTTTAATATTTCCATAAGAATTGTAAAAGAGAAGACACTCTCAGTTTATATGAAAAGGGCTTCCTTTGGGACAAATGATTGAAGTTACCCACTTTAGAAAAACAAATTATTCTGACTGATTTGTTCCTAGAATTAGCCCTAATGTTTTATGAAACAGGAAGGTGAGAACAACCCACTGCAGTTTCCTGCAATAGTTCGATGAACTTTTGTGCATCAAATTACGAAAACTGGGTTTTTATAAGCGGTAAGAGAAGCTTGTTGACCCATTAAAGCTTACCTTTTTTTGTTAGTTTGCTTCATGAACAAAGCATCTGATCACAAACTAATATCATGTTCATTTAAACAGTAGAAGTGGAATCCAAGATGCAAAAGTTCGAAAAGATTCAACTCGCTGCCATTGATTGATCTATTGGTCATCTCCCAATTGCACTTGATTTATTCTAATCTATAAGTATTTATTAACCACACCAAAATAAAAACCAAAATATAAAGAGTTTTGTTTTTTCATCATAAATATGTGTAAAGTATTTTAACCCAGGAAGATAAAAAGAAAAAAAGGGCGTCCATTTCTTTTCGCATAGAACTACTGATGTATTTATTGTTAGACATTTTGTCTCTATTCTGTAACATCGGCCTCCACAGCTTGTAGCGTCTGGTCTTTTTAATCAAAGTGTTTGTGTCCGGGCAGCTGAGGAGACAACTTGACAGAGGTTGTGAATAGGTTACAGGTATAATATAATATCATGTGTTTTGTCTTTGTCTGAAACTTCTGTGGGTTAGGGTTTCCCCTTCAAGCCTCCCTGTATGAATGAATGAATGAATGAATACTGCAGCAGAAAGCCTCACATGTTTGCAGCCATCTCATCCAACGCTTCAGTTCCAGTGGTGCACTCAAAGAAATATAACAGTATGAGACACTAGTATTGTGTGGGGCAGAGCAGGGTGATGATGCATATGTGTTCTGCATTTTTTTTGGGGGGTGGGGGGTTACTTAATCCTTTTACAGGGGAGAGTCGGAGAAGTAGCACTAAACCGTAAACTCGATAGTCATTATATAATCAGAATCAGCCCATGGAAGCTGATTTTATAGCCTTCACATTTCAAAATTGATTATCAGTGCCCATTCCAGATGTAACTGTTAATTTATTTTTGCTTTTTTTTTTTTTTCTTGGTACTGAAAATCCTCACACCTCAATGAAATAGACGCCTTAAAATTTCATTTTTATAGCTTCAAATCAAATCTGCCAATACAAACAAGGAGTCGTTGTCCACACATTAGCTGCCTTATTTTACTGGTTTTATTTAGAATTCTTTCAATAAACGCCAACAGTGGCTTTTAGTATTTTATAAGATTCTTATTCGAGTGCACAGTTTTACTGAGATTATCCACAGCATCTATAACCATTCTATTACTCTTTACCCATCAAATCTTCAGGTATTTGTCTTTGGGTATACCACAGATCTTTATGCTGCTGTTGATATTTCTCCTGGAATCCCGTTTGACGCCGACCATGGAATTATTTGTGTCTTCTGTGGCTTCTATCACAGGTTAAGCACAAATGTCTTTTTTTTTCTTTTTCTTTTTTATGGCTAACAGCTTATCTTTGAAAATTGTGTAAAGGGTAACATGAATGATGGTGTCAAGGGGGTTGATTGAGGACCGTTATTCTCAGTGGCTTTAGTGTTAAGCATTTACATCACACCAATGTGTACAGCACACTTGTTAAAGTGAGGTCCTCAATCAGAAGAGTGAGTATGCATTACAATTAGCTATTTCCAAATGTGTACTTCATCTCATGCTGTTGTGCAAAGTTCAAAATTATAATAAAAGAATCAAAGTGATCTTTACTCTTGAACCTGCTTTTTTGTGCTTTTGGTGCAAGTAACATCCATCACACAGTTGTAGCTTTCTTCACTGGAAGAAATGATCAGGTCTGCATGCCATTTTCCAAGTAACTCTGACTGCTTGATGCCATGCTAGTACAGCTTCTCTGGCTTCTTTTAGAGTAAAACAAGAAAAACCTCCTTAACATATTACCCATTACACAGAACATTCAGCATGTCTTGGTCAGGATACTTTAAAACATTATAGTCTGAGGTCCATAGCAGACCGACCCACTTATATGGACGTCACAGCATCTCTGATTATACAATGTTGATGTTGTACAATGTCTTAAAAAGTAACTAATTGTTTGGCAAAAACGATTATCTTCGAAAACTGTAAACACCTGAAACAGACAAATTCCTCGTTTACTCAGCTGGCTTCTGAAACTCATTTAAATCCTCCAGAGCCAAATAAGGATATCTACCAGTGCAGTTTTAATTATCTTGCACAAAAACAACGCGCTCACAAATTTATTTTGGATTGAACCTGTTTTAAAATTCATCTCTAAACCTGACTAGAATTGCAGTTGTGCACGCATGCGCAATCACGACGCGCAGAGGTTGCCATGACGATTCCGCAAGCGACTCCCAAAGCTTCGGGTTAACATTATGATAAGGTAGGACCACGAATGATTGTGTGCTGATATTTTGCAGCAATACCTTTAACTTTCGCCGACTTTGCGCGATACCGTTTCAATGGGCACGCGTCAGTTTACGTTTGTTTATGAAACATAAATGGAGGAGGGTGGAGTTGGGGTTGGAACTGCAACTTTCATAGATAAAATATGGCCTGGTGTGTTACTGGTTTTATGATGTACCATGAACAGTAGGTGGTACAGTTTAGAGTAAAGTTAAGATTCATATTCACAATCTAATCATCCATCCCTGCTGAATATTCATTTAATTCTTCAGGGTCAATCACAAAATATCAATAGAGCCAAGGGACTGTAGGACATATGACTCATGACCAACAAGCTGAAAGCAGTTAAATAATAGGCTCACTGAAACTTCGTCCAAACCACGTGTCCAAACAAACTGTATTAACAGAGTGTTAAGGTTTAAATACTTGTATTATTAAACTGAAATAATTATGGTTGAGATATCAAATATGTTGCATATCTGCACACTGTAGTTATTGTTATGAAGACTGCCTGTTTTTGATAATCACATCTCCTGCAGAATATTTATCTTTTGTCTCTCAGCTATGGCCATGTTTAATCAAATTTAAAGTGTTTTATTAAAAATTGCTGTATTTTTAATTTTTATTGTATACCAGCAAAGGAAGATCAGAAATGAAAGGCACTTACAAAGCAGAAAAATCTGAAGAAATACCAACTGTGGAACTGTCTCGTGCGGCAGAGGTACTGTACAGACTTCCTGAAAGAGATGTGACTATCTTGAATAATACTATGTTTAAATGTGCTTCTCATGTGTTTGTTCTTTTGAAATAAATGAAAGATCTTTGGTCTTTTTCTCTTGACGTCGAAGATGTCCATAGGAGATGGCCTTTTGTTCTGCTCTGAATCTGTCACTGAATGCAAGAAATGGTGATGCTATCATTTGAAGTGTGGGTCGTTTATTCAGCTTCCAGAAAATACCAACTACCTGGAATGTTCAGAGGACGGCAGATACCTCTGCGTGGGCCACTCCCGGGGACTGTCCGTGTGGTGTGCATCTTCTTTGATCTGTGTTGCAGAATGGCTGCAGGACAGCCTGGAAATCACTTTTGTACAGATGACCAAACTGACTGAGATGACCTATCTGCTTGGCACTGTTGATGACATGGGTGAATGCTTCAGACTCAGTCATCCTGAAGTGTTACTGTACCAAGAAAACAATCTGAGTGAGGAACAAATGTATTGTCATGTTCATGTCTTCTCTCACAGGCGTCGCCAGAGTCTTTGCACATCACGCTGATGACATTCATCTCCTAAATGTAATCAACGCCATGGTACGTGTCCTAACTCTGTTTTCATTCGTTGTTTTGGCAAGGCTCAAGTTTGAAAAATATACATATATATATTATCTTCTGATGTATGAAATTCTATTAGTGGGCAAAACAAAACGACAATAACATTAAATTATTTAAATAACAGGAACATATCAACCAAAGAAGCATTTGTTTGACACTTGTACTACACGCGGAGGGGCATTGTGCAGCCGCGTCATTCAGCTGTAAGTCTGGACTAATCAGTTTGTTTATTTCAGCTGAGACTTAAGCATTACATTTCTAAGTCTCGGGAGTTTGTCCTTTCAGGCAGTGGGGCTGTCGGGCTTGAGCTCTATCAGTTTCCAACAGCTGCCTGGCTCAAAGAGTTAGAGATGGCGTCGTCACAAAAGCAGGTAATGAAGTGTAATTCTGACTGTTTGTGGTCATTTTGCATCTCACTGACAAAGTTAATTAAGAATGCCACCAATCAGTCTTTTGGTTTTATACTTAGTCTGTGCATATACTAAGTTTTCCAGTTTTTCCACCTATGCCACTTCATTTACTCCTATGAACTAACCCAGCTGGGAAACCTTTTTCTGCTTTCTTGTGGAACTGCTACAAGAAAATTTAATTGCTGTACTGCATGTTTTTTAAGAAATTTTAAGAAAAACCTCTTTTTTTATCCTCAGGACATAAACATGACAGGAGTTTCAAGTTGTAAATGGTCACCAGTTGAGTTGATAATGAAAATTACACCACCTGAAATTCCCACAGGTAAAAAATGTACAGTTATATTTAACAGCTGTAACCCCCCTCTATCTGCTTTTATCTTTCTCTCTTTCACACACATAAAACAATGATCCAATGATAACATGTCAAATTTCTTGCTAGGAATGCTTGAAAATGTTTCTGCTGTTTTCTCAGGGGGAATAGAAGGTCCATTTGGGGTGTTGCCGACAACAGACTATATTGCACACTTTTTGGCTCTGGATGAACTGACAGGCAACAGTTGTCAGAGGTAGAATTCATCTTTCATTAGATGCTGAGGAAAAACAAACAAGGCCCTCAAGGGCCCGAGGTGTGAGGAGGTCGAAGTATCTGTTTGTCAGTTGATAAATTTAAAGCAAACTTGTCACGCAGGTTACTTTTATTTATTTTTTATGCCAAACTGAATTAATTCTCAAGCTGTGATCATTCATTTTTATTGCTTTCGGTGTAATAGTTACATGGATTCTCTTTCAGGAGTTGCACCCACCACTTCCTTCTGCCGTGTGGTCGGTTTCTTGATGAAAGCAAGGCTTATTTACAGCCAGGTTTGTTGTAGACTTGGTGTCCTTTCTGCAATGTTCTGCTGAAAAGGTTTTACACAACTATAATTTCAGCACGATTCACAGAACTCAACATTAAACGCCTCAAGCAAGAATGTAATGATTGGAATTCAGAGTTTTGGACTCAAACCATTTTAAAAGCATATTTTAGTGAGGTCACTGCCAAGGCTTCCATCAAAGTATCAAAAAAACCTTTTCTCAGCAGGAATGCCTGTCGCTGTGGCTGTGTGGTGGAGTGGCAGCCATAATCTCCTTCATTATTCACTGAAAAGAGCTCCAAAGAACAAAGGGAAGATGTTTTATTTCTCCAGTTTTAAAGAAAATATTCTGTCTCTTCATGATTGATCACAACATATTTTCTTTTTAAAACAGATGTGGCACCCATGCCAGATGTGTTGTGGCCAAATGCCAAGGAAATCCTCTGCTCAGCTGTTAGCAGATGCACCCGCTACATAGCTCTTGGACTCGATGATGCTTTGGTGTGTGTCTGGGACAGGCGATCTGGTGAGAAAATCTTATAGTTGGATATCTCTACGTTTTTCTGCTTCATTGTGCAGCCGTCAAAACATAAAGCATGGATAAGACATAGCAACATTTCAATGTTTGTGCCTCTTCAAACAACCCTGTGTTGCCTATGAACTGAATATTTGAATTATGTATTGCATAGCCTGTCATGAACATAGTTATAACACTCAAAAGATGGTTTTTGAAATACAGAAAATCCTAAATCACTGAAAGAATCACAAAAGGAAGTCAATAAAATCCTGCCGAGTCTTTGTTTTCCAAATCCATGCATGCGAACATCAAGCTCAGACTATGTGCTGGTTAGAATGTTAGATCGCTGATGTCTTGGCTCTTTGGCTTAACACTTTTCAGATCATTTTGCAGAAGGATCTGCAAAATGAGTCAAGATCAAGATCTAGATCAAGATCTAGTGTATCCATATGTAATGCTTATAGATAAGGATTAGAATAACTATATTAGTCCCTTAAAGGTTAGTTTTAAGGTAAAAAACTGATGATGGTTGAGGCTATTGTCTCAGTTTGTCCTCCATGCAAACATAACCCAATAAGGTTCTGGTGACAGCAGCAAGTACCACCATCAGAGTAGTTTTAGACACTTTTGCTGGGTCTCAGTCCATTTACAGTTTATATCAAAAAGTAATTGTGAAACTTGGATATAATGTTGCCCAGGTTTAAATAAAAAACAATTTTGTGGACATCTGGAGTCTGAAACACAAGGGCTACTTCCCTACTAGTTTTGTATTTTTCACTGAGAATTTAGTTTGAGAAACACCATCATGCTGACAGGCATACATGGTGAAAAGCATGGAGATAAACTCATAGTTTAATACTTATACATACAGGAGTAGGGGATGTGAGGGGGCTCTAAAATAGATTTCACTTTCAGTTTAAGGTTCTAAATTTACTCTGAGATGGTTACTAAATAAGAGGGTACGATTGACCATGACTGTTTGTTGTGGGTGAAACCATCTGCCAAATGCATAAACATATGAGAAGATTTGTTTTTCTGTCTGTCATTTTCTTCAGGGGCTCCACTGTCCATGATCTTAGCACCGTCAGAAAACAACGCCCTCGTCAAAATGCAGTTTGTGGATTGCGGGTCTGCTCCTGCTCCCGATTGCAAGTTTTTTCCAGCAGAAATGGTCCACCTGTTGGTCCTGGGTAAAAATGGAGCAATTTGTACAATCACCACGGGACAAGGGACACAGTCCTGCACCATGCAGCTAGTCGAAAGGTTGCCTATTTATCATGCTGTTAACGTTTTGTTAACAGAATATATTCAGTTTGAATTCATGCAGAAAGTGTTCCGTTAACACATAACGCTGTCTGTCCTCACAGGCCGAACGACAACAAGGACATCACAACTTTGATTGAGCCAGTGCCCTGTCTGCAGGGTGTGGTAGGAAACTGGTTTAAAGAGATAAATCAGAAAACATTTTTTGCGGTACTTTTATTTATTCATTTTGGACTTTTGGATTCCATGTGGGTTGTTTTTCTTTCCTAATTTAGTCCCTGGTGGTGCAAAGGAATGGAAAAATGTCCCTTCTAGACATAGTCAACAAAGCTGCGGTGTGCTTCCTGGTCCCTCCCACATCCTTTAATGTCGCCTCCCCCTACAATCCTGTTTATGCGCTCAACACCAAACAGCAGTGCCTCTTCATAAGAGGTACATACATGTGTGTGTTTCTGCAGCTGTAAGAGAAAAGTCTTTGTCAAAGTGCTCATTTGTGAAGGTATTGAAAGGCGTTACAGTTCGGTTCTTTCACTACTGTAGGTGACAGGGACACCACCTGCAGCGCTTCCTCTGAGGAAAGCCGGCAGAGCCAGCTTTTCGTCTTTCATTTTGGTCAATCTGAAATCCTTAAACAGCATTTTGCTCCACGTCAAGCTTTTCCACAACAAATAACACAGAGCCATGTTGGTCTGGATGAAATCTGCAATCTATATCTTCAACAGAGGTTTGTATTGTTTAGGCTTATCCGATAAATGTGTCCAAGATGTGAAGATTCATTTATTACATTTGAATCTTAAACAAGTATCCTTTTGCCCTGTGTTTTCCTGTGAAGAGCACTGTCTGTGAATGAAAGAAACAAATCCATTGCACAGACATGGGAGCAGCTACGAGAAACTGCAGTGACTGTGACACAAAGACAGCCGGGCTGCAGTCAGCTGAAGTACAACAAATAGCTACTACAGCAAGTAAGATTCTGATTCTTTTTTAGTCCCACTTCACTGGATTACGTTCAACACCTGAAACTAATTGTAAAACATATCTGTGCCTAATGCAGAACATTTATGTTTATTGGTATACGTACGCAGTCATTTAATTGGACTTCCTTTCCTTTGCCTGTAAACTTTTATCCAAAAGGCCTCTGTAGTTCTGAACTTTGTAGCTGGGTTTGAATTCTTTGTATCCACTGCAGGAGAAGACAAATGGTTTTAGAAAGAAGTCAAGGATGATGTTGATGTTGATGTTCAATTGGAATAAGCATCTGTGAACAGATGAGGTGTCCCTAGATATCACCTTTCTGGTATCTAAAATGAAGCTTGGACTTTTCTTTAAAGGAAGTTTCACTATCATTTGCATGTTGGATTTTGTGTCAGGTGGCTCAGTGACACACCTGTTGACCTTATGACTCCTCAACTGTCAACAGTAACTCTGCTATTTTTAAGTGAAACTCCCCACCTGCTTATTTCTTCAAGAACCAAGAAAATAACTCCAGTTTCCCCTCTTATAACTAACTTAGAATGTTATTCACGTATTATTCAAGTAAGTGAACCATTTGATTTTCATGAGGTGCATGGAGACTTTATTTTTAGGGAGGTGAACCTTCATTGATCCTTCCTGATGTTTGCAAGATACGATAGAAAATGTTGTAATTTCTATTGTTTTTTTTTGTTTCTGTTTTCTTTATCCATAGTGAATTGGAGTTATTACATTTAGTTCTAATTTTTCCGCTTTTTCAAATCATTTTCAAGGAATATTTGCAAAGTGTTTAGATCATTAGGAAATGGTCTTGAATTGTGATTTAAAAAAATGTCACACATATGATGGTTTTCCAACTTCTAAAGTTTTATTAGAATTGTAGGTGGCAATATTTAGTCTAGTAATTTCTTCAGTCCTGTTCATGCTTAACAGCATTATTATTAGACATTTAAAAAATGAGTACAAGAGAGAAATATCAAGATATATCATTTTAAAAAACAAAAAAATGAGCTTATATACCCAAACTAAAAGAACCCTTAAAATTTGTTTTATGCCGTGTGCAATGACAGCCAAAGCTTTCATTACTGTGTGGTGAATCATTGGGATTCAGTGGGATCAAGTTGCTGAAGCGTATTTATTTTGTCTTATCATAAATGGGCCTCTTACTGCATACTTGACGAAGCAGTCCGCTTGATATGCACATAATGGATGCAAAGGTCCCCATTTTTAATTCATGTTGAGTAGAATTAATAGATTTGAGGCACTGATGGAGAGCAAAAAAGGTATAGCGCTTACATTTATAACAAAAATAGATAAACCAGTGAGTCACTCTGTCACAGTGAATACGTTTAATTCAAGATGACCACACATTTATGGATACCAAAAATATTTTTTTATCCAGCTTTTACTCTTCAAAGCATTGTAATTACAAAAGTTTCACATCAACAATATTTTTTTTTTCCTTGCCTGAACAATTGGTTTAATTCAAACACTTCAGACAGACACTGAACAGACAACAGATCTCTTCTTGTTCATCTTTCTCATAATTCACTCTCAGGCCTGAACTGGTTGAGATCTGTCTCAGCCGTCAGAAAGTTGCCACTTTCTGACGCTCTGCTGTTGCTCTCACTGCGCAGCATCAGCCTGTCCTGGCTGGGCCTCCTGAGCTCTGTTTTCACTGAATTTGTGGCACAGGTAAAGGATCCAATTATCACCGTGTTATTATCCGCTTCCACCGATGCTGTGCCATTTCTGTAGAACCTCTGGAGACCCTTTCGAAAGTGAGTGGTAAATAAGCCGTAGATTATTGGGTCCAGGCAGGCGTTGAATAGCCCAAAGATGAACAGGATGTGGGTCAGTGACTGTGACACCTTTCCCTCCAGGTCATCGGGGAAAAACCAATACCACAGGCCAAGTAGGTAGTATGGAGTCCAACAGATAATGAAGGACAAGACGATTACAATACTCATTTTCAGAGTTCTCATCCGCGCTTTGGGGATGTTGTTCTTGGAACACCGCAAATACACTTCTTTTGAGGGCACTGGGAACAGATGAGAGATATAATGTCACGATGGTTTATCTCTCTTTATTACTTAGAAAAGAGAAGGATTGCATTGTCAATTTCCAGACTAAGCGTAAAGGAAGACGGTGCTGATTAAACCAGCAGCACGTCATTAAGAAGCCTGTGCACAGTTTCTGTCTATCAGATTCGTCATTTGTAGGTTTAGGATGCTTTTAGAAAAACATCAATGCATAATATCGTGCTTATAATAACACTGCTAATTTCCATTAATAGTATATGACATATGCACATAGCCACCAGTGTCTGAAGAGTAAGGCCAATGCAGAATTATATTTAAGTGGCATTATTTCTCAAATCCAGCAGACAGACTGGAGAGGCCAGTCTAGCTGGAAAAAAAATGGCAATTTTTTTAGAGGTCTTTGTAAAAATTACCACACTTCCTAATCAATTTTTTAAACATTTTACATGTAGAAGTCACACCAACAGGTTCCGAGCAATGTGCTTCAACACTGTCCCTTTGTAATCTGATATGATTAATCCCACTATCTACATACAAATGAAAGTCAACAACTGAATTATTGAGATTGCCATGGCTATAATTTTTTATGTCCATTCATCCAATTGTTCTTGAAAAGTCATGAATAGGTCTTTACTTATTATTATGATCAGTCCACTGGGGAGAATGGAACCTTTAATAATTAATGAGATATTTCATTCTATAAAAAAGTTGTAGATCAATGGTACCTATGAATTCTAAAATAATTGTTACTCATAAAAAACCACTGGATGTATGGTAGATTATATAAATTATTCAGTGCTGAGTAGAGTAGACTAAGAAGAAGCTCTTCAGGTCATTTTTTTGTGTTTTTCCTGTAAATCCATCCATCCATTATCATTACCGCTTATTCCCTAATGGGGTCGTGGACGGTCCGCCAGTCCATCGCAGGGCCACACAGAGACACACAAGGACAAACAACCACGCACACTCACTTACTCCTAAGTGTAATTAGGAATGTCCAATCAACCTAACATGCAGGTTTTTGGACAGGGAGAACATGCAAACTCCACACAGAAAGGTCCTGGTTTCCCCGGGGACTTGAACCCCGAACCCCTCTTGCTGTGAGGTGATGGTGCTAACCACCACACCACCGTGCCGCCCTGTTTTTCCTGTAAATGTCAAATGTAATTATCAATTGTAGGCTTGGTGTCAGACTTACAGTTGTCTTTTTGCAGCCGTCTGGAGATCTCACAGAAGATCCTGGTGTAACAGGTGATCATGATGACCAGTGGCAACAAGAACAGACATGAAAAAGTGAACATGTTGTATGCCGTCTCATGCCAGCGAGGGACGAAACTCCCACGAGTTGTGCACTGAGTGAAGTCCTCTGGGTGGGTAATTGTCACATTGTGAAAAAGGAAGATCTGCAGAGGAAAATGAAAAGGCATTTTCGCTCAAATAAACTCATATCTAAAGTTAATCCCATAAAGCCTTTAATCTAATGACAGACTGCTATCATTAGATTAGCATTGTTATACAAGCCCTAATAATGATTCTCTTATTTCTTTTTTGCTGTTTTTTTTCTTCCCCCCTTCTTAATGTTATTATTTAAACAATTTCTTTCAAATAAAATCATCCATGGAGATGGATTTCTATATGTTTCGCTGGATTCTCTAAACTATACTACAATTTTATTACTCTTGACCCACACAGTTATTACCATCTCCACATTCGGGTGTACATGGGAAGACTAACCTGGGAGATCAGGTAAAGAGTCAGTAGCTTGAACCTTTAGCAGGATAAATCAGTGTGGGAAAACTTAAAGGACAGAAATTCCCTCTCTGCTAACAATAAAGATGGAAACAAAATTGCCAGACTTAAATGTTACCTAATTGGTCGTCTGTAGTAATTTAACAATATCTCTGAGCGACAGTAAAAAATATATATACCAGTATATAAAAAAAAAAAAACAATAACGGAAATTGAAAAAGTGTTCCCTGGTGATCTATATCAAATTTGCCTTTGTAACTAAAATTAGGGTAATTTGTCCATAATTACAAAAAGATATAGTTTATTTCACACTGGGAAAGCAAACCGACACTCGTTCTATACATTTGGCTGGCTAAGATTGGAAATAATTGCAAACTGAAGGTGTAACTTCATCCAAATGTGTCCTGACTGTTGAGAATGTCTGACCTTACCTGAGGGAGTGAGAGCACAACACTCATGCCCCACGCCACAGTGAGCATGACCCTGTTCCTCCCTCTGGCTTTATTGATAGCCAGAGGATTGAGGATGGCTGACTGCCTGTCCAGACTGATCACCACAGTCACAAAGGCACAGGAATACATGGCCTGCAGCTTAAGAAACATAAGGAGCCTGCAGGCCAAGTCGCCGGCCAGCCACTGGACCGTGATGTTCCACACGGCGTCCACAGGCATCACAACGAACGTCACCAGCAGATCCGCCGCCGTCAGGTTGATGATCAGCACCTTGACGTGAGATTTGCGTTTGCCATCCCGGCAGGCCGCCCACAGGACAGCCAGGTTGCAGAAGGCGGACAGGACGCAGAGGATGAAGGTGATGATGACTCTGGCTTTGGCTGCCGTGGTGAAGGTGGGGAGCTGTGGGGCGTCTCCCCCCGCTGTCCAGTCGGAAGCTGCTGCGGCCGAGCAGTTGCGGCTGGCATTGGCTTGGTGGTCTGCCACCAGGTCAATCATGGTCAGGGCGGAGTCACACAAAGAGGTGTTCATTTTGTGGGGGTTGCGGGGAAGGGAGCATTCTGCTCATCCACTGCAGATCTCAGGCTGATAACAAAACACAAAAGCAAAAAGAGGGAACCGACAAGAGACAGAATGGATAAGTCTAAAGCAAAGAAGTGTGTGCAGATTCATCTGTCCACAGCTGTGGTACAAAAGAAATATATAGACTACAAATAAATAATAACTGCACATAAAGCATAAGTAATATGCATACACGAAGCGCCCCATTTGCATTGAACTGGAAAGATGGAACTTACGCATTCTAAAGGACATGAGATGGTCAGCTCACAACAAAAGCACAGAGTGTACACTTCCAAACTACACAATCTGTGCTTATTATTTTTGATGGACTAGATTGCCATATAATAAACTGAAAATATTGGAAACACAAAGGGAAAAAAAACACTGGTTACATTTCTAATAGAGAGGTAGAGCTACAGTATGAGGAGTAAGTCACTCGGCCAGTGAGGCTGTGGGCAAGTTGTTCAAGTCCTCAGATCTTTCACAGAATTATGGACATTCCAGGCTAAAATTGTTGTCAAAATGCCGATCAAAAGGATGGACGAGTATAAATGAGATGAGGAGAAGGGGTGATGGGAAACAGAAGTAGGAATGCTGTCTGGTGTTGGTGGAATCCTGTTCATAATTATCACTTGTTTGTTTGTTTTTAATGTTTGGATAAGTAAAGTTGTTTTTTGTACATTGAATAATGGACAAATAACGCAATGCCTGCAGTTTACAGATATCTATAGATTTTAGAGTCATTTAAAAAAGTCATGCTTAAGTGTTAAGGGCATTAATATACAGTCATATAGTCATATTAATAACAGAGTAAGGCTTTGGCAAAAGTTTTATTTATTATGATATAATAAAATCATATGATAGATTTCAGGTTTAAAAGTGTGATTCAGACAGGTGAACTGACTTATCGAGTAATTCTGCTGAGAACTGACCCAGTTTATTCCACGTTTTGGCTGTCGGGCCTGACATTTGACTCCAGATTACTGTGTACAGAGAAGTTCCTGTTCTGCTCAATGACCGCACGGAGTCCAGGTCAAGACAAGCCAAAACTTCCCCATTAGCAGTGGCTCTGCTGCGTTTGTTTCCTTCAAACAAGTTGCTATGTCTCATTGCCAAGCATCCCCACTTTAGTATTTTTTGCCAAATGCAATTTTTTTTCCAGAAAACAATATTTTTGGAAAAAATATTTTCAATATTCAATATTTTCAATTCAACTTTCCAAATGTATGTCCTTTTTTTGGAGACTAGAGGATTCTTGCTGGCTCTCTGTCCAAACAAGGTGTTTTTTTTTCTCATTGTAATAGGTTTTGTTTTTTGTTTCTTTCAGCGTTACCATCTTCTCTTGGGATGGACTTGGTGGCAGAGAACATTTGGATGCTGAAGAAAAGCCAAATGCTCTGATTTGACAGAAGTTGCTCACCCTTCCTGATGATTAAATAATCAAATGTCTTTGACTGGCATTCAGGTAAGGACTAATGCAGCCAGCAACAGCCTGGCAAAGGAGGACGGTTATCTGTGACCATACTTCCAGTATTGGAGACCAAACCAAATTATTTATAATAATTATGTTTGTTTTCTGAAATGTTCACATCAGTGTGATGAATTAACTATAGACATGTATATATTTTCTACATGTGAAATATGATTGAACAAGGCTCAATAATCACAAACGTGAAAACATCTGTCACAACGCCTCAGTATCTCTTTCTCTCCTCCACACAAACACATTTTAACATTCAAATATCTCTATTTTGAGGCAGTTCTCAATTGGAAAAGAGCATTAGTTGAACAAAGACCCGCATCCGACGCATCTAAACCCCCGGACGTCGTTAGCTTAGCTGCATGCTGCTGCCGGCAGGAGAAACATTTCCAATTAACAGATCAAACATTTTCACCCATCCAAACTTATTCAGGTCAGCATGCACGTACGATCACGTCTGAATGTGAATATTCTGCCCGCAGCTTTCAGGTCTGCACTCATTCAGCCAGACAAGGGGAACTTGAATTAAGACACTTTATGATAATCATCTAAAATGCACCCTCAATATATCAAAATTTTGCAATCAAACTGAAGATCTCCATTGGATGATGAGCTATTTCTATTCAGTCAATAAAAGAAAGAGAGAAAAATGCATTGACATACCAGTCGATGAAGGCTGGGACCCTGATCAAAACCAATGTCCGGTTTCTCCGTGTGCGCTGCGCTGCTTTGGTGCGTCGCTGTAAGTTTGGAGGGGAGGCAGCTGCCCAGCCGCTCCAGCCTTCTCTGCGCATCTGTCAGGGCTCCCTTATAAGCACCCCCGGGCTGGGCTCTGACCCCAGCCTGCTCACATTCACGAGGACAGAAATACTAACATAAAGATGGAATGGATATCCATCCATCCACCCATCCATCCATCCATCCATCCATCCATCCATCCATCCATCCATCCATCCATCCATCCATCCATCCATCCATCCATCCATCCATCCATCCAAAGAATAAACAAAAACAAACAAAATTTAAAAACTTAAAAATAATTGTGCCTGTGTGAACACACAGATGTGACTCAAAGCAGTCTGAAATGTTCTGATCACTGTGATATTTTTTCATTCATGGAGAAAAGCTGGACATTAAGTTTTAGTGGTATCGTTGCTCAATTCTGAGTCAAGTTTAACTCAGCGCTAACCTGAAACTGCAAAACAATCTGAATGTCTGCAAGCTGCTGTCTGTTCATTTGCAGGGAGGGGGGATGTCCAAAAGTTTTGCCTTAATCTCTGAGGTACATTTGTCAGTCTATCATGGACTGAAACACTGCGTATTTCACTCACCCCCTTTGAGAGTCTCTTTAAGAGTCAAAACACTGTCATTTTAGTTATGATTTGCTCTCCCGGTCTGTTATTTTACCCAGGAGCAAATTTAGTGAAGCTCTTTTGAAGCAGCTGGAGCATCTGCAGAGGATGTCTAAAAGTGGAGGGCATGTATTTCACTATTGGCTGTGTTCATTACTTTTCAAATGTTGTATCGGGTCCTTTTAATTAATTGTTCTCCAGAATTTTTCATATTTAATTTGATATTTTCACGTATATTTTTAAGGGCCTATTTACCTAACACTGAACTGAGACAGTAAGCTAATGACCTGATTTTATTTTTTAAAACATCGTATAGATGCACTATGTGCTTTATAAAATCCACATTCAAGTCACCTCTCAGGGGTATTTGTTACTGAGCTGCATCGCAGCTGGATTCATCTTAAACTTTTCAGCCACATTTCCAAGTAATTCAGTTACCTGTTGCAAAGGATTTGTCAGGCAATATGTGACCCCATTCCTTTCACATGTCTTTGTTGGCAGGATTTTGCTGTGATGCACTCAGACACTTAGATGGATGTTTTTTGATTAAGTGTCATCCAAATCGCAGCCAGGAAGGAAGGGAACACACTGACCCAAACATGGCGATGTTATTATGTCACCCTACAGTCTTCCGGCTTTATCAAAAGCCCTAGAGGTAAACTTATAAATCTCATTTACGATCATGTTGTAAGGACTAAAAAGAACTGATGAAAAAGGTTTTTGAAAAGCAAGTAAAAATTCAACTCTGACATCTCACATTTGACTGTCAAACAGGGACACTGAGATGTGCCTAAGCATGTACTTGATTAAATGCAAACAACTCCAATAAAAGACAAGTATAAAGAACAACTCCCTAACTAAAAATGTGTGGGACCATTTGTGAGGCTCTGTGTTCCCAGGTGAATGGAGTGAAAACATTTGACTCCACAAGGACACAACAAATGATATCTATGCAATTCTGGCAGAGGGGGGACTAAGAATCAAATATCACTTCAACTCAACACCAAAATTCAACATCTCAAGTTCAAGCTAATAGCAACACTTTTTAGTCTGCTAAATACATAAGAAAGTGCGGCAGCTAAGTGGAATATTTTCAACTACCGGGATGAATTTTAAAAGTTAGCATTTTAAAATGTTTTTTAAAAATGTATTAGTAAAAATGTAATTTAAAAATGCTTTTTGAAAGCACTTTTAAAAATGTTCTGATCATTCCCGGGTCCCTACCTGTCTCAGAGCACTGCATTCCCACACCATGATGCTGCCATCACCGTGTTTGACTGATGAAATGATGCACATCTCCTGTTTTTTTCTACACATTGACGGAATTTATTGCTAAATAGTTAATTCCTCGGCTAATCCGATCAGAGAGTTCTGCATGATAGAGTCTGTTGCACCTTCTCGGTGGCGTTGTATTTCATGCTTCCTCAGATGTGTGTTACTTTAACCTTCATCGCTTGGTTTCAATCATGCCAGATATGTTTCCCCCATTATTATGTCCAAAGGAGTCCCTTCAGTCACAATCCTAGAAAAATGTGGAAAACTTCCTGCATCCGACAACTTGACATCAGCACTGTGCAATTAGGCAAAAAGAGGGTGGAAGAAGCCCACTCGGGCGCACTTAAAGAGCTCGTCTGAGTGAGTTTCATTATGAGTGAAGAACAATAAGCAGAGCGTGTAAGCATGCAGCTTGAATAACAATGAGCTGATATTGTTAGATCACTACTTGAGCAACATGAAACATTTCCTACTTGAGGCACAGCTTTCATCAAAGCTACTGGTGTGAACCTCTTTTCTGCCCCTCTGTCCAGCCGAGACTGATTTGACGATTGCTGCCACAGGGCCATTTATTCTTCACAGCAGAAGGCTGATGGAAATGCAAGGTATTGATCTGGGGTTGGCAGCTGTGCCCCGTTCTCCACTCTCAACTGAATTAGAGGTTTTCTAAATAACAGCCAAAGTTGTTTGAAATAGTGCTGTCTGTCCTCCTATCGTGGCTCTCAGCAGTGTTCTTTGGTGAACGCTTTTTTTTCATTAAAGCATTTATTTTTTTCATCATTTTTACAGATCCGGAAGGGAATAAGCATAAATCAGGCCCACATCACATGGCTTAGTAATGTTTAATCTGGAAAGTGGCTGTGTCTGCCATTGAGGTCAACTGTGCTGTTGGAAGTTACATGTGTTGGCACAATGATAAAATGGAAACTCGTGGTCAGGGTGCTGATGGCTGAGTTTGATGTAAATCTTCAGGAGGTAAAAATTATTCAGATGAATTGTTCTCCCGGCATGGACACATTTATAAATGTTTGCTAATATGCAGGCAGATGGATATGCAAGCGTGCATAGTTCAGCAATGAACCTCTGAAATACATTTCATGTGTATTATAAAGTGTCACTGTATTTCATGGGGTAAACATTTACATATAAATAGAGAACATGAAACTCATAGAAGATTCACCTCCAGCTTGTTCCGGTAAAGACAAATTTTGTTGATGTATCTCCGCATTAATCAATACAACTGCACATCATATTGACATAACTGCAGCATTTTACAGCCAGAGGCCCTAGTGCAGTAAGCAACTGAGAGTAAATTAGTGAACGAACAGATCTGCAAGTGACTCATCTGAAGCAAAAACTCGAACTCTGGGTACCCTGCCAGCATCACAGGTCAGGTCAGGGACGGGCAGGGGACAGCCGCTGTTGTCTTTATCACAGGTTTTGATAATGTTGATGTCTCAATGTTCATTTTAGATACCCTACCTTTCTTTCCCATGCTGTGATTGAGAGGCACATTACTCCCATGCTGAGAAACTCATTTACATAAAAATGCAGAGGATATTTAAAGCAATTTGCATGTCTGAAAGAAAATATTAACATCAATGTAAGGCATCCGGACAAAAAATACAGTCTACACATACAGTCTTCTTCTAGTTCTTATCATATTCCTGAATCAGCAACCATACATTTTTTAACCAAATGATTCATTCTTACATATGCTCACAGGAAGCTGAGTTGTCATCAGGGTGATGTGGATATCAGCCCATAAGGTTTCCATGGAAAGGGGAGTCAGGTGAATCTGACATATCAGGTTCAACCACGCTTGATCTCATCTTGGATCTGTGACAAAGCTGCCTATTAGCAAAGTGGCACTGGGGAGTGTAGTGAAGACAAGAGTGATTTGGAATTAGATTTCACTTGAACTAAATCTGTATTTGATCTAATTCAAAATGAAAATCATAATGTTTCATTGGCCCTCATAGGCTGATATTGAGGCTGCCTGGCAGTGGAGTGGTGAGCACCGTCACCTCGCAGAAAGAAGTCTTACGTCTTTGAATCTCAGCTCCTGTCTGTAGACACACTGTGGGGTTGGGTGTTTTCCCTTCGTATGCATAGGTTCTTTCTCTGTACTTTGGCTTCCTCCCACAATCCTTAAACATGCATGTTATGTTAATTGAAGGGTTTTAATTGCCTGTAGGAGTGAGCATGTGTGGTGGTTCTTCTCTTTGTGGCCCGTGATGGATGAGCAACCTGTCCACAATGTACCCCGCCTCTCACCCAGTGACAGTTTGGATAGGCTCCAGGCCCCCTGCGACCCCACCATGGATAAGCGGTAATAGAAAATGGATGGCCGGGTGGAAGCTGTCATTGTGTGAGGTTATTGCTTCTGGCGGGAATGACCTTCTCCACCACTCTGTGATGCGGCGGAGACAGAACGCCATCCGTAGTTTCAACACTGTGCTGTGTGGGTGGTGTGCAGTGTTGTGTATTATCTTCATTATCATGCTTGTCATGATATAAGAAGATAAAAATGTCCATTTAAGTCAGTTCAGGTGTAATAAAGTCAAAGGTCAGTTGTCTGAAAATAGTAAGCAAAAGGAACATGATATGAGTGATTGTGAATGTAATATCAAAGCTGAGTTGCATGGCTCTTACTGAAATGTTTGATTACACCTTATTATTACTTTGTATTGTTGTTGTTGTTAACATAGGTATTATTATATTTGGAAATATACCTCCTATGAGGTCGGAGTGTAGAGCTCGGGGTTGTGGAGCCGAAACAGAAACTAATGGGTCAGCGTGTCACATGTCACAAGACCAAACAGGAAGTTCCTCTCAGCGAGCAACAAAACAGCAGCCATGACGACTCAGGAAACTTAGGTGGAAAGAAAGAAATGTCTCAGTAAATTCTTCAGCCTCCAAATCGGTGTAGAAAAACAAGCGAGCGTTGTCAAAATGGAAGGAGTGGTCAGAGTCGGTATTTTGACGGTTATTTTCTTGACATCGCAGGTGAGTTGTCGGTACAGCAACTGTCAGGCCCGCCGCCTGACGTTTCGTCGAAAAAACACGGTCGGAAAACCTGCCAAGTGTGAACTGGTTGCAGTCAGCACCCTGTTCTTCATTTTCTCTGTACTAACATGTTTGTGAAAGAGCTGTTATTCCGCGCTGGTTATGAATGCTGTGACCGAGCTAACGATGCTAGTCGCTGCTAGCTCTCCGAGTCGCTAATGAGTTAATGTATTTGAGATTCAATTCTAAGTTTGTTTTGACAGTTAATGAGTGAAGAGTGAAAGTAAACCCATGCTAACACAAAGGGAATTGGTGTCGCGTTTTCAAACCAATTTAGCATGCCTTTAGATGAGGATTTCATGGTCGGTGATTTCCCAGACACCTGGAAAGGAAGTCGGGGCTTTCTGGTTTTAGAGAAGCTCGTGGTAAAAAAAATGCTTATTCGTCCCTAATTTAAAGTTTAGTTGCGTAAAAGTCACAGGGAAACACGTCACAGTCAATAACAAAAGCCAGTTTAAAGTGCCAAAGTGAACACGTCGTGTTTTTGTTTTGTTTTCAAAAGCACTCAGACATACAAACACAATCAGTTTACTTTTTCTACAAAATCTTCCAGAACAGGCGAGCTGGTCTGAACCACTGTCTTTCCTTAAACAAATGCACGTAAATATGTCGAAGCTTTGTGAGATGGACACTTTAGTAAGTAATAAAGGCTGTTTCATTAGAATGGAACTAACTAGGACAGGTTTGTGAACCTACCACTCCTGTTTACTTTCACTTCTATTCTGAAGTGCTGCTGGGATTCCCCACCTTTACTCCTAAAATCAATAGTCAGACCTTTTGTTGTTTTCTGTGAGCCTGGATGATTTCCTTTTGATTATGTCATCTGTCACACTCTTTTTTTTGTCAAGGAAAATGATGTCACGAGTAAAGCATGAAGATGAGAAAGCTGAGAATGTTGTACACTTATTGAATTGATTGGTTTTTATCTCTAAAGTTTTTTATTTATTTTTTTTACTTCACAGATAAACTGCCAAGAGGCCATCTTGCACATTTCAAATGGAAGTGTATATAGAGAGTACTGTATTGTTCACAACCACTCCTGGACTCCTCTTTCACAAACACTTGATGCTGCAGTAAGTTTTTTTTTTCCTGCTTTTGTAACATGAAGTGTGTGTAAATATCTTCTAGTTTGTTGCCAGCTATCAGACCACAATAGAAATATGACTGGTTTGTGTCACACTTAACATGAAGCAACTGGACTTTTTCCTCGTTTATTTACAGGAGCAGTACCCGCTGGTGAATCTGACGTCCACTTTGCTGTGCAACGCGTCCGGGGTGGATACAGATGTGAAGGACAAAGCAGTGGTGGTGATGAGGGGGGGCTGTGACTACAGTCAGAAAGCTATTATTGCCCAAAGCCTCGGAGCAAAAACACTGCTCATCGCAAGCAACAGGACCATGGTACAGTATTTGTACTTGTCTGTTATTTGTTAACTATTAAAGTTAAAGAAGAGTTATTAAGTGACAGAGAAATGGTTCCGTACAGACATATTTTCTCTGTTGTATGCTTTTCCTGTCACCATAGCATTTTTTTCTTCTGATTCACCTAAGTCTGAATATCAAAGTCTCAGTTCATTAAGTTATAAAAAACGACTCTCTTTATTACTCTTTTTTTCAGGCCACTCCTTCAGCCAATGACTCAGAGTATTCGAAGGTCCACATTCCCCTGGCACTCATGAGGTACAGGGACATTCTGGAAGCACAACAGGTCAGAGAGTGGAATCAACTGTCACATTTGTTTTTTTCAAAGTATTTGTTGTTGGTTTGAAGAGCCTGTTTATTAATATAAACTGAGTGTACCCTCAGTCGATAACACCACATTATGCCCAGAGAACACATCCTTCACAGCAGTGGTCACTTTCCCCTGGCTTGCCTCTGTAACTTACCATGTAATTGTCTGTCTTCTTTGATTTTATATCTTTATCATTAGTTTCAGATTCAGTCTCCCTGCATCAACTGGTATAATCTTTTTTTGAGTGTATGTGGGGGGATTTTTACATTGACAATCACATTTTCTCTCAGAAATTAAAAGCCTAGTATATACATTGGTTAATGGCTAAATATTCATGGAAAGACAGGCACAGCTTTAAAGTAGCCATGAAGCTGCCTGTTGTATTGTTCAATACTGGTTTGTCCTCAGGTGTTTGGTGAGGGGATGCAAGTGAAGCTGTATGCACCACCATATTCAAAGATCGACCCAAGCATCGCCCTCATCCTGCTGATTTCTGTTGTAACAGTCGCCTTAGGTGGCTACTGGAGCGCAGCCTGTGAGAGGTGAGAGACTGTGAGAGATAGAAAGATCTTACATCCTAGGATAGGACTGACAACTGTTTTGTTTTTTTTTGTTTTGTTTACACAGACATAAATGTCAGTCTCTCTCTTAGATACAGCAGGCATGAAAAAGCCCACACACACAGTCTGAATGTTCTCCTCTTGCTTGCAGGGACCGGTTAAGCAGTGATGCAGTAGAGGGAGGAGGTGGTGAAAGCAAAGCAGACAGTGGGGAGCTTTCCCTTTACTCCCCTCTCAAAGTGTTTATCTTCGTTGCCATGATGTGTGGGATGCTGGTCCTAATGTACTACTTCTACAACATTCTTGGTGTGTTCATAAAAAACAAAGATGCTGCTTTGCATTAGACAGAATAATTTTTTCTTTATTCTTTACTGTGGTCTGAGAGTGACTGTGTTTTTTTTGCCCCCTCCATTACCCCCATTCCCCCCATAGTTTACATCATCATTGGGATATTCTGCCTTGCCTCTGCCTCTGCGTTGTTCAGCTGTCTGGATGCAGTGATGGACAAATTGGGTTGGGGAACTCTAAGGTACGAATGTTCCTCCTGAACATGGCCGTCCAGTCATTTTCCCCAGCCAGATAAGTTAAGCATTGTGTTTAGAGTTGATCTATTTAGGTTTGGTGTGTCCTTCCTTTTTTATAGCGTCTCAGTCCGAAATAGGAACATCTCTGTGAGGTCTGTCCTGCTGGCTGCTGTGTGCATTAGCATTTCTGTGGTCTGGGGAGTGTACAGAAATGAGGACAGGTAACGCACCCATGTTGTCTGTTTCAAATGTATTTAATGCAGACAATAAACAAAAGATTGGTACTTCTTTTCGTTTTAATATCCTGTAATATGTCCTTTCTGCTTCATCCTGAAGTAGAGATACACTGCTGTAGTTCCCTTTTTAGAATCCATGCTTAGATTAAAGCTCTAGATCAGAAAGCTTCTGTTTCCCCGTAGATGGATCTGGATCTTGCAGGACCTCCTTGGCATAGCTTTCTGCCTCAACTTCATGAAGACCATTTCACTGTCCAACTTCAAGGTACATCGCTGCCCCCTATGCCTTTCATGACCCATTTCAATGCTATACACAATAGCTAGTGCTATACACACACACACTTTTATATATCAGCTTTTTTAAGTTGTTGGGATTTTTAGTTTGTCTTTTAGTGTTTTGTGAAACACTGGTTTTCTAAGGTAAGATTTGGAAATTGTCAGTGGTTTCAAAGGCTGAATTGGTGATGATCATCCACACTTTAGTTTAGTTTACCGCTTACAGCTTTTTAAAATTGCGATAGAAAAATGGCTTTGACTTTCACTCCATCAGCAGTGCCTCTGAATCTTTGGCCTCTTTTAAGAAACAGCTGAAAACTTTTGTTTTTGAAGAATGTATTTTAGTTAGTTCTCTAAATATTTGTATTTGTTTGGTTTCTTCCCTCTTTTATGATTTTATCACTGACAATTATTCATTTGTTTTCTCTGTGTTATTGTCTTAAATGATATTTGATATAAAGTTGACTTTGAAAATAGTTTGTAAATGAATTCTGTTTGAAACATTTTTCTCTTTCTGATTTTTCACAGATCTGTGTGATTCTGCTGAGCCTCCTACTTGTATATGATGTCTTCTTTGTTTTCATCACTCCCTTTTTCACCAAGGTTTGCACACTGATTTTATTGTTTTATTTAAAAAAAAACACAGCTACAACAGCAGTTTTTTCTAACCTAACTCTGACCTATTGTGTTCACTGTGGTTTATGTCTAATTATTTTTATATTCAGATATTCCGTCAGTTAAGATAGAACTGATATTTAGAGTGGCATAATTTTGTACAAGTTGAATGACTCATAGAGGAACTTTAGACACAACCACATGACGTGTTTTTTTTTGCTCCGCTGTTGCAGTGGACACAAGACACCTTTATAATCCACCTACTAACATGATATCTGTGATTGCTTTCTCTCAACAGAATGGAGTTAGCATTATGGTGCAGGTAGCCCTCGGCCCGGATGCCTCAGGAGAGAAGGTAAACCTTCAGATTGTTCTCTCAAGGCCATCAAGAGCAGCAAAACACATTTCACCCTAAGTGGCGATTTCTGGTGAATTTTTGGGAAGCAGACTCATGCCGGAGAGGTTAACTATCAGGGCTTTGTCCCAGCAATCTTTCTGGCACAGACTTCCTGTGACATGGTCATTGTTCTGAATGATTATTTTAAACCAAAACCTTCATCTTTTTATAAAACCTATCAAGCACTTTGGTTGCATTATTAAATTAATATATTAAGATGTTTTGGTAACGGAATCACTCCAATCTGCGTCTTCAAACTAAGTGATCTAACTCATTTGCTCACTTATGGGACTTGAAATCCTAATTTACTAGATGAAAATCCAGTGAAGTATTGCTCCCCCAGTGATTTCCTCCCCATGTGGGTTTCCTTCCCAGAATAATCTTACTGTATATCAGGAAGAAAATCCTCATGGCAAACATTGTCACCTTTTAGAATGCATGGCATTTAATGATAGTGAGAATAACTTGAGGGACTCAGACTGCTTTTACTGTTTGCTGACTGACTGGGTTTCCTCCAAGCTCAAATTGCTCTTTCCTCATTGTTCAGCTGATAAGATGTGAGTTTAGGCAGACTGTCATAATCTGAAAACAGTCCCATTTGAATGCTCAGAATAACAAAAAGTAACTGTGGAAATTAAATGAAGGCTCCTACCATGTTATGTTGGCATCTTTGCCAGTGTAAAGATGTCCACAGTTAATTAAAATGGGACACCATGTGTCAAATCGTAGGATGAAAAATGGCAAACCAGTCACATATGGATCAACAGTAATTGAAATGAATTGGTATTGAGCACAGATTTAATGCGCTGGCCTAATGTTTGTCGAACTCTGTCGGTTTGCCTTTTCAATGGGCGGCAGCTAAAGGGAAGAAATCAGTCCATGTCAGTCTTTTTTTAAAGCTTTCCAAAACAGTAAAAAAAAAAAAGAAAACTAAATAAGTACACGTGTAAAGGCTATACATAGTGGTCACATGGTGGCTTGTAGCAGCTTTATTAACATCTAGCCTGTTGTTGATGCTCTGAGGGCAAGGATAGCCTGCTGGACTAACTGTGCGCTGGGGTTGGTGGGCTCTGTCGTAGACACAAGGTAACATGGTGGAGATCCCTGCTGAACCCCAGGCTCCCTCTGAGAAAGTAAGACCTGACTTGTTACCTATCCACAACCGTCTTTTTCCAATGCTGTATCCCAGTTTAGTGGGATGGGGATGACGGGGTTTCATTGAATCTCTTTTTTAAAATATTCTATTCCATATAGACATACATGCACCATCTAGATCCAAATTTTCATTTAAAGAACACTATCTTTTATAAAGAGTCCTTATGTAAGGAACTCATGTTACAATTAATGGTTCAAAGAGCATTTTCCTTCAGATTTTACTTTAACAACTACATGTCAATTTGATGGTCTTTCATCATTAAACACTGACTTGATACACACAGATATCTGAAATGAAACATGAACGGTGTCAGTAGGCTGAAGCTGGGATTTACTGTTTTTTCTTCTTTCAGTCTACACTCACCAAACACAGTCTGACTTAGTGAGAATGCCACAGCCCTTTCTGTCAGTATTTTTCCTGCAGACAGGCAGTGGTCAGACTGAGTGGAGCATTAAGCACAGCCACTTGATTAGGCTACATTCACCCAGCATCTTTCTCTCCTTTTGTTTTCTCAGCTTCCAGTGGTCATGCGTGTCCCACGGTTCTCTGCTTGGGCTCAGAACCTTTGTGGGATGCAGTTCTCCATTCTGGGCTACGGGGACATCATTGTTCCTGGTAAGACTAGTGTTTCTTTCCTCATTTAAATGCAGACAGCCACAGGTGGCAGCTGCTTGTAGCTAATAGAAGAATATTAAAATGTGTGTGTGTTCTCCCGTTTAAAATCCAACTCAATTTAACAAATGATTTTAGTATCTCATATTCTTCATGATATACTTTTGGAAGAGAAATAAAACAAAGGCTGAAAACGTTGAACATCCAGTCGGTTACCATTTGTGAGCTGATTGATCTGTGCTGTGTGCTGGTTCTTAACTCGCAGGTCTCCTGGTAGCCTACTGCAGCAGGTTTGATGTTTGGGTCAATAGCAGCAAGAAGATTTACTTCCTCAGCTGCTGCACAGGTACCTTCCACCTTGGTCATTATCACGTCATCATGCATAGACCTTTTGCGAACATACAAAAAAGAGTTAAAGCTTTGATTACAGTTATCATAGCATGTGTTTATGATGCAGCGTGTCGGCTGTGCTGAACAATTCTTACCCTTCTTGTTTAGTTTTTTTGCTCTCCTTTACTACTAGGCCCAAAGTTCCTCTGTTTTCTAAATCTAAGTTCTGCCTGTATGTGGTGCATGCTTTAAGTGCTCTCTGGTCGCTCTGCAGCCTACCTGCTGGGGATGATACTGACATTTGCCGTGATGCTGCTGTCTGGGATGGGCCAGCCTGCTCTGCTCTACTTGGTGCCTTTCACCCTGATAACCTCCGCCGTGGTGGCGGCCTGCAGGGGAGAGATGAGGTACTTTTGGGCAGGAAACACCTGTGAGGTGAGTTGAGTAAAGAGAAAGTAATGTTTAAAGTGATGCAGAGGTCATTTATGTGTTTTTCTGTGTATAATTGAAATACAAAATGAAATTAAATAAAATTCTTAGTTGTGAGATGATGGACATTATGAAGCAAACATTACAAAATCTCAACACTGACTTTCTGTAGGCCTTCTTTAACATCAGCATTCCAAGATTCTCACTCTGTTTTTTTACTGTAAGAAACAGGGTTGTTTTAAATGTTTTTTATGTATGATGAAGAAAAGGCTCACGTGTTCGTTTTGTCGGCTTCTTGCGCATAACAAGACAGAGTAACTAGTAACCTTTTCTTGCTCAGCCCTGCCTAACAATCTTTGCACTGTTGTGGTGTCCGAGGAGGAAAATGTAGCCCCCAAATTAGAGCTCTCTCCACAGCATTCTGATGAGCAGGAAGAAAGAAAGGCACCTCGTTGCCATGATTTCTAATGCACAGTTCGTAGATGGAGTCAAAAGATTCAAATTGTGACGTGTGTGTGTGTGTATGTTTGAGTGATGATTGGAGGGACAAAAAAGAGGCAGGTGAGAGATGCAATTCTTACTTTGCTTGATTTTCACCAGGTTTTGGATCCAACCAGGGAACCTTTACTTCCAGGTGTGCTCCCATCCCCCCCAACAGACCTCTCTGTTGCATATTTCTGTCTTTAGTGTTGCTTACTGCAGTGCTTATTTTCTCAGTTGAGCTAATTTGATCCATTTTTCTTTTAACATTTTAACTCCTGACTTCCAGGGTCCATGTGATATTTAAAGAAAGTGGAATAGCTGAAACACCCATGAAAAAATCTGGAAGGGCAGAGTGTTTTGCATTAAGTCCCCGCCAGATGTCTCTGGTTGCTTAGAGATAACCCTCATAGCTGCACTGGGCAGCAGCCACAGCATCCGCTGGACCTTTTCACATCTGCGGCCCTGGAATACTTCTAACTTCATTTCTTTATTTCTGATTTTTCTTTCCCATCTAGTCTGTTTTGTAATGCCTCTTTTTCTGCACTCACCCCTTTTCTTTCAATCAACAGGAAATATCCAACAATCATTTTGCCCTCTGCATGCTGATGCTTGCAGTTAATGTGGGAGAGCTGTGGCATGGACTGTTGGATTCTGTTGTTTAGTGTATTTTTTTTATATTGCTTGTCTGCTGTCACAGAAGGCACTGTGCAATATGAGTTTAAAATCTCCTCTACGCTTCTGGACTTTCTTTCTTCATCTGTCTCGGATTTAGCAAACTGAAACAGCAGATCTGATTATTTACATATTCTTTCCTTTCTTTAGAGGGAAGAACTGTTCGTTCCATAGATGCTGAAAGTTGCTGACTTGCAGCCAACCATGGAGCCCACCGCTGGACGCTTATATTTTTTTGAATACCTTTTAATCCTCCAAGGCAAGGGCACACATGTAATTGATTAAGCCTCTCTGATATGGACTCATTTTGGTAGATCTGATACTGGAGGAACAAAGCATAAAAATCGAAGACGTTCACTCAGTAAACTACACTGACTTTGCCTTGATGACAACAAAATGGGAACGCACTTTATAATATTCAGCTTGAGAGTTGATTGGCATGGTGGGGTTCGTGGTAATTACATGTAGCTACAGTATGATCCAATTTGATGAGGGTTTCTGTTTCTTCTAACCTGTTTATAAGATGTGACTTACTTCATTGCCTTATAATAAATAAAGATCTTTGAGTACCCCTTTGTTTTTGTTTTTATATCCCTTTAAGAATTGTATTAGGTACCAAACATCTTTCTGTGGATACATTTGTTAAATGTCGCTGTTCTACAGCATACATGAGACTTTATTTAGGAAGTAGACACTTAGTGTCGGTCCTTTTTTTTTAGCTTAACGCATTTTACCTGTAAACACCCCAAAACAGGCAACCATGACGTAATTTAACATTCTGATTATTAATTATTTTACTGTAAAAAAGCCAGACTAGACCCGATGCTCTGCTGAAGCCTTGGCTCTATGGCCCGCGGCCTTCAAAAGTTGAGCTGTACTTCATCATTTTTTGTGTGTGTTTTTTATGTCTTCCTGTTTTTCCATTTCAGGCTCTCAAATTTAGAGTCATCTCTTTTAGCAAAGTTCATCTCTGAAATGTGTCATTCAAGTTTAGTAGTTTTTGGTGTGCTGTCCAGCCAGTGGGTCTGGGCCTGGCTGGCAGTGCCTCTTCCATATCTCAGGGTCCTGTAATTACACTTTGCTGTGTGTAAGATGATGTTATAACACAATCTTATCGAGCTATGGTCTCATATCTACGTCTGTTTTGCTTTCACCAGTCTTGTGATTTTGTTAATCTTTTTCAGAAGTTCTGTATAAAATAAAAAGTTTAATCCTTTAAGGTGAGTTTTATCATGCATCAATTAACTTAAAAATAGGTTTAAGATACAGTATCAATGATATTGCTTTGACAGGGAAGTAACAACAGGTCATATAATGAAAAAACTTATGAACTACACCCTGATTCTTTATTTTTATCAGAATGTTGCTGTCCCGACTTGTCTGTCACATTAACTGTTGTGTACTTTCAAAAAGGACTTTTTAAAATTGCACAACAACGAAATTGTGCATATATTAAATCCAAGCAGAGAACAACAATACATGGTAATTAAATGCTTAACATTTTTTTTATGTATTAAAACTTACAACGTAAGTTAGCTAAGGTCCTAATTCAGAGTTTGTCAAATGGAAGTTTTGATGTCTCTGCAAGATTCCAAGCTGTTCTAGTCCGGGGCGTTTTCTTGGGGAGGCCCAGGGAAGATACAGGTTAGTGCTAACATGGTGACCCTAACAAGGAGGGTGTCATCTTTAAAATACGACCAAATAGTTTTAAAAGTCTCGAAACCTCTCTTCATGCCCTTTCCAACTGTGGAAAAACCCCATCTTAAGTTTTAAGGGGTACTTCAACATACTGTTAGCGTTAGAGGGAACGCACAAAAAACGACCAATTTCAGCCTGTACTTGAACGCCTCAAGTGTGTTCTCATTAAGAATGTTCGGGGTGAAACTTCGGACGCTTTCTTCGTTTAGTCGCGCGAGATTTACAGCATTCATTTCATTTGTCTCTTCAACAGTGCATTAAAACCCTTTGTCCACATGGAGATCTGGGTTCTGTTACATTTTCCATTCGTCCGACAAAATATGGTTTCTTTCCCCGTGCGGTATGTCGAGTATTGTTTGTTCGAATTCTCCTGCATTGTAACAACAGCTCACACTAAAATCTTCGAATTTTGTGGGTGTTTTTACAGCGTTCAACACTCAGAGCCGTGACGTCTCAGAGAGATAGCATTGACGTCACAGCAGTGACGTCAATCTTATGTCTAACATTGACGCCACCTGACAAACACGCATTAGACTTGTAGAACACTGACTGGATTGCCACAGTGAAGACCAAGATATTGTTATCTTGCACGAGAATTGAATTTTTTTTTCAAATGTACCTAAATAACACAGGAGAAACATTGGAGGAAACTCTACCCCCCAATTTGCGTACACATTTAGAAAATGTAACAGAAAACCAGTTTTCATCACTTGCTTTTGAACAAATGGATTCTGAAATGCAAGATTTTATTGTAGAGATATTCACAGAAGTAACTCGAGCCATGGCAATAACTATTTCACGTGCCATGCAACGACAAGCTCAAGACGAGCAAAACCAAATTCATCTATCCTCAAAATCCACAAAAGTAGAAACGCCATCCTCAGGACAGAAGGAGAGTTCCACAGAGGGCAAACCCAAGCCTGCCCCAGATAGTAATCTGCATAGGCTCATCCACATAATAGTTTGGAGCATTATGTTAAAGTACACCTTGAAGAAAAAAACTACTCCTGATGCAATGTTCCAGAAAAGAATTCAGAACCTGGCAAAATGTGAAATGGACGCAATAGACATAAAACATTTAAATGAAGGAAATGTCCAAAAGATCGCTAAAGCAGTGTTGAAAGATCTCTACAAGAGATTTGAGTCAGCAGACAATATAGTGGATGCAGCCCTTGCGCCAGAGGGAAGAGAATTTGATAGATTTTTTATGGCTTCCTTTAGATACAAATTGTATGTAAAAATGCAACCCAAAAAGAATATCATAAGACGTTTTTTTTCAAAGGTTGGCAAAGCTGTGCAAAGTTTTTTCCTGAAACGTTAATATCTGCTGCAGTCATTACTTTAAAACTGAGTTAATTTACGTGCCAAAAATCACAGGAGGAGGAAAATAGTTTTTGGGTACATTCTGTATTTTAACATATTTAGTTCCTTCCATGTAAAATGATTTTCTCCAAATGAGTTTATGAATTTGCTAGCAAAAAGATATGATCTTCTGCAACATCTAAATACAGCTGAGGTTCTGAGTTGTGAGATAATGATCACATGGATGTTATGAATGTGTGTTTTTACTGTAAAAACAGGATTGTTTTTACTGTTCCTGTATCATAGGGAAAAGGCCATGTCATGACCAGGGTTTTGTTTAGAGTATTGAATTTTGATTCTTTTTTGTAGTTCTCTTTTCTTGTGCTTTACTTCCCTGTTTGTTCAGTAAGCCTTTCTGTTATGCTCAGGATTTCTTGTATTTCGCTTTGCCTTTGCTGGCTTTCCTTTATTTTGAAGTCTGTCTTGGCTTATGGTTTCCTGTTTTATTCGTCTTTCATGGTTTCCTGTGTCTTCCCCTTGCCCCTCTCAGGTAATTCCCCTCCCTCAGTTCCCTCCTTTTCTGATTATCACTCAACTCCCTGCACATGCCTTTCCCTGTCACCTGCTCTCCATCCACAAATCACACACTGCTCTATAAAAATTCCCCAGTCCACTCATCCTGTGCCAGATCCTTGTCAGAACTTGTTCTAATCTCCATACTTCTGCCTCGGTTTCCCCATTGTCCTCCCAGTCCTCCTCGGTTTTCTTGGTTTTGTCCCCCCCCCCCCCCCCCCAGTTATTTTTGTTTTCCGCTTTGGCTGCCCTTTTTGTTGTTCTTGTAAATGAATTAGGTTTGGTGCTCCTTGTTGCAAGGATTTGGATCCAACCAGGGAACCTTTACTTCCAGGTGTGCTCCCATCCCCCCAAAATACATATTTCTGTCTTTAGTGTTGCTTATTGCAGTGCTTATTTTTTCAGTTGAGCTAATTTGATCCGTTTTTCTTTTAACATTTTAACTCCTGGGTCCATGTGATATTTAAAGAAAGTGGGATAGCTGAAACACCCATGAAAAAATCTGGAGGGTTAGAGTGTTTTGCAAGTCCCCACCAGATGTCTCTGGTTGCTTAGAGATAACCCTCATAGCTGCACTGGGCAGCACCCACAGCATCAGCTGGACCTTTTCACATCTGCGGCCCTGGAATACCTCTAACTTCATTTCTTTATTTCTGATTTTTCTTTTCCATCTATTCTGTTTTGTAATGCCTCTTTTTCTGCACTCACCCCTTTTCTTTCAATCAACAGGAAATATCCAACAATCATTTTGCCCTCTGCATGCTCATGCTTGCAGTTAATGTGGGATGCATTGTGTAGCAAGAGTTTAAATATCCTCTACGCTTCAGGACAGTCTTTCTTTATCTGTCTCAGATTAAGAAAACTGAAACAGCAGATCTGATTATTTACACATTATTTCCTTTCTTTAGAGGGACGATCTGTTCTCTCCACAAATGCTGAAAGCTGCTGATAATGCCAATAATTTCTAGGTCTTAAAACATTTTACCACTAAACACCTCCAAAGAGCCAACCTTGATGTGAATTATCATTCTGATTGTTGAGTATTTTACTGATAAATGAAAGCCTGAAAGAAACTTTAACCAGTTGTCAAATATTTCTAACGATTACGACTCTCTTTCTCCTTCTATATTCTTCTTGTACAAAGAGGATTTTTTTTAAAACATAGAACTAGGTGAAAAAGCAGGGCAAATCACAGGATAAGTAACACGAGCGTTGATGAAGATTTACCGAAGAAAGCCTCGACTTTGTCAGTAATTAGCTCGGACACATCTGAAGGCTTAATAAATAATCCTCCCATCATCTATAAACCATTGTGAAATGGGAATGTATCATCTCCCGGTGGGTTAACCCTCAGCTGAGCAAAACAGGTGAGACGGCACGGGCAAAGGTAAGTACAAAGCATCTTTGTGCGGGCTGTATTTTATCAGGAACTAAAACAAAGCCCACATGTGGCCGCCGGCTCCGCCCCGGACACGTGACGCGGAGCGGGCTGACTCAGCCGGCTCGTTACGCAGCGTCAGTCTGGAGTCGCACAATTATGAAAAAGCAACCTTCCGTTGGAGCTGCAGCCGAAGCGGATCTCTCCAACCTCCAACGGGCTTTCCTTCCAAGGCTAACCGAGAGCACCGCCGATAGATGGATAAAAGCCACGACCAAGCTCCTCCTGAATCTCGACGGTGAAGAGAATGGTACGTGAACCCCCCGGAGTAGCCTACTCCGGGGGGTTTAATAGTCTTGTTTAATTGGCGCGGAGGACCGTCGTGACTGAACTGGGGACTTTGAGTGGCAGGTTTACCCCCCCACCACCACCACCACCACCCCCCGCCTCCCATGCATGCTGCGTTCTCCCAGTTAGGCTGCCGACCGGACACCCCCGGTGCTTTCTGCTGTGTTTGCCGTCCGGCCGGTGGCTCTGACCAAACACTAGCGAACCTAACGTCCGCAGACGGTGACACACCGTCTGACAGGAACCCCCCAAACCGCACCCGGGCGCAGGCTTAGCCGGCTAAATAGCTAGCTCGTTAGCGGGCGGAGCTAGGTAGTCCACCTAAGCTAACTAGCTACAGCGGTGTGATGTCGGCGGAGCTTTCTTCAACCATGAGACAACAGAAAGGGCGTTTGTTTGCCAGCCACATATTCAGACGGAGCCTGCTATTAAAGCAGCACTGTTCCCAGCGGCTGGCACTTGTTAGACACACTTTTCTTCCGGCTGTCTCCGATGTCAGACAAGACACGCTGTCATTGCCAGTAACAAGTCAATGCCAACTTGAGTGTCTGCCAGGGTCTCTTCAAACCGAGGGCTTTCAATTCAGGTGGGGAGGGGGGGAATGTGAAGTGGCGTTCAAACAGTGTTAATGTAGTGTTCCGGACTTATTTTTAAACCGCCGTGTGTGGTGAAGGGTAAACGTTCGAGGCCTGCCGAAGACCCGTCCCAGCTGTGCTTTGTAACTTGCCATTTTTTTTTCGTCTTCGTGACAGACGAGGCCTCCTCTCGTCCCAAGAATTTCCTGTCTGGCCCTTTGTGGTGCCGCAGAATGTGGAGGTTAGCGATAATGGGAAGAGGAGATGTCATATAGCCCCAGCTGTGAGTCAAACATGGTCCCGCTGGTGTTGGTAAACAGTTGGCTCACAGTGACCGCCGTCACAGTTCTGAACACACAAGACTTGTATAGATGCTCTGTCCTCCTTTTCTTAAGCTGCACCTTTCTATATCAACTGGAAAATTAGATCCGCCTTCAGCATCTCGGTTTGCAGGCCTCAGTGAGCATAGAGAGTGTCACAGTTCACTTCAGAAGACTCCTGAATTGATGTGCTTTGGACGGACAAGAGCGAAGTATTGCTGTTGGCTCACTATTTAGCGTCTCATGGCCCATGTGATGACAGATTAAAACACAGGGGTGGACCTGGAAACTTTGAGTGGACAGTGAACTCCTTTATCTGCCCACGTCTTCTCGTGTCTGATGTGAGGTGAGGTCTGACGGCTATCGCTGTATGAGCCCTTTTACAGAACAGTTATTTCAATGGTCCCCGTGAATCTACGACCAGATGGCAAAAAGCAGAGCATCAAGTTTTTTGCAATGGATCCAGTCAAAGTCCAGAGCTGACCCGGATGGAAACGCTGTTCTGAGACCTGAGACTACAGCTGCATTTTGAAGAGGATTGGGCAAAAAGTCTTCCACAGAGACATCAGAGAATGTCAGCGTCATACAGAAAATGATTAGCTGAGGTTGGAGGTGCTGCTGCAATAGTTTCTGCTGCTTCCGGTGTTTCTATTAGCCACTAAAGCGCGGGCCTTACTTGGTTTGTTCCACACTGTACCTGCATTTTCACTCATTTTGTTCGTTGGCTAATGAAATCATAATATTTATTTAAGGACCACCGTTTGTTTGCTTTTTTGGGTGCCGCCATTGCAAAACTTGTAACGTCCAGAATGGACCAGCTCCGCATGTGTTTGCGCACCTCAGCCTGCAGAGTGACTGGCATCCACCTGAGTGCTGTTATCTGTTCTCCATTTTATTTGTACGTCGCATACAAAAGCCTGTTTGAAAATGGCCGATTGTGTTTTTAGTCCTCCCCCGTAGGTGTGGTTTGAGTTTTCCAAAAACGAGGATTCTAAGAATAGAGTACTCCCTTTGCAATATCCAATTGGCTGTTTACGTTCTTTCTGCGTGGCTGTAACTCCTGTTTTGACATGTAGCTGACTTTCCAAAAAGCTTAAAGACCACTACTGGGAATTCACACCCACAAATCTGATAATTTCTTAACGAAGATAGCTAAATAACATCAGGGAGACTTTATTTTGTGAGAGAGCAGAGCTACAGTAGCTGGGACATTTTTGCTACTTCAACAAAAGGTTTCCATATCTCTAGTGACCACAAGTACTGGTTTTATGCTCTGCAATGCAAGGTATGTAAGTGCCTGGGGGATCAGCACATGCTTTGCAGTGTTTCGGAGCTTTGCCCAGAGGGCACAAGTGTAAAAGCTGGAGAGCTGTCACACTTTGGTCCCATGACTGGATGTATTACTGTGTGCGATCTTCTTGGAATCTTATCTGAGGGCTATAATGAACTTGTTCCCCCCAATTAAACATACTTTTATAAGCTCTGATCTTGGCAAGACTCAAATGCAACACTGATATCAAATTGATAAGGATCGTTTTAGTTCTATTTTTACTGAGCATTTGATAGTTTTTTTTTATCTTCATTTGCACCCTTTCAGATAGAGAGCGATAATCTAACGTTATCAGAAATTTAACACAGACCTGTTGCTACCATGGCTGAACACAACTGAGAGTGTCTCATCGAGCTATGAGGAGTAAATTGATTTTTTAGTGGCAACTGAGACTTGACTTAAGCTTTGCTTTTCTGGAAAAAGCATTTAGATTTGGTTTTCTAATAATTGTGTACAGTAGGTTATCTAGAGCCATCTACGGAGGCACTGTGTGGGAAGTGTTGAGAACAAACACAAGTAGTCATTTAGGTGATTGTGGGAGCCATCTGTCTGTTTCTAGTGAACTTTAGCCAGTTGCAAACAGTCTGCAACAGTTCATTGTATCACTGAAGTTATTTAGGGTAATCATGATTAGTGGATCGTCTTTGTGATGGCATGTGCCAGTGACCTTATTCAACAATGGTGTTCTACAAATGAACAGAAAGATGAATAAACTGCTTTTCTATGAAAATAAGTTCTCAGCTGAAACATTATTGTGGTGGCAGCCCTACTGAACACAGAAAGGAACCAATGCTAAAGGAGCGACCTGAAAATCAAAGTTTTGGTCAAACTGGTCAAGCAAAGAGGAAAATATTTCACCACTGGAAAGTTCCTCTGTTGCTCTCTGCTCCTCCCTCAGTTGAGCCACATCTGATAGCCTCAGGAGCTGCTGCTGCTGACTGACGTTACATGTAAAATCTGCTCTCCTCTGATCTTTAGTAGTGGTTATCATTCAAGTCTCGTATGATTCGTCTGCTTGACAAAGTCTGGTATATCTCTTTACTGGCTACTTATCAGCATCACTTTTGTCCAGATCAAAGTGTGGACATATTTAGACACTGCTTTGTATTTTTTAGTGTTCATCAGATCCAGTAGTGAGAGGCAGTAGTTGGCTGTTTTTGTTTCTAAAAACTTGACTTGAGCCCTACTGTCTTTTTTGTTTTGTTTTTTGTCTAATGTTCCGTGTTTTACATGTAACAGTAATGAATGAAGATTATGGCATGGAAAGAACTCATGACAAGAGCTTAAGCTCACTGTACCGTGGAGGATGCCCCAGTTCTGAGTCCCTGCTTCTGGCCATGCAGTGGCGCAGTGGTAATGTCAGCAATGTGAGGTCTCATCGGTGGTGTTTTAACCTTCTCTTTCAGAGACGGGGGGGGGGTGCTTCAAGTGTACAATCGGTGTTCTTTTCTCGAAGTAAATATGCTCAAAAAACAGAATTGGAAATAATCTTTTGCATGGTTCAGCTGGTTCTCTGAGAAGCCCTCTTCTGTTGGGCTGCTGCTCGCTGAAGCGCTGACCCCAAAGCTCCCACTCTTTCTTATGGCTAATTGAATTGCCAGGAGAGATGTTATCAGGCCCTGTGTTACGTCAGGCAGGGCCACAGGGATGATGAGTTGACCAGTATGCCTTGTTGCACGGTGGGAAATGGAAGATGGAGGGTGGGGTTTGGAGTGTGTGTTCTTGAGAGTAGCCTTGGGATGACGGTTAAAAGATAACAAGGCGTGTTCCGGTTAAGAAAAAAACAGTACCTCTGAGTGTGAAATGGGCTCCAGGGAATAAGTCGCTGCATCCATCATCAGAAACAGAAAAATGGTGGGGTTTCGGAGTCAGAAAACAGAGCAGCAGGAGAGAAGCCAGAGAGGAAAGGGAGGGAAGGAGGAAGTGAGCAAGTGAGAGTGTTGTGCACGCCTTTTGGCAGGACCTCTGAAGCCCCAGTCTTTTGTTGCCCGACATTCTCAGGTACCATAGTTACAGGTCAGCAGGGCACAGGCCTGCTTTCCGTGTCCTAGTAACACTTTGTGAGATTAAGCTGGATCAAACGGAGGCATTTTTGTGAGAGCGTTCCTCCACAGCCCAGCTCAGACCTCCCTCTGCTCACGGTGTGTGCCTCATATTTGTCAGTAGCTCAGCAGGGAGCTGTTTAACATGTTGAATAGGCAGCGGTTTTCAGACAGCTCTATCTGACCTACTTCGGACTCAGCAAATGCATGCTGTGTTCCCAGGGAGCAGCATTTCCAAGTCCCCCTCGTTCAGTAGTTTTCTGTTATGCTTTTCTAACTATGCCCGAGTGTCAGACGTTCCAGGGAGCTCTGCAAAATGCTGCCACTTTCCCTCCTTGCACAAGTGGTCCCCGTCCCCTCTGCTGGGGAGTATGAGTGCAGAACTGAGAACACACCGCTTAGCTTGGATGACTTGTTACCTGGTGGTTACTTCCCAACAACTATCTGATACTAGGCTGGTTTTCAAGTATTTTGCAGAAGCTGCTTCGCATCATTTGCTTTGTCTTTATTTGTGGCAACGCACATCACACATGCGCACATTTAACGAGTTCATCGACTTTTAAAGCCGCCAGGCATTGCGTTGTTGTCAAAATGTAAAACACATGATAGCAGGCAGGCCACTAAAAAGCTTACACTCCAAACACAGAATGCACCAGTCCCATGCTGATGGGGCAGGTTAATCACCGATACCCATTCGTAAACCAGATTTTTATTCTTGAAAACATATTAGTAGTTATGGAATGCGCTGCTCCTAAAAAGGAAAGAGAAAAACAAAGCCACAGTTTTTAACATTGAAGACTTATTATGACCAAGCATAATGTCTCTCCTGTGTCTGTTTCTGAAAATGAGCTCTGAACTATTCAGCCTCCAGTGACTGGGGTTGAGAGGCATTGTTCTCCTTTGTTTACAGTTTCTCTTTTAATAAGCACGTTGTTTTTCAAACGTATTACTATTTAGGTCGCTCCTTAGGAGCCGGGACTTTGGATTTTTTTGGATTAAGACCAATCATTTGGCTGCGCTCTCTTTTTATTTCACTCCCAGATAAGTGGCTCTGATAATACAGGGGTTGTCAGTAGTCTATGGTTAACTCAGGGTTCACACTAAGGTTGAGCCAAAATACACATCCAAATAGAAAATGGGTGATAGTTCTTTCTGCTGTCATAATAATAATCATTCACAACAACATCACAGCACATCGCTCTGTATATGTAAAGCCCACACTTCGGATTTTAAAGAAATGTCATCAATTGAGGATATATTTCTTAGCCTGAAAGCCTTCATTTAGATTTTTAAATGACTAATTTATGACCATTTCTCATTAAAATGTTTCAAACAGACTTCCCAGTATAATGTGAAATAGTGTGACTCTGCCAGCATTCCAGCTAAGGATGGCCTTCATGTCTATAGAAGGTTGTACTGACTGACTGAGGGTTAAAGCCATCTGCACTCCATTCATTTTTGTCGTAGAATGTCTGTTTTCCGTGTAATGACTTTTTAAACAATGGAGACCTCTCAGAGAGGGCCTGAGTAGTTTGGAGAGGTTTTTTGTCTACTCCTGCATGAATCACAGTTGGTGGTGTGTCATCAGAAGAAGGTATATTTCACTGAGGCCTCTGCTCATCCACTAATCCTCTCCCACAGCCCTCCTCCCTCTGCTCTTTCTCCCTAGCCTAAGTATAATATCTAGTTTGTCTCAGACACATTCATCTGCCACCCGAGTGGCTTCTTACAGATTAACAGTGGATGGAGTTCACAGGCAGCAACCTCTCACTGATCACTCAGCTTTTAACTTGGGCCGGATCTGCGTGCTAACCGCTGGCCCGTAGACTTTGAGACCTAAATGGAAACTGCGTGCAGACCTTCAGACACAGAGAGTGGAGTGAGGTGTTGCTGGTGATCCAGAGCTCAGGAAGGCTGTGGTGACTGTGGTTTTACTGGGAGATGCATGAAGGATCCTTGGCATGTTCCTGTACAAAGCCCTTAAACACAGAGATGAAGAGGAGGACATCCAGGTATACTCTCAGTGGCTCGCCGTCATTGGTCAAGCGTGGGATGACCGGTTTGTTGAGATGTTTCAGTAGAACTGCTGTTTTCTATTAGAATCCAAACCCAGCTCTTTGACTTAGGGCGGTAGGAAAAATGGCAGCCTTTATCCATTCTGTGGTAACTTGCCTTTGTTTCTGTCTTTGTCCAAAACAAGCTGATGCTGAGGGTCAAACGCCGCTAACTTTAACTGTAAAGCTGCTAGAGTTTCAGGAATTGTGGAAAGGTTTCGGTGTAAAGCGGGTGACAGTGTTTGCAGACTCCTCTGATTTGTGCTGTGATGAATTAATGGGACTAATCACCCATGAGTTTCTGTGAGCGCTGCTGAAGAAATAATAAAGTGAGGGGCATTAATGAAAAATTCTTTGAACTTAACACCTTGGGGAACGCGTTATTATAGCTTGAAATGGTGATTTTGACGCTTTTGGCAATAAGTGTCTACCTTAACTGTGAACATTCATCAATGATTTATCAACACGTAGAATTTAGAACTTACAATTTATTAACACCTCTTGTTCTCTTCATTTTCTTTGACTAAATCCTGGATTAAGACACACATAAACCCTGATGCCCTCTTCATGTCATTTCAAGTTAAGGGCTCATTAATTACAGAAAGCAGTTTAACAAAAGAAGAAGGGGTCCTGTATCACTTTCTCCTTTTGTGAGTTTCTTATTTAGAAGTGCAGTTGATAAATATCAGTAACCGTGCGGCAGATGTAATTCTGTTTTTGCCATAATGGAAAAATACCAACCATCATAAATGTAACTGTTTCAAGATGACAGCACTTACTGTTTACTGTCCTACACTGATACAGGAGGACTTTTCTTCTCATATGGTTCAACTATGATTTGTAATTATGCATTGTACCCTTAGGATGCTTACCATTGACTGTTCACAGGATATCTTATAGGAAGTTTAGGCTTTGCTGAATAGAGCTCTGTGCCAGTAAATGGTCATCAAAGATTCTGTACAGTCAGAGCAGTATGTCGTACTGTTCACATGTGCGGTTGTGCTGGTCGCTCTCACTTCATGACGTTTGATCTCTCCTTCTAATAAATTTCTCTTCCCTACTACCTCAGACAGACTAAGAATCTCGTATAAAAAATTCCACAACAGTGGCTCATAACTGTTTCACCTTTTTCACAGTCCCAGAAACCCTGGATAGAAACCACTTTCACCAAGAGGGAATGTGTGTACATACTTCCAGTGTCAAAGGACCCGCACAGGTATGTGTTCAGACGTTCTCTGGAGTGTCTTCTCTCCTTGCCATGGAAACAGTGTAATTGCATGGTGTTTGTTACAGTAGGCCAAAACCCTAACCACTGTTCTTCAAGGGTAAACGGGTCCATTTGAGATCTTTATGTCTGCCAGTGTTAGTGCACATTGAAAAAGAAAAGTCAGCGTTGAACCTTTTTCAGATTTTTATTGTATTGCTTTTTATTTCCTAATCAAAATGAACTAGTAGAAGGTGAGGAATTTGACCACTTGTGCATCCAGAGAAAATAGGATCGCATTTTCCTGATCAATTATTTCGTCATGCACCAACAGTTTAGAAGTGTTTTGTGTGTGGAGCCCCACGCTGCAGTCCCTCTCTCAATGCACCAGGATTTTTCTGTTAGAACGCTGGAATGTTACAAAGCAGTGTTAAAACAGTATCATGGCCTCTTCTTGGCTTGCTAACAAAAAGACTCATTGATATCTTACACAGTAAAAGAAGATTTCACAAAAGGCTTCTGTTAAAGGTACAGCAACTGGAGTGAACTTCCATTTTATTCTGGATACCTAGGCAAAGAAAACATGTTGTTTTATGATTCTTTTTGCTCATTTAATGAGTACAAGATTTCCATAACTACATGGATTTACTGTTTAACAGCCTCCTTTCAGCATAAGCCATTTCTGTTATATTTCTAAGAGGTGCTGACTAATTTACATTCATACTTTTTTTAAACGTTAATTATTTCCTATTGTATTCTGTCAACTTGACCTAGATATTTCGGAGGTCGAAGTCAGCATAGCTTGGACTGTCACCTTAATGTTGTTCCTGCATTACATACTTTTTTGATTATATTCATGTTTGTGTGAAATTCATTCCAGATGCCTTCCAGGATGCCAGATTTGCCAACAGCTAGTACGGTAAGTTTTTGTTGGGCTATGTGGATTAACCTGTCTGGTACACATTGTTCACTAAAGCACTTAAATACGGTTTAAAAACCAAAAAAGCTTAGTCACTGCTTTTCTCTGTATTACACCTTCATGGAAAATGGCTTTCTGTACATTTCGCTTTTGAAAACAACACTTTTAAATTGGGTTCTGTGGGTGCTGCCACTGTCCCATGATCTGCTTCAGACCGTTAAAATGCACAAATGGCATTTAATGCAGTATGTTTTTGCGTTTGTTTTAAACATGTCTAAAAGGAAAGTGTTTTGTTTTCCCCCTGAAGGTGCTGCTGTGGGCGGCTGGTGCGGCAGCATGTTGGCTTCACTGCCAGCTTGGCCACAAAATATTCAGACGTGAAGTTGGGTGAAAATCCCAATGTGCCCATGCCCGAACTGGAGAAGTGGTCAGTGGAAAAACACACAGAAGCAAGCCCCACTGACGCCTATGGTGTCATCAACTTCCAGGGAGGGTCTCACTCATACAGAGCCAAGGTATGAAGGCATTTTCTTACTCGGCAAATGTGTAGTTAGTTTTTCTTTTCTTTTTCCCACACTGATGTAACAAAATGATTTAAATCATTATTGTGGTTGCTTGTGGCTTTAAGATCAGACTTGGGTATTTTTGTTCATGTGATCTGTCTTTGTTCTGTTTTTAAACAGTATGTGCGTTTGTCACATGACACGCGGCCCGAGAGCATCCTGCGGCTGATGCTGAAGGAGTGGCACATGGAGCTGCCCAAGATCCTCATTTCAGTACATGGAGGAGTTCAGAACTTTGAGCTGCACTCGCGCATCAAGCAGGTGGTGGGCAAGGGCCTCATCAAAGCTGCAGTTACAACTGGGGCCTGGATTCTCACCGGAGGGGTCAACACAGGCATGTAGTCTGAAAAGGAAAATGTGGTCTTTCTAATCAATGGGTGGTTGCCTGTACGTGGTGTTGTTTCTGCAGGAAAAGTGGATTAAGTTTTTGAGAGGGAAGAATGTGTGAGAATGTCTCCAGAAAAAAGTTTTTAAGCCATTCTGTTTCCAAAGTGGATTTCCACCTGAAAAAAAAGTAGTTCCTGTAGATTACAAGTTGTTTCTTTTGCTTTTCCCCAATTAGACTTTTTCTGGTTTGAACACCAAAATGCCATATTTTCGGTTTTAGATAAAGTTTACTGAGTGGATTAAGCATCATGCGTTAAGTCAACAGATTCTGTGATTATAGAATCGATTGATTGATTTAACAATATATGAATAAATACAGATGTGCATGTGTTTTGAAGGGAAAAAAGCTTACATTCACATTGTATTCAAACAACACACACAGTCACATACTTCCACTCTGAGGGTGGTGCGCTGATGTAGCAGAAGTTGTAATACAGGCCTTTAAGCATGTTATTTTGCCATGATATGCAGCTGAGGTGTGCCTGCAGCCGCAGCACAGCCTTAAGTTGCTGTGGTCTGATCATAGTGTTTAAGTCTTTACTCACAGGGTCAATTATTCAGACTGGTGATTACTTCTAATGCCTCATTGGCACCCTGGTCAGCAGGGATGGTCTCTTGCCTCACAAATTACAGTTGAATCCCAGGGATCCATTAGCTGAATACTGTGGTTCATAAACAGCTCTGAGACAAATGCATATGTTTAAAACCAGTCCCACAATGGCATTTTGGTCAGAAATGTTCTAGTGTTGTGGTCTATCCTGGAAGATTTACACATGTGTATTGTTTAACGGATCTAACCTGCAGCTAACTTATGGTCTTAAATGAGGTCTGATGAATGTCTTTAAATCGATTGTTTTTTTCCAATGCATCCAACCCAAAGGTGTGGCAAAACATGTGGGAGATGCTCTGAAAGAACACTGCTCAAGGTCATCAAAGAAAATTTGCACTATTGGCCTCGCACCATGGGGAGTCATCGAAAACAGAAGCGACCTCATTGGCAGAGATGTAAGCAAATTCTTCACATCTGCTTGGGGTTTGTCTTAAGATCTTTTTTTTCCCCCATGCGTTGCTTCAATCTTCCCCTTCTCTGCTCTCAACATTCCTCCAACGCAGATCATCGTTCCATATCAGACGCTGCTGAATCCTCTCAGCAAACTCAATGTTCTCAACAATCTGCACTCCCACTTCCTCCTGGTGGATGACGGGACGGTGGGCAAGTACGGCGCCGAGGTGAAACTGCGCCGCGACCTGGAAAAACACATCAACTTACAAAGAATACATGCACGTAAGAAAAAACAACAAGTCTGTGGTGTCCATGGCGGGCAACATGTTTTACGATCATGAGTTGCTTTAAAAAGTCAAGTTTAAATATTTTGACTAGAGATCCATTCATTGGCTCCAAGTACAACAGCACAATATCCACATTAAAGTATGTTGCTTGTATCTTTTTTTAATTTCTATTTCTATGGACAGTTTGTAATAAAACTGTTTTAACTTCTCACATAACAGAAATGTTAAAAATTTACCCAGCACCATTTGTTATGAAGGTAATAAAGTAATAAATAAATATTTTGTGATAGCATTGAGATTAATATTTTCACCTTGAACTTTGTCACACTTTCACTAATGTGCAACTGAATGAACACGTAACCTATATCTGAAGGAGAATAGGTGTGTTTGTGATAGTAAAGAGGGCACCGTTGCTCTGTGCGTGCACCAGACCTAAATGTGGTCCATTTGCTGTTTGACTAATTCTCCTAGGGATCGGTCAGGGTGTTCCTGTTGTGGCGCTCATCTTTGAGGGCGATCCCAACGTGATCCTTACTGTGCTTGAGTACCTTCAAGAGAGCCCCCCTGTACCAGTGGTGGTGTGTGAGGGCACTGGCCGTGCTGCTGACATTTTGGCCTACGTTCACAAGCAGACCGAAGAGGGGGGGTAAGTTAACAACACACTGAGGACGAGGGGTGTGCAGCAGAAAGCAGGTGAACAGATAAGAAAACAAAATGCCCAACTGGAATCATCTACTGCCCTGAAAAGGGATTCCTTCATTTAGGGGCAAAAGTGGGTTCTTTTCTTAAGTATCTCATATATATTATATTTAATTCATTTTAGGACATTTTCTGCTCTGTTGTAATTTGTACTGGAAAGTGCAGAACCGTGTAAGGCTAAGTAGGCACGAATGGGGAAAAATGGAAAAAGGATGCTGTATTAATATGGTAAAAGTAGAATGTTGTTGTTGATAAAACAGCTAAAACTGGCTTCTAAAGCCAATAGTGGAGTAAAGTTCAGTTTTTAGAATCATCAAACTGTTTGTATCAGCTCTCACAATGTTTTCCTTTAATAATTCTGCAGTGGTCTCCCTGACGGAGTGGAGACTGACATCATCGCCACCATCAAGAAAACTTTTAACTTCAGCCAGAACGAGGCCATTCGTCTCTTTCAGACTCTGATGGAGTGCATGAAAAGCAAAGAACTGGTAAATATTTTCACATTTGCTCTTTTTTCAGGGGTCTTGGATGTGGAATTAGCAACTTACAAACTTAATATTATTTTTAATTTTATATATATATATATAGGCTGAAGAAATGCTTGTGGTTATTTAAAGTGCATTTAAAATGGCATTTTGGCTATGAAGAATATAGATAATCATACAATCAGAAAGTAAAAGTGTGTGACTCTCCAAATTGAATTGACATCAGCTGGCATTTCTACAGAGTTATGCAAACTGGTGCCATGGTAAAACGACCTGAAACATCTGGATAATGTCTGTGGGAACCTGGTGATGAGTGCTATCTTGTGTCTTGGAAAACAGATCACTGTGTTTGACATCAGCTCAGAGGAGCACCAGGACATCGATGTAGCCATCCTGAGGGCTTTACTTCAAGGTTTGTCGATGACTCCTTACTAAAACTTTGTCCTCAAATCACTTTGATAAAGGAACTCTTGAGTTTGTCACATATATTGGTTTAAGTCTATTCATATACTGCAGTTGTTGGCACTGGGAGTTAAGATTTCAGGACTTCATAATGTTTTCTTTCTGATATGGATATGCTTTGAGAACTCGCTTCCCCCTGGTTGCCCTTGTCTTTCTGCTTATGGGGAGATCATGTTGCTCAGATTCACATGGACTCTTTATTCCAACACAGTCACAGCACCCCATGTCTTATCCTCCTTCTCCTTTCTGTTCTCTAAAGCTATTGTCAGATAATAGATCCGTGAGGTTCACTTGTCTGTCATTAAGATTAAGAAATGGCACTCACCTAACACCTGCTTTTAGTGAAAAGAGTGTTGTGCAGAATAAAGGACGTCGAAGCACAATATTGGCTGCTTGTTTGGCCCCTATCCATTACGCTTAGCAATACTGACTACAACTGAATGATAGTTCTGAGAAGCCAGTTAAGACGCTAAAGAAAAAAACTGTTCGGCTCCTGAGGTGCATAATCATTCATCTAAGGTGGTGTCATATCAGTGCGACAGCAGCTTGTTCTCAAAACGACCCTGTTGTTCAAAAGCTCCAAAGCCTTTTGCAAAGGACTGTTGGCCACTTTGTAAAAAAGAATCATCTTGCATTACTCTTGAAGAAAAAAGACTAAAGGCTAAAAATGATCAAAACTCAAGTGCACTTGGTTTTATACAGACATTTCAAACACACAATGCTTTACAAGTCAGTTGGAAACTGTTTGATTCCCTTTTGATTTATTAAGAAAACTAGTCAGTCAGCTCTGTTTACTCTGATAATAACCATATGAATCGGATAGCTCCCAGAGGACCGCCAGGCTGATGACTATGGAAGAGACTAGCATACTGAGCAGGGATTTACTTTGTAGTCTGATCTGCTCTGCTGCTGTATTAGTGTGTAATTGACTGTATTACTGCTCTGGGCCTGCTCTGCTAACCCCCTCTAATCCTGCTATCTGGCCAAAAGGGAATGCACAGTTAATAAGATTTGAATTGCTTGTGGATTAATATGTTTTTGTGTGTTGACACATGGCTGTACCTGTGTATTTCAGGCACCAATGCTTCTGCCTTCGATCAGCTGGTCCTGACGTTGGCCTGGGACCGTGTAGACATTGCCAAGAACCACGTGTTTGTGTATGGACAACAGCTACTGGTGGGTCTATGCATTTGTTTGTATGAGCGCATCAGGCACAGCTCATAAGGATGTTTGCTTAGCTCAGCATGAGCTAAAAAACTTTTGACTTCCCCATAATGACCCCCACAGTTCCTTTTGGCCACAGTATGTGTTCTGAAGAGCTGGGGTGGGGAGGGGGGCGGGCTCAGGCAGGCTGCCATGAATTTCTTGTCTTGGCTGTAACACGACCCCTCTAACAGTTGTCCTCATGAGCGGCATTTAGGGCTGGTGTTTATTTTTAAAAGCCGAGGACTCCTGGCTCTTGCGTGAATTATGAACTGGATATTTATTTGTATGCTGTGTATGCTATGTGTTTAACTTGGCCATATTTTTGGGTCTTCTCCCTCCATTGTGTTTGTTTTATGGATAATTATTTGTTTTGAAAATATGCTTCATAACTGTTTGTATATTTTTGGCTGTGTGTTTAGGTGGATTCTTTGGAGCAGGCAATGCTGGATGCACTAGTGATGGACAGGGTGGACTTTGTCAAGCTGCTCATAGAAAATGGCGTCAACATGCATCGTTTCCTTACAATCAACCGGCTGGAAGAGCTCTACAACACAGTAATGTTATATAGCAATCACCGGCCACTGAGTTAAAGAGTTGGAAGTTTGTTTTTAAGTGTCTTTTCTTTGTATTATTATTATTTAGAAACAACCTCCATACAACCCAACTCTCCTTCATCTGGTCCGAGATGCTAAACAGGTAGTCGGTTAGTTTCATCCTGGTCAGTAAGAACACTGGCGCCAGTCTCAGGTAAAAACCCTCAAACTCTCTGTGTCTTGTTTTTTTTACAGAGTAACCTGCCACCAAACTACAAAATCACTTTGATCGATGTGGGACTGGTGATCGAGTATCTGATGGGTGGGACTTACAGGTGTAACTACACCAGGAAACGTTTCCGGATCATTTACAACAATCTCCATGGGAACAACCGGGTGCGTGAAAATTGGAGTAAATTCTGCTGAAGTATTTCTGAAATATTAATTAACTTTTTACATCGGTAAAGTATTAATTAGCTTTTGCCATCAGCAAAGTATTCATTCGCTTTTTTCATTAGTAAACTACATATTCTTTCGGAACATTATGAATTAATCGCTTTTGGTCTGCATTTAAAGTTGGTGAAAGACAATCAAGTGAAGATGTTTCCATGTTCTACACAGAGATCAGGGCGCCACTCAGCAGGTCCTGGCTCCCATTTGAGGAAAAGTCACGAGGCTTTCAGCATGCAGGCTGATAAGAAGGAGAAGACCAGACACAACCACTTCATCAAGACTGCACAGCCGTATAAACCCAAGGTAAACACCTGTGTTCAAGGTTCAGATAACTCAAACCTGTGCAATATCTCTGGATCGGAGACCCCATTGTTAAAGGGAAAAGTAATGTTTGCCCACTTCTTTTTCCTGTCAGCTGGAGTCTACTGCTGAGCAGAACAAGAAGAGAACTAAAGAGGAAATTGTTGACATTGACGACCCTGAGACAAAGCGCTTTCCATACCCTTTCAATGAACTTCTGGTGTGGGCAGTGCTGATGAAGAGGCAGAAGATGTCTCTGTTCTTCTGGCAGCATGGAGAAGAGAACATGGCAAAGGCACTAGTGGCATGTAAACTCTGCCGCTCGATGGGATACGAGGCCAAGAAGAGTGACGTGGTGGATGATACCTCAGAGGAGCTCAAGGAGTACTCAAAGTAAGCTGTCAACCCAGAAATAGTTTACATTTGATCAAAGTAGAGAATTAACTAATTTTACTGATGTTCATCAGTGACTTTGGCACGTTGGCGGTGGACCTGCTGGAGCAGTCATTCAGGCAGGATGAGACCATGGCCATGAAGCTTCTCACTTACGAGCTGAAGAACTGGAGCAACTCCACCTGCTTGAAGCTGGCTGTCTCCTCCCACCTGAGGCCCTTTGTCGCGCACACCTGCACCCAGATGCTGCTCTCAGACATGTGGATGGGACGACTGAACATGCGCAAGAACTCCTGGTACAAGGTTCATGCTCCATCTAGATTTTTATTTTCAGACACAAACAGAAGGCCACGCAGAAATGGAACAAAGATCTGGAAAGTCTGTACATGCCCACATATTTAAGTGCCATTTTGTTTAGTGACTGATGTTCCAACATGTCAATCATAAAGGACCTTTTTTATTTCAGAGGTAAGCTTCACATTAAAAGTAAGTGGAATTTTGCAAATCTAGGTCATTGTTGGCACATTAAAAACAGAAAATATCTGAACGGGTGAAAAGCAGTCAAATCTCAACAGAACTTGGAGTGTTGCTATCACTTCCCTAACTTCTGTTTTCTCCTTAGATTTGGACTGTAGCAGTCAGACTCACTAGGTATTTCTGTGTGTAATTCACTGTCAACAAACAAAGCAGCAGCCACCCACGTTAGTGTGTATGTTCTTGTCCGTGTGCCTGTAGGTAATTCTGAGCATTTTGGTGCCTCCTGCCATTCTGCTTTTGGAGTACAAATCCAAAGCTGAGATGGCTCACATCCCTCAAAGTCAGGATGACCACCAAATGACCATGGAGGACAGCGAGCACAACTTCCAGAATGTAGCTGAGGACATCCAGATGGTCAGTTTCACTGTGGCTTTCAGTCAACGTTTTCTTCCATTTCACTGTTTTCATGACTAATTTGGGCCATTTTAACGTGTTTGTAGGATGTTTTTAAAGAGTCCAGGCCCCACGACCACGTGGAGGCGAAAAATGAGATGGAGACACACGTGCGCTCCCGAAAACTGCCCTTAACCAGGAAAATCTATGCCTTCTACCATGCGCCTATTGTCAAGTTCTGGTCCAATACGGTATGGTTATTACAACATACTTTTTAAAAAGTTTTTACCGTTAGTTTTGTTAAACCTAAATTCAACATTTGTGGTAAAACTCAGTGTCAAAACATAGTGATTTATTTTAACCACTCCAGCTCAGACTGTGGAAGTAAAGTGTCTTTTACCAACAAAATTAGATTATATTTTTTAGAAAGAAGGGAGTAATGGTACATTTAAAAAGATGTTGCTTAAAATATTCTTGTGCACATATCCCAAGAACATTCTCATTTTATGTGGGGTTTATTTATATACACAAGCCTGAGGCTGGTTCTCAGGTACATGGGAGTCCTTGCTGTGGGTTCACAAAGATAGAGTTGTTTTTCTGGCCATTCAAGACTGAGTGATTCTGATAACATCACTAAACCAACTAGTCCACATAATATAGCCCCTGCCCTAGCTTATCTACATCTGCTGCACCTGCTTCCATCCTGATTCCAGCACATCAATGCAACACTGCTCCACTGACTTGTGCGTAAGCCCTGGAAGAAGGAGATTTTTCCATCGGTTCAGAGCTCACATGTCAAGGTTCAGCTACTTTAAAAACTGCAGACCAATCAGGGCTGCACATAGAGACCTGACGTGTTTGTGGACGTCTGCAAGTGTTACTATCCCACAGTCTGTCTGCTTTTTCGTCGACCAGCTTTTTTGCCTTATGCAAAAAAGGAAGCTAAAAGCAGGCTGCGCTGTTGGTAAGAAGCCCTGCGTCATCTTGATACTGGATGTGTTGACACTGGTGTCTTCATTCTTTAAAATTTGGATCTGCCACCATAGGAAGCTAGCAACCTGCATATAGATTGTATTCATTCATGGAGTAGTCCTAAGTTTTTCAGTTAAAACTGTACAATGTTAACATGAGCTTGTGTCAGACAATAAACTTTCAAGATAATCTTTTGGGAAATTGGACCCTTATGCAAAACTTTGTTGGCAGTTAATGGCAGACCAGCAGTGTCATCTAACATAGACGATTCTATATTTGAAACTAGAAAATACAATACAGATAGTGATCCTCTGAGCTCAGCAGTTTTAGTGGAAAACTGATGTTGGTGAAAATTCACAACACACACAGCACTTTAAAGACCTGCAAAATAAATATACATTTCATATTTTCAGTAACCGAATTGAGACATTCTTTCTCTTTTCATTTGTAATGAAATTTTTATTTAGCACCAACCACTTCCATGCACAACAAAGTTCACATTTTCGACATAGGCAGTAGGGTAAAGGTGAAACACTATTATTTTAGGTGATGTTTCCACAGTGTCCTCTTTTTCCTTTTTTAGCTCTTCTACCTGAGCTATTTGATGTTGTACACATACGTGGTGCTGGTGAAAATGCCTGATTTGCCTTCTCCTCAAGAGTGGGTGGTCATCCTCTACATCTTCACCTCTGCGGTGGAGAAAATTCGAGAGGTATGTGAAAGAGAAGTGTTCTTTGTGCAAGTTAAGAGTTTATGTAGCAGCAGGAGACAGATGGTCCTGTAGTTTTTCTGGTGCATTAACCCCTAAAACCATCTGATCGTTCTCATTTAGCTTCTATGTCATCATGTTTCTCTTCCTTTTCATCAGATGTTCATGTCTGAGGCAGGAAAAATAAGCCAGAAAATCAAAGTGTGGTTCAGCGACTACTTCAACGTGTCAGACTTTCTGGCCATTGTGACCTTCTTTATTGGCTTTGGGTTAAGGCTGGGTGGAGGTGATGCCTTCGTCCCTGGGAGGACAGTGTACTGTCTCAATATCATCTTCTGGTATGTGCGACTGTTGGATATCCTGGCTGTAAACCAGCAGGCTGGGCCGTACGTCATGATGATCGCTAAAATGGTGAGTGCTTTAAATCTTCAGCACTCAGCTTCATGAAGCCTGATTCAATTTAAATGAACATTTACCAACAGCCAGCTTAATATGTATTTTGATTAATCTCTGTATGTTAAAATGTTTAATTTGCCAGGTGACTCACTTAAACTTTGTTCTAGTTTAATCAAGCCTGAGATATACAGAGTACATTTCACATGAAAGCAAAATGTCTTGCATCTAAATGTTGAAATGTGTCAAACCAGACATGGAAGAGTTGTTTACTTGGACATTTACCGCCTGAACATGAAGATAAACAGCGTATGTTGATGTTGTTTTTAAAAGGAGTCACACCAGCATTTGATGCAGTGTGCGTCCCTCTTAGTTCCTATTAATGTGCATCATACTAAAGATGGCTGTTGACATCCGGCTTGGTTTGTTTTTGCCACTAATTTTAGAATTTCTTAGGTTTTTCACGTCAGTGTTCATGTTTTTACTTTGAACATTCACATTTAAACAGCATTTTTCATCTACGTGATGTGACCAGGTATTGTACCAAATAATCTTGTCGTGAGCAGCGCCACCATTTCCACCTTGTACTGTGCTTTGTGCGTCTTATTATTCGTTTAACATCAGACATGGTAGCAAACTTTGCAATGATACATTTTTCTTAAATTTTATTTACATTATGTGCATAAACACTTGGTTTTCTTGCTGAGATTTTGTTTCTGATTTGTAGATACAAAGCTGAAGGGAAACTACCTTATCTTAGTCTGGCTTAAAGGCCAAAGCACAAATACATCTTCCTACCACCATCTTTAAACTTGTAACATATATTTTTAAAATCTATGTTGTTATAACTGAAAGATATTTTGTTTTATCCAAACTTAAACTCCCTGATCTTTGTGAAGCTAGCTGCTAGCTGGCTATCACTCTCTACTACACACTCTACTGTTATAATAACATTACAGGTACTATATCAATTGTAGTTGGATTAATCTCTTCAAGAAAACAAACTACTCTTCCAACTTGCCAGACTCCTTAAAGTCGATCTAGATCTAATACAAACTCAGTTAACAAGATCATCGTTTGGTGCATAGTGATGGCTTAACTATCTGTCTTCCCTGAGGATTCCACTTGTTTTAAAAATTTAAATTTAAGACCCAAACAGAATGAAACATGATTTAAATGTTGACCAAAACAAATTAGATTATCTCTTTTGTAAGCAAAAATGCACAATTATTGCTTACTGGGTATCCTCAGAGTGGATTCATATACACTAAATCTTGGTAGTCTGTTTATTTCTGATTAGTTTAACTCTATTGGGCGTATGCTGCATTGACTCTTTCTACATCTCTTCCAGGTGGCCAACATGTTTTACATTGTGGTGATAATGGCTATTGTACTGCTGAGCTACGGTGTACCAAGGAAAGCTATTCTGTATCCAAATGAGGAACCCAGCTGGACACTAGCCAAGGATGTTGTTTTTCAACCATACTGGATGATGTACGGGGAAGTGTATGCCTATGAAATCGATGGTAATGACGATGAGCATGGGAAGGAGATTATGGGAGTAATGCTGATTATATTCAAAGCCTCTCACCCCACAGCATGGAAGCTGATTGTCACTGGAGTAAAAAAGAAAAAAAAAAGCACCCAAAGTCGAAGCCACATGACCTAAACTGTGCCTCCCTCCCAGCCTCTTACACAGCTGCTCTCACAGAGAGGCAGTCAGTGCAGGTCTCTCTGGGGAGGGTTGGGCACAGCATTGACTGCCCCGACTCAGCGATAAATCTTCCCTATGAAAGGCAACAATTAAGTGATCATCACTTGAGACAGGCACTTTTGAAGCTTAGATGGAAGAAACAAAGCTGTGCTCATAACTTGAGCTGGCCTCCTGAGTTTAACAAACTGCTGAAAGGGCTGTGGTTACACTCTTACTAACAGGCCATACTGCTGCTATTTAAATTCTTGTATACCGTATCATCAGTCACCATGTTGGTATGAGGGCATTTGGTCATGATGCACAGCCCTACCTCCGGAGAGGGAATTGAAACAAAACCGTGCTCAGCGCCACAGATGTATCCAATATGGTTCAAGGACACGTTTCAAGATGTTTTCTTCAGATCACATTGCTGATGTAATTAGTGCAGGCTCCCCCCCCCCCCCTTCATTTGTCTAGATTTACAGTCATGAACTTTGACAAAAAATTCAGAGGCTCAAAGCATATGAAGCATTGTTCCTTTTGCACTCTCTGACCAAGGTGTCAACTACCTGAGACATGCATTCCTGGGAAGATTATCTTTCTTTTGTCTTGTATGAATAAGCCCTTCTTGAAGTAGAATCAAGTGGAAGTAGCCTTAAACCAACCCCAGACCGATGTGAAGCAGCAATCGCTTCTCTTAGATTACGGCTGTCATCTTTCTTGCTTTTATACAGGCGGTCACACTTACTGAAGAATAACTAATCAGACAATGTGATGAGTAGAGCCAGCCAGTTGATTTATTCCAGTAGAAGCATTACGGGTGAATGTCATTTTTCATTTCTCGTTTTGTCTTAATTTTTGGTATATACTGGAGATATTGTAAAATCTCCCAAAGGTTCCCCTGCCAAAAGAGAAAAAAAGCCCAACAAGAATAAAAACCCCAGTCTGAAACTGTGATCTTTTAATGCAGCTTTTGGGTTTGTCAGCCAGTGCTTTCAGGTGTTACTTCGTTCTAACACCACTCTTCTCTTCTTAGTGTGTGCCAATAACAGTGACCCATCAGTGAAGTCCCTGTGCACAGCAGGAGTGTGGCTGACTCCTCTCCTACAAGCAGTCTACCTCTTTGTACAGTATATACTCATGGTCAACCTTCTAATCGCCTTCTTCAAGTAAGTGCACAAAGCTTCAGTGTTGCACAAACAAGACGGGGTTCAGGTTTCCCTCTTTTAAAGACGTTTGTTTTCATTTAATTCACCAGTTTGACATGATTGACATGCTCTGTTTTACAGCAACGTGTATTTGCAAGTAAAGTCCATTTCTAACTTGGTGTGGAAGTATCAGCGCTACCACTTCATTATGGCCTACCATGAGAAACCTGTCCTCCCACCCCCCTTCATCCTCCTGTGCCATATATACTCCCTCTTCTGTATGTGTAGAAAGAGGAAAAAGGAGAGCACCTACGGACCGAGTAATCCTACTTTTTTTTTCTCCTTTACAAATAAATGTTTAATTATTATAATCGGGGATAACAGCATTTGTGCCAATCTGCTGCTCTGAGTTTTTTTGTTTGTTTTTTTAGAGCTGTTTCTCACTGAGGAAGACCAAAAGAAACTCCATGATTTTGAGGAGCAGTGTGTGGAGACGTACTTCCATGAAAAAGACGATCAGTTTCACTCGGGGAGTGAGGAGCGCATACGTCTTACCTCAGAAAGGTTGGACTATTCTTGGACTTTTGCCTATTTAAAAACACCAAATTAAACTACCTGTTTGTTTGTTTTGTTTTTTATTGAATGTAAAAATGGAGTTTTGTTCCATGAGATTAAATGGAATTTTTTTCTGACACATGGAATTTTGATATTAGTAAAAATGCATGTGGCCGCTGCTGTCCGTAGGTTCAGCAGTGGGTCACTTCAGTGTTTATTAGTGCGAGAGGCAGGAACCCCCTCCAACATAAAATTATTTCAATGAGCCCAGGGCACAGTGAATCACTTCAAAAGTAAACAAATGACCAGGAAAACAAGACTCAGAAAATAACTGAATCTCCTCTCTCTTTCCAGGGTTGAGACCATGAGTTTGCAGCTGAAGGAGGTTGGGAACAAAGTGAACTTTATAAAACGTTCCCTGCATACGCTGGACTCACAGATTGGGCACCTTCAAGACCTCTCAGCGCTGACTGTGGACACACTAAAGACGCTTACAGCCCAGAGGGCATCTGAGGCCAGCAAGGTCCACACTCAGATTACTCGGGAGCTTAGTCTGTCCAAAAACGTGGTCCCAAGCATTGCCCCTGTGCCGACAGACTCCAAATCGTCAATGATATGCAAGCGCAGTGTGGGGGCCTACTTTGGGTCATCCTTCTCACAGGCTGGAGCCAACATAGCAGATTCCCTTTTCGGAATTGGTGCAGAAGGAGGGTCTGGGATGGAAAGCCGCCGTAGAATCGGGCCTAGCCCTGGGACAGAGCAGGGGCTGGACCCCAGCATCAACCCAGCGTTGAGTCCAGAGAGGAGGGGCCTGTTTGGGCTTGGACACCTTGCTGCAGAGGCTGGATCCTCGGGCAGTGCCGGGTCCAGTGCCTTTGTCCAAAGTGCTGTGGCCGTTTCCCCGCCAGAGCTGCGTCTCCGCGGCCACTCTCTCACCCGGAGTAAGATGACCCGTCCACAAGAGCTGCTGCGCCTCTCTGACTCGGCGTCCAGCCTGCCCAATGTGCCCTCCTCTGGAGCTTTGTTCCACATCAGCAGCACCCCATCTCAGCCCAGTGGCTCCAGCCACCCCGAACTCCCCCTGGCTGGCCCCTACCAGCAGTCCCTCCGGCAGGACAGCACCGCTGTCGAGTTTGGGGCATTTGTTGGTAAGTACAGAAACGAGGCTGAGTCTGATGAGGTAAAGGAAGAGAAGAGTTGTGTGTATCCGGTTGTGGTTGTTGTCCCTAAGAACCCGAGCTCTGCCCAGCCTGCCTGCTTGCCTGCTTGCGCTGTTGAGCCTGAGAGCTCAAAGGGGTTCAGAACAGGGAAGAGAGAGAGGATTGTCAGTTGGGGGTATGTGAATGAGGCATTCAGCGATGACGAGGGACAGGTGGGCCAAACTGGCACAAACACTACACACCCCGAAGTCGGGGGCGACCCCGAAGTCGCCCCGGATCCATCACCACCAGAGCACGGTGACCCTCCAGGTGGCACCCAAGCCCCTGTGGTGGTACCTAAGAGACCCCAGGGACGAAAACAAAGGGAATTGGCTGAGTCAGGACCAGCTGCCCCCCACGGTCTGGGTCAGACGGGGTCAGCGGACCATCCCAACAAGAAGGACTTGGCCAGAAAATCAAACATGAGAGGTTTGCCTTTTAGCCTGAGCTAAAGTTGCTGGCTGCATCTGCCGGGTGCTGGGGCCTGTCCTCATCCAGATCAGGACTGTTTTGGACCTTTCTCTGGTGCCTTATCTCTTTCTTCCTCTCTGTCCGATCAAATTATTCTCTGTTCTTGGGGGTGCCCAGATTTTTAGAACAACGTGAGTGGCGCATGAGTTGCTGGCTGTTTTGTTTTTTTAATCGGGGTTTCCAGCTGAATGGTTATTATTTTTGGGATGTTTGTCAGGTGGAGGAGATTTTCAGTAAGAATCGGATGTGATTGCATCACCATTGGTGGTGTTCGTAAATTAGGCTGTATTTTGTCTCTTTTTGTCTTATCCTGAATGATTTAATTCATTTTTCTCCGTGAGACCTAAGCATATATTTTGGTTCAGGACATAAAGACAATTTGGATCTTCAGGAGCCCAGGCCAAAAGATACCTCCAGCAGGCAGCAAAGCCCAACATCATCAACCAGGTCACAGGTGGGTGTGCAGAAGTCATCAATTGCTTCACTGCTCTTCCTCTCATTTGGATCACTACAGCATGAGAAATTCCTGTTAACCTGTAGGGTTTTTCAGTGTGGAAGTGTTCAGCTTTGGCTCCCCCATAATTCTTTTTCTGCATCTGTCTCCACCTTTACGGTCCAGGCTCAACCCGAAAGTCACGGCCTTATGAGAGCAGTTAACTCGTATGCTGGCTTCACAGAATTTGACAGAATTCCAGCTTTTCTTCACCCTGACTCAAGTAAGCTCACAAAAGACAAATGGTCCTTATGCTTAACGCCTCTCCCCTCAGGCAGGTTGGGGTGTTAAAACAATGCTTGTTGGTGCTCCTCTAGCTCTGACCAAGAAGGACCGGAGCCGAGTTTCTGCTGAAGACATCCGCATCCATGAAGACCCCAGAGCTAGTGTACTGGTAAGAGCTGTGTGTGGATTGAAAGTATACAAAGAACAAACGCAGTGTTTAGCTGAGCTTTTTATTAACTGCTTCCTGTCACTGTTGAATATTTTCTCTTTTACCAGGAAAGAGTTCAGGTCAAATCAGCCCAAGCTAGTAGCCTGTAAGTGTCCCCCGCCTCCCCACTTGCCATTTTCATGTTGATTTCAGCCTTGTTACCTTACAAATTCTTTGTCACATATTTGTCCTTTGTATTAGGAGGGCTACAGGGGAAGAAACGCTGAATGGTAAGAACTGCACTGCCCACTCTTTCTTTGTGCTTAGTTTAGTTTTGGTCTGACTTCTCCATCTGGACCAGCGGGTCCAACAGCATAACAGGAGAAACGACCTTTATCCTTTTACCTTTCTGAGCATATTCTATGTGAAATGGAATCCAAACTGCCCAGTGGAGGATTGAAAGTAATGCATTCATTCAATGGAAATGCGAAGTCTGAGACTTTTTGCATTTAAAGCCTGTATTTATAGATTTAGGGTCAGAAGTTGTGTCAATAGAGTGTCATGCTGGTTTGAAGCCTCACCTCCTCTGTTACAGCCGCTGTTTCTCTCTACATGCCACGTCCCACCCACCTGGGAGCCAGAAAAGACTGTGAGTTAGACTCACAGTGTGCACTGCCCAAACACTAATCACAATACTCATCTTCACATTTCTTGTTTTCAATACCAGTTTACTGTTTTCTAAGGTTAGATTGTTGCCCAAAGTAATCTTTATCTATTATCTTTTTGGAAATTGTGGGCTTCGTGATTTGTTGCTCATTAAGGAGCATTATCAAATCAGTAAGGTCATTAAAATGTAATATTTACAAACTTTTATGATGGAGTAATCTGGAACATTAATGGACATCAGTAAAATGTATTGTAATCTAAATAAAGACAGTTTTACACCGTTTGCATGAAAATCCATCAGATTTTTAATGCAAGAAGAAAAACTTTTAATTAAAAATGTCTCTCTTTCCATGAATGTGTTTTTTACGTTATTTAAACAGAAAGTAGTGGCTCCTTTCTGATGCCGTTTCTTTGTTTATAGAAGATCTTACAGTGCCATCTAGTGGTGGCAGCTGTAGCTATGCAGCAAATTTTGCCCAGTCATGGAACATTTTCTCTTTGCATGTTTCCTTAAACTGGCCAAGTTTATTGAAAGTTGTGTAAAAATATTAACAATTGATCACTTTCTTTACTATGTTTCTACAGCTATCGGCTCTCCTTTCAAACCCATGGAAAACTATCAGTACTCTGGTAAGACCGTGGAGCAGCCAGTGGGCAGTTTTGTAACAACTGCCCGCCTAAATTTACATATTAAAAAGATTTGAATGACAAATGTAGAAAAAGTTTGGCTTTTTGACTGGAATGGAGCGCTGCGGCTTATACTTGCTTTCTCTCTTGTAGCTGTGGAGCGCAACAACCTGATGAGGCTTTCTCAGAGTATCCCTTTCACTCCTGTGCCCCCCAGAGGTACACATGGATTAGATTTTTCCTGATATGTTAGACAATAAGAAATTAGCGCATACCACCAAAAAAATAAAGAAAAATCCCTGCAGGCAGTTTCAGTTTCAGATTAAGAAGTATGGATACAGATATTGTATTCCATTTTTGTTCTGGCTTCTACTAATGGTACTTGATGATATTTTTACCTATGTATTGTTACATGTTCAGTTCCATCATAAAATGTAAATGATCATAAAATCTTTGTGTGATGGAGATAACTGGTGTTTCTGGACTTTATGAGGACATAATACAAACGAGTAGCTCTGAGCTGTTCTGTGTTCTCTCAGGTGAGCCGGTGACTGTGTACCGGCTAGAGGAGAGCTCCCCCAACACTATCAACAACAGCATGTCCTCCTGGGCTCAGCGGGGCCTCTGTGCCAAGATCGAGTTTCTCAGTAAGGAAGAAATGGGAGGAGGACTCAGACGGGCCCTGAAGGTGCTCTGTACGTGGTCAGAGTACGACATCCTGAAACCAGGACACCTGTATATAGTCAAGTCCTTCCTTCCTGAAGTGGTCCAAACGTGGCAGAGCATCTATAAGGAAGACACTGTGCTACACCTTTGTCTCAGGGTAGGAAAACCCCTCACCGTCCTGTTTTCTATCAGCTTGGAATGTCTTAAAATTCCATTCATGCTTAATGAATCATCCCCCTGAAAGGCAAAGTTATGCTCGGTGTTTCCTGCTCTGCTGTCACACTGCATTGTCATATACAGGTTTTCGAGGTCTGGGATCAGCTTTAACGTTTTTTTCTGTCACTTCAGGAAATTCAGCAACAACGAGCTGCTCAGAAACTGACGTTTGCCTTCAACCAAATCAGGCCCAAGACGATCCCTTACTCCCCGAGGTGAGCAGGACCAGCCCCACGCATACCAGGACACCATTTGAAGGCTTCATGTTAAAGTTGTTTCTCTCCTGTAAATCCTCCCCTTTTTTGTGCATTTGTTCTTGTTGGAAGCATGCGTGTACAGAATGCTTCAGAAATGCACATTTGTGGACTTTAATGTCTCACACCAAAACAGGCAGACAGAGAAACTGCAGTCAGCACAACTCGTTGCTACATGCAGTGGGAAAGGGGAAATATCCAGGTTCTTACTCGCGTCAACATTGTATCCTGTTTCGCCACAAGCCACTTCAGACAGCATTGGTCACAGCTATAGCTTAATTGTTGCTGTCGAATTATTATTTGTTTATTTTCTAAGGTGTACTTTCCAGTGTGTCCCTGTTCCAGGCAGTCATGTTTTCAGCTTTGAGAGATTTTTAAAATCTTAAGTGTCCAAGAGCAATCTCATTGGGTGAAAATGTCCATAGGTAGAAATTCTTTGGTTTGATTCTCAGTCAGCTCAACTGTGTCTGTCCATTAGAGGTGAAAATGCATCGGTCATCTCTTTTTGTCTTTTTAATCCTTAATGTTCACCCGTCTGTGCCCAGGTTCCTGGAGGTGTTTTTGCTGTACTGCCACTCTGCCGGACAGTGGTTTGCTATAGAAGAGTGCATCACCGGAGAGTTCAGGAAGTTCAACAACAACAATGGAGACGAAATCGTCCCCACCAACCTCCTGGAAGAAACCATGCTGGCCTTCAGCCACTGGACCTACGAGTACACCCGCGGAGAGCTGCTGGTGCTGGACCTGCAGGGTAAATGGGCTCAGGTTTAAATGCCCAGTACCTGTTTTTGACTCCTTTGAATGGTTCAACAGGTTAAATTGAAACTCTGTGAAAATGAGGCCTCTGTCTGGTTTGTGCGTCCGTAGGTGTGGGGGAGATTCTGACGGACCCATCGGTTATAAAGAGCGGGGAAAAGGGGTGAGTGCTCCCGGATCCCCTCCTGTTCAGTCCTATGATGCAGAATAAAGTTCAGGTTCAGCTGACGGAGCGGCCCCTTCTCTCTCTGTTCTGTGGCCCCTTTAGATCTTACGACATGATATTTGGACCTGCCAACCTGGGGGACGATGCTATCAGGAACTTCCGTGCAAAACACCACTGTAATTCCTGCTGTCGGAAACTCAAACTTCCTGGTGAGAGCGCGTTTCTAATGATTCCAAATAATCTGGTCTAATGCCGTCGTTGAAACATTTAGAAATGCTCTTTTAAAAACATAATTAAATAGCTTTTTAAAAAGTCACTGTTACTGTACTACCCCTCTTGTCTTTATATTTTGCTCTTTAGCAGTAGTTTACCAGGCTGAAGGACTCATGTTTCCCCTGAAATATTTTCATCTTTCAGTCCAGTCGTAATAACGGGCCATTTTCAGAGTGGTGTGGTTTTTCTTTTTAAGCCACTTGATAAGTTAACAAAAAGGCATCTAGGACGGAACAGAAAACCTGGCAAATAATCAATAACAAAGCCCCTGACACAATGAATCACTAACATGATGTCACAAATACATGGTTTGGTTCAACTTCCCCATGGTTTTAAGATGTAGTTTGGACATACTAGATCATTTTTCTAATTCTGTGACTTTAGTAGTAGATAAAAGATAAACAGGCAGGATTTATTCTTGGCTTCCTGTTCAGTAAAAAGAGGAAGTAAATCAAGTAGAGGACGTAAGAAGTGTCAGGCTTGAAAAACAAACAAACTCAACAGCGATGTGGCGGATCAGACGGTACAGGAGGGGGAAAATGCTGCAGAGCAGAGAGGTGCACCCGGAAGCTCAGCCGATCCCACTGCCGCCTCATCAGAAACCAACTCAGAGGCTTCATGAGGGGATTCCTGTGACTGCTTAAAGCGGCCCCTTCACTGCTAATTTCTGTCCCGATGGGTGGAGGCTCAAAACATCTACACGTTTTCGGACGTCCTTTTTTACTCCCCAACGACAGACTTGATCCAGATGTTGTCCATTAAACATAAGGATATCATGATAAAGTAAATGAGCTTTCAGCAGATTCACTTTTCACTTCATAGAAACAGGTCCAGGATGAGGACAGTCCCTCTTACCAAACAATCATTTGGTCTTTGTACAGGTATTAAAATGTCACCCACATATGTAAATATCAAAGGTCATTTAAATTTCTGTCTAAATCCTAGCTGATGCTGTTTTGTTGTAGGTTTACTTCACGTCACATGACCTGTTTGTTTGATTTGATCAGATCTGAAGAGGAACGACTACACGCCAGATAAGGTGCTGTTCCCACAAGAGGACCCTCCTAACCCAGGGGGAGGAGTCAAAGAGTCCCGCCAATCAATGAGACTGATGCTGTGATCGGAGACACCTGTGTGTGTGCGTGTGTGTGTGTGTGTGTGTATATAGGAAAATAAGGATAAATGAGGCGACAGGGTTCTGATCAATTTCAGTCACAGCCAAGGAGCAGGAACGTGCACCCAATCAACTGGAAGGATCACCGCCCGTTTCCATGGAAACCAGTGCATGCAGACTGCGTCATGTTTTTAAGTCCCACCAGAAATCGCCCATCCTCACCATTTGGTTTTACTACACACATGGAAGGAGGTTTTAAAGTATTTTTTATGACGGATATAGATCAACATATATATGTATGTTTAAAAAAACTGGATTTATCTACAGGTACAGTCATTGCAGAGGGTTTATTTATTTTAAAGTTTGAGAAGTTGCCTTGTTTTGCCAAAAAAAAAAAAAAAAAAAAACGAAACTAAGTGCATTGTGCTTCTTTTCCAGCAGCTTCAGAGAGGAAAGCCTGCTGTTACTGTGTCGACCTGATCATTTTCTAAATGTACACAGACACATTTTTGTCTCTTGGCTAATGAAAAGATCAACATGAATTACAAAATCTTGTAAAAAAAATGGGCAGATTGCAATGCAACTTTTACAGAAAAATGTATGTAATTTTATTGTAATGAACGCGTGTCCACCAGAATACTGCTGATAGTTTTTATTGTTACAAAGGTACTATTGCTATATCTTTGTCATCAACTGTTGTATGAGCAAATTACTATCTAGTGTATCTTATAGATACAGTTATGAGGCATGGGCTGAGCAGATTTGAGATACTTTATTCAGGGGAACTGACAAACATAAGGGTATTCCTGCATACATTTTGTACTGGTTATCATTTTAAACAAATAAAATGTAAATAACAAAAAAAGTGTGTCAGTCCAGTCGTTCCATTTTTACTCTTAAGGTCAAAGGAAAATGAGAGAGTTTATTGTGGGTTAAAAAGCTTGGGTCAGGATTTCTTTTGCTTCGGTTATTCGGGAAAACGTTTCCAGAGCTGCTGCCTCCAGAGTCGCTGCCGGGCCCGGTGTGTGTAAAATTCAGCTGGATTTTCATGCATGCAAATCCTCACAGGTGTAGTTTCAGGCTTTTTGGTTTCCTTTGTAACGTTTCCAGCCGATGCCCCTGTGATGAAGGCTTAGAATGTGAGCCTTCATCAGGAACAGCGGCTCTTCTGTCCCCCCCCCCCCCCCCCCCCCCTCCAGCCCCACCTGTCCCTGATTGCCCCACTGGGATTTCAGCCCACCTGCACCCCCGGGGCCGGGGGCCGGGCGCTCATGTGGCCCCCGGAGGAGGCAGTGGACTCTACCGGGGTGAGATGTTGGTGGAAGATTTGCATTTACGCTGAGATCTGTGAGTCACCACACGCTGTAACGCATGTTAGTGGCTGGTTGTGTGAGGCCTGAACCACCTGGGTGGGGTGGGGGGGTGGGGTGGGGGGGGCAGGGGCGTGGCCTTCTCTGAGAGAACCATTGCCTGCATCTGTTTCCTCAAAGCTGGGTGCACTTTTCAGATCCTCTCTGCTGGGTCACAGAGCTGCTGCACAACCATGGACACAGTCACAGTCGAATACTGGTGAGCTTCTTTGTTTGTCTGGTTGGTTTTTGTCTTCTAAGCGTAGATGCATCCTTCTGTTTGATTTGTTACTTTTATTTGTTCTTTGTTTGTTTGGTCTACCAGCAAAGGATGAAGTTATGCTTATCGCTACCAGGAACTAGCCGGGGTCCTCCGGCAGGTTCCAGGTGTGAAAGTGAAAGGCGTTACTGGGAGGCAAGGTAAGGTGGGTGGGGGGTTGTCAGATAGAAGTGAAAGGCAGAGACACCCCCTTCCTCTCAAAGAGTACCTGTTGTTGTTTTTTGTTTTTCTTTTGCTTTAAATATGCATCATGAATCAGGTTTGAGAAGTAACCGAATGCAGTCTTTACTGTGAATGTCCTGTATCTCCTGCAGACAGCTTCGAGGTGTCTCTGGGGGACGAGCTGCTCTACTCTAAGCTGGATACGGGACAGTTTCCTGATGCCGAGCAGGTTTGTGTGCGTGGGTGTGTGTGTGCGTGGGTGTGTGTGTGCGTCACTGACAAAGCAACCTGTCTGTTGTTCACACTATAGCTCCAAAATGTATGTCCTTTTTTCAGTCATGATTTCTTATGAAAAAGTGCCCATATTTGTAAAAAAAAAAAAAGTGCTCAGCCTCCACATTCACTGCCTCACACAGTTAGGGTTTTGTTTGGGGATGGCGTGCTCTGCAAGAGGAAAGATGGCTCAATCAGTGACACAGAAGATGACAGCGGAGCATAACGCGGTTTTCTCCCCTTCATGTGATCAGATGGCTCAGCGGGTGAGGGAGATGGTTCCCGGAGGGCAGCAGAAGAAACCCTCAAAGTTGACGACTCTCAAAAAGAGATGCTCTGCCCAATAGAAGAGGGAGGCTCCAACAACAGCAGTGTTCACTCTGCCCACAAGCTGTTAGTTTAGAAAAGATCTTCACCATCACGATCACGTTTTAGTGACTAGAAACAAATCAAAAGTCCACCTGTGTTACAGCAAAAGAACAGAGCTCACAGGCTCTGCTGTGCACACGGTGGCTGGGGGGGGGGGGGGGGGGGGGAGCAGTTTGGAGGAACCAGTGGGCAGTCTGCACTTCTATTTATGAATGCACACACATAAATCGGTCGAGGTGTGTGCACGATGCAAGTTTAGAAGCTTTCCAGCCAACTGGGGCCTGACGACCTGCTCACCCATCTGCCTCTCCACATTTGCTGGCAATCGAAAAAAATAAAAAAACAGTCGGTCTTTAAGACGTTTAGCATTGATTTCAGATTTTCCCTGTTGAGATAACTTTAAACAGAAGCTTTCATGTTCGGTAGGAGAGCATAAATATTTCAAGGATCCTGCCTCCTGCTGTTTGATGACTAAATTCAGGAGAGATTTCACACATTATGAGCTTCTGCCTTTTTATCCGATAGGAATTTTATTTCAGTGTGGAAACAGCCAGAAAATATAAGCTAATAAGAACAGTGCTTAGCTTCTTTTTCTTTTTTATTGTTAAGGCCAAACATGTCTGCTCATAAGAGCTGAACAACCATCTATACAGCTGTAAAAACCAGCCCCTGTGGACGTCTGAATGCCTGCCTGTGCCACCCCGTTCTAAATTATTAATTTACTGTAAGAAAAACATTAAATCAGCATTGAGCAATTCAAAGCACCTGTTTGCTTAGCTTTTCTTACCTCAGTGGGATTCTTAAATAGCTCCTTAATTAAAATGTGGCGTTTTTACCCGTTTGTACATGATCAAACCTGTGTGAACGTCTAAAAAAAGAGGGTACGGAAATGTAGAATATAACATAGCATTAATGATAGCTTTTTAGGAAGCCAAATGTTCTAACACACAAATAATCAGCCAGCTGTACATGTACGTTAATGCATTTCAAACATCTTGATCTTCGATGTGTTTCTCTTGAATTTTGTTACCACAATACAAGCGATACAATAAAAGGTCAAAGATTCATCACCTTTTTGCTCCTTTGTTATTATTAATTAACTGACATTTTACATTTAACTGACATTTGAACAGAGTTTCGGTTCTCATCTGACCAAGGCCACTGGAAGTTTACTTAGCAGCTTCGCTTTTTGGTTCAGGTGTTTGAACATGCTCATAAAATGAGCAGGGGTTTTCTCTGGCTGTCGTTTTTTTTTACCAGTACAATATAATTGAAAACTGAAACATCCTCCTCTACAAATACCATGGATGTGAGGGCTTGACATAGATTTATAATATCTATTTGATGATGTCTAACAGGAATAAAATGAGAACTGTTGTTGCTCATGTCTTTCAAACAGGAACCAATGCATTAAGGGGAACTAATTGGAGTTGTGGTTTTAAGACACATTTAGTGCTCTTTTGAGTGTGCAGCAGCTTCACACAATGAAGAACAGGAACCGGCATACCTCCAAAAATGAAGCAAATCGATGGCGCTCTGGGGCTTTAGGTGTTAAGCCGTCTTTGACTGTGGATGCTAAAAACAGTTCAAATGATTTCTCTGGTCAGACATGAAGAGCATTCGGTCTCACTGGGACTTTTTCAGAGCACCACAACAGAAACCTAGAGCCACAACGGCCCTCGCACAAACAGACTAAACTTAAGTTTTGAGCTGTGTTGTCTGCTGGGGAATTCACTGGTGGACCGAAACCCCCCCCCAGCAGGAAACGGGAACCCCGTCACAGAGCTGTTGTGGGTTTTTGGCCAGCGCAGTCGCAGTGTGTTGTCACGGAGAGAGCGTGTGTGTAATGGCCCACATCTGTTTGTGTGCTAAGGGAAATGACTGTGCTCGTATGGCCATAGACACGCTTATCTTAAACACATACGTGGACATCTTCTACCAGCATCATTTATTTTATACACACTTCATCAAAGGGAGGGAGGCTGGGCTCCTTCCGGTCAATCGAGGCAAAAGGAGGACTGACTCTGGGCAGTTTTGAGACTTTGTTCATTAGAAGATAAACCCGGCTCGGACATCCACATTTACAATGTTTGCTGAATTAATGAATGTTTGCGGCAGGTGTTTATTTGGTGGCCCTAGAAATAATTTCTCGTGGCCTCAGATCAGACCCGGAGACAGCCAGGCGGCGAGTTTCCATCAGTCTGAAAGTACTGTGGAAACTGTGTTTTTTTCCTTCTTCTTGAAACCAAAATTCATTCGTTTATTTGTGTAAAAACATTTTTGCTCCTCAATAGACAAAAAAGCCAGTGTGTTGTTTGTGTTGTTTTCAATAGAGAACATTTGTATTGTTTCACTCATGCGAAAGGCAGGAGATGTGTTAAAGACGAGCCTTAAATGACCATCTTCTATCACTGGTATCGGCCGAGTATGGAGCCTGTCTGGAGAAGGAGGTCATTGATAAATAGTTTGCCGTCATCCACTGACATACGTCACAGGACGGTGCACGAGGGCTCGGCCTTGTTTCTGAGCTGATGTTTTAGCCCAGAAGACACCGAGCTGTCAGTGACTGTTTTTCCTCAGGTCCTGATTGTTCCCTTAGACCAGCTAACCCCATTTGAACCGCCGGGGGGCCTCTCTGCAGGCGGGCCATAACCCACAGCTCCTCTGTGCGTCTGCTGTGTTTGAGCCTCTAACGCTTGTAGACTGGACAGATGTGTGGCCCTCAGCTCCTGCGTCAGCAGAGAGCTGCAGCCCGTTTCTCTGAGATCAGCCTCTGACACGTTCAGCATGCAGAAGAGGCTGAAAGCTGCTCTGCTGAGAACTTCTAGTTTCCTTCCTCTTTTGTAGATGTTCTGTGGCTTTGAAGAGTCAGACATCTGAGTTACAGTTCTCAGAACTCCCTGCTCAGCCCTCACCTCCTTTCCTGAAGACTAAACTTCTTCCTTTCAATAAACTGCCACGTCGAACAGGTGAAGGATCACACACAGCTGGTTTCTCTTAGAAATGTCTAAAATGTCAAATAGTGAAGTGCCCCATGTCGTGCTCATTTTCCTTGTGTGTAAAACCTAATTTGTTTTTTGTTTAGCAGCAGGCTGGCGCACTGCCCCCTGGTGGTGACATGAGGCCAAAGCAGGGGGAACGCATTTGACCTTTCTTCTTCCTTCTTCCCTCTGTGCTGTTTCCCGTCCGTTGCTGGTATGAAAAGTTTTGTGTAGAAGAGAGTTGGCCATACGTGAAGCGCACGCCTCTTGTTGGTGAGTAAATGAATCGGGGATGGCAGAGCGGGGGGTGGAGGAGACACAAAGTGGTGACGCCTCACTTCACTCAGGCCTGATCATGCTGGTTTCTTTTTATTACAAAACATTGAGAAATAAATAGAAGAAAATAATGTAAAAATATAGTTGCTTTTTTTTTGTTTTTGTTTTAGAGAAAAAGAATGTCACAGAAACAGTTTGCAGTTATGCGGTACATCAGATTGGTCCCTGCTTTGAAGAGTTGGTGTGAGACAATTGACAACACATGATAGATAGCACCATTGTGAGGTCTGCTGACCTTAAACAAACCTCACACCATTCACATAAAAAAGGGCAGATTAAAAAAATGGAATTAGCTGTGAATTGGTTGGAAAAATGGGCCACTGCTTCAGGATTTGTTTTATATAAATATAATATATTAATTTATACACTATTCACTAGAATGTACTCACCACATACGCAACTCAGGTAAACACATGAACAGAAAAAGGCAGCTGGACATGTTGAAAGTCAAACCAAACATGGAGGGAAACTGAAAGGCGTCTTTTAGCTGCACGGCTGGAAAAGTAAAAGGGATTCAGATGATTCCTGTGCCTCACTAAGCCACTGAAGATATGCTAAACCATGTCAGTCCCTCCAAAACCTCTCACGTCATTCAGAAGTTACACAATCCTAAGGAGCAGGTGACACAATCTAAGCATTTTGTGGTGGGGGGGTCTGAGTATGTGCAAACATTCAGCAGACGAAGCTCGTTTTCCTTCTCGCAGATCTCCTGTTCCAATCCAACGTCTACTTTCTGAGGCAAACTGAAACCGGGGCAGAGGGCAGAAGGTCCGGCTAGCGCACCAGCAGGAAGGTGAGCCCGGCGATGCCCGCCACGGCGAACAGCGCCGTCTTCATGGACGAGTCCTCGCTCACCCCTCTGGTGTTTCGGGAGAACTTGCAGAAGCCTTCCTGCAGGAGGGGAAAGACACAAAAATTCAGGGACACATTCACCTTTTTCTGGCCACAGCTAGCTGCTAGAGAGACCCCACATGGAGAGGCCGTCCCGGACAGCCCTTCAGACGGTCACCACTAACTCAGTCCGGCTGCTTGGCTCCACTCCTTTGAGCAGGAGGATGAAAACAAGGCAGGGCCGGGGCCGTTCAAACACTCCCACAGCTGGATTTCTTTGTCCCCTTCCCTAACTGAAGCGGGGCCTTTGTGCAGAGGCTGCACCTGCCCGGGCCTCCAGGTGTTCCGACTTGTTTTTCTGGTCACACAACGGCGGCGTTCACAGCAGATAATGCCAGATTCAATACAGCTCTGACTGTTGCTACAAAGTCCATCTGGCAGAGCTGGTTATGCGTCTGCTGCAACCAGCTGCCAGCTGGAGAAAGGAGGGGGGGTCTGTGTGTTTATATGGGCATGGGTGAGCCCATTCAGAAAAAGAGGCATTCTACTTATGCTGGGCTCAGTCGGATGAAGCATCTGTGGCTTTAGCAGAATGCACCCCCTAGCTTCCTTTTAAGGTTTTCTTGAAAAGGAGGACAACAAGGAGCCATAGGATTAACGTTGTCCCAAAGGGATGTTGTTTGATGGTGAGAGAACTTCTCTCTTACATCTAGAACTGACCTTTCTCTCAGTCATCAAACATTAACCTCAGCAGGAAACAAAGAGGTGCTTTCCAGCGGCATCCTGCCAAGAACATTCATTCAGCTTCAGGTATTTCTCCTTCCACTGGCCGCAGATACAGTCGGCAGCTTTCGTATCTACAGCTTCTCCCAGTCCTTTTGGACCGGCCCTACATGCAGAGGAAACGTACCCATCCATCGTTCTCCAGCAGCCAGTCTTTCTTCTCCTCTCCCAGGTAATCGGCGATGGTGGCCGCCAGCGCCTGGCGGCTCACGGGCCCCTGGTCCAGCCCCTGGTCCAGCCCCTGGTCCAGCCCCTGGTCC